TGTTTGGGTTTATTTTGATTTGATTCGTCTACTTGGGAGTTCAAGATTCCATTGGATTGTTCAATGTCTTCGCAGGGTTATGCAGATATTATTGTCAGAAGGGTGGTTAACGCCAATAAAAAAAAGTGAACCGCAAGGAGAGTTCTTATTTGGCGCCTATTGGTGATGTGAAATTGTACTCATGCTAGAAACGTTTAGGCACACTTATTACACACTTATTAGAACGAATATTGAGCCGTTAGTATCCTTTTGTATCGTCGGATGGCATAAATCTATCTCGAAAGTAGTGTTCTTAGGTAAAACAGCATCAGTTCTCTGCAAACAGCACCCCAAAGCCAAGAGACTGCAGTATCCAACTACAACGCAAGTCATAGGATAGGAATAAAGGATCGCACACCAACGCGCAGTAACAAGACCATCCGAATCTACTGCACGCCATTTCCCACAATGCTCTTCTTCCTATCTTTGACTCCGCCCTCCAGTGTCGCATCCTTGGCGCTGTCATCGACATCCAAGCCTTTGCTTTTGGAGTCCTGCCCTTCCTTGGCATCTTCCTCCGTAGCTGCTGTGTCCTCATCATCGGAATCGGCATATGGGTTAGGACGCACCACTTTCAGCGTAATAACTTCCTTGGCTTTGTCTTCCTCATCAACCTTGTGGTAAACTCGCAGTCCAATCACGACAACCGCGTTCCAGGGATCTCTTTCAAACTCATCGAGCTCATCTTCGAACCTCAGAGACGGTGGTGTCACGATGACGGGTTTGTTCAACTGGTTATTCATAAATGCTTTGACTTGCAAGTCCATCTCATGGTCAGAAAGTTCAGAGAGTGATGCCATACTTATAAGGCCATCGTCACTCTCAGATTCGTAGTATGAAGAGCTTGGTGGCGCGTCACCTTGAGAAGTCGGCCGGCCAAACCTATCCGCCGGTGGAATAGACCTGGATCTTGCACCCCTCCTTTTTGTCTTTGATGCTCCTGCTCCGTTAAGAGAAGATGGCACTGCATGATTTTCGTCCGACTGGTCACGTCGCTCACCACCGTCTTCACCAGGTTTGTCCGTTTCCTCGTCGCCTTTCTTAATCCTAAGCCTTCTTTCGTTATCCTTTGCCTTTTGCTTTTCCTTTCGCTTCTTTTCACGCCTTTGGATCCTCGATAGCTGTTTAACGTTGAGATGGTGGTCATCTCTTCGACGTTCAAGAATTTTGTCTTTAATCTCACGCTGCTCCTTGTCCTTGACACGCTTCTCATGTGCTTGTCTTGCAGCCTTTTCTTCTGGGCTTTCCACAATCTTGCCTTTACTATGTGCGAGATCGTAAGCGAGACCAATACGAGTCAGCTTCTCTCGTCGTTTCTTGGCATTATTTCGTATCACTGTCTCAATAGGCAAGATCCTGTCGAGACGAGTCGCGTCAATCTTGACACGAATATCATACTCGCCTGCCTCCAAGTCGAGTTCAACATTGACAGAGCGCCTCATGCGATACGGCGCTTGGCTGCGAACGAGATAATCCTCATGGTCAGCTTTGTGGACGCGAAACGCCAGCTCAAACTTGTATTGGCCATGAAGTCCACGGAAATATCGATCATCTAACTGCGCCAGTACGATGACAACTGGACCGGGTTTAGTGATGCGCAGAGAAAAATGAGTGTCGTGGTAGTCTAACATCCAGGGAACGTTGACAGTGGTCCAGATTTGAGATACCTGCCACGTCTCATCAAAAAGGCGAGTCCTCTCAAAGGCTTGGTATTTCTGCAGTAAATCCTCGTAGGCGATCCAAAAGTCTCCGTCGTCGCCAAATCGATGATCCAGCTTCTCGAGCCACTCAGGAGTCCATTCCTTGGAGCCGTCACCTATCATTCGTTAGCATCTTTAAAATCATTTTATCCACAGACAATCCACCTACTCCAGGGTCCTTTCCATTCTCCTTTGCCCCATGGGTTCTTGAGTCGAAGTAATCGTTTGCCGTCAATATCCACAGCTTTCTGGATAGAGTAGGAATGAAGCTCAAGGATCCCTTTTCGCTCACCCCAATTTATCCCCCAGACGCCCGTGCTGCAGCCGAAGAGAAAATCTTGGTTTACTTTGAGCAGCTCTTCTTTCCAGAAGTACTCCTAATGTCACGTTTAGTCATTGTAATGTGGTGATTACTGTGTGACTCCTCACCTTGTCGAGAATATCGGTGGTGAAAATTTCAGAAGTTACTCCGCCTGTGAGATCCTCGATACCTTCGCCTCCATACCCGCCTTCGATCGCAGCGTAATCTCCGTGAGCTTTTGCGTAACACTTTTCAAGAAGCGGCAGCCAAGTCTCTTGCGGATGCTGGCACTGGGCAAAATACAGAGCGCTGCTGTTTGACTGGTACACCTTGCGGTAGGCTTCTTCCGGATTGACACGCTCCAGCTCGTCAAAGAGGACTCGTTCCCAGTGCTTCTCGTCGTAATCAGACTTGGTGAGATAGAGCTAGACAGCATCAATATTTAGCAACATCCCTCATAGGAAATAAGAAGGAGACTCACGAAATCATCCACAATCTCGGAAATCCACTCTCCATCCCTGTAAAACACAAACCCATACACACCAACATCCTGATCATGCGCCACGCACAGCTTCTCAATCAGCCCCTTCTTGTTACTCAACGTACACAACGCCGACATGAGCCAACAATCCCCATCTCTCCCCTGCCTCACGTCATTAGCCGTCGGGCCCTCAATGTAAAACTGCGGCTTATCGAATATCTCCACGACGCGTTTTGCGCTCCCAGGCCGAAAGTCCTTTCCCGGGTTGTCGAGGGGCTCAAAGTTGGAGAGCGACTCCAGGCAGTCGCGACGACAGAGCTTCAGGTCGGCCTCGAGGTCAAAGTGCGGATCCCGGTACCTCTTGTTGACTCGCCGGCACTCTTGGACAATCTTTTCGACCTTGGCCCGGCACATAGCCGCCGCGGTTTCGTAAGATGCTTGGGTGGTTGTTGATGAGGATGCAGCTTTGGAATTCTTCCGAGCGACTTTGGCAGTGTATGGATTCTGCGGTATCACAGTTGTGGCTAGGATGGAAAGTTACATCATTAGAAACGACTGCATCTCATGGATATAAACATAAACGGCGCTTCAGCTTCAAAGCCTGTAATGACTCACCTTTGCCAGGCGCCTTTGTCGTAAACTTTGCCCAAAACTCATCAATCGCCTCTTGCGGCGTCTGGTGCTTCACCAGCTTCCGTGGGCGAAACGGAATGGGATCCTGAGGCATCATATAGTCATCGTTCCCTCTTGGATAGATGCGGCGTCCCGAGCGCGACCGCCTGGTGCGGATGCTGTTGCGCGATCCAAAGCTGTTGTTGTCGCTGTCACTGTTGACGAACGACATTGTGAAGGACGCCAGCGGCCAGCGGGATGCAAAGCGGATGGCAAGAACAACTGGAATGCTTCCTAAAGAAGATGAGAAGCCGCGATATAGATTCTTCTGTGAAGTGCGACTGACCGTCTGAAAGCTAATCAATATGGACGACTCGTCTCGGCTGGTGAGACTACGCGCCAAAGAAAAGAATCGCTCGCCCCAGGGCAGCAATCGAATAGACGCAGAATATTTAGTCGAGATTTTCAAAAGAGGCAAACAAAGTATCACGATTCATCAATGTAACGGTACACTCAATCGCTTTCTTCAAGCAAACAAAATGTGAAATTCGCTCATATGTGGTATAAAAAAAAGTCTAGATCTCAGAAGCACCAAAGCCTACAGCTAGGCAGCCATCACAGCTCAGCTGCGTCTACAAGGCTGACTCACTGATCCTCTCTCACTTACCGTTTCATATTTACTTACAGTATATGCAGTCTAGCAAGACTAACATGCAGTAAACCTGCTGGTCTCTCGTCACGGGCCCCCGCGTTTTAAGCATACCTTACTTGTACGGAGCGCTGTTCGCCAGAACACAGACCGTCGGTCTAGAACATTACGCTGCCTGCCTACGGTCAATAGTACGAGCAGATGCGCAGCCAATTGGAGGCATGATGCTTCCTGGTCTTCAGTTTGGGGGCCGTTGACGCTATTGGATAAACCGGCTGATGGATGGGTGGACTCTCTAGTAGGTGCATTGCCTTACGCATGGAGCTGGATATTAAGCCACCACCAGCATGTCTGGAGAATGCAAGCTCCAAGGAACCGGGCACAGAGGTTGCATCCTGTTCCTCCTGTGCGACTCTGACTACACGTACGCGTCAGGGGATGCGGTAACATCCGCATGGCGGCAGAAGGAGAGAGATCCCCTGAGAGAGGCGAAAGTAAACGGAGTTTAATAGAAGAGTCTGCGACGGGTCAGTAGTATCGCATTGATCTCAACAAATAGATGAACAATGTGACTGAACTTGAGCCTCGTCGATGCTTTGCAATCCGATACTTACCTGAGAATCATTGGCGGCGCGTCGTTGATTGATGCAATACGCTGGTCGTTGTCGCACTGGCATGAACTTCCGCCCCCTTTTTTGCCCAACAACTCGTCTTGCATCAACCCTTCCTCACTCGCCTTGAGACAACACACATGCACGCATCTACACAAACGCTCATCACACCTAAACACAAACGCGCAGCGCCAACAGTTGCTGTGTCGCCGTCGCCATCAGAAGAGGGTTTCATGACAGGATTTCTTCTTCATCTTCCTCATCTGCGCTTCTCCGTTTGTCATATTTTACTGTATCATTGCATCTTCCGCTTCTCCCAGCTGTCCTCTGCTCCGGCAGCCACGCCAACCACTCCGAAAACACGGGCAACGTTTCTATGCCTGTGATCCCATTCCCTTGACAATCTTGGGGACGTGCTCGTATTCTCCATGCCGCCCAGCCATTGGATCGCACAGCTCCTATCTCCTCTCAGCATCCTCAAACTGCCCAATTCTTCAAGACATCTTGCATCCACCGCCCTTGGCACGCGCGCGCGCTCGTGTGCCCCAGGAGGTGACAGCCGTCACTAGTGTTGTAGCTTGAGTCTCCGAGTTTGCACAAATAGAGCAACCCCGAGACCCGCATTAGCTCAACGACAAGCAATACTGTGTGCAGCCCCAAGAGCAGCGCCGCCGATTCAAGCTCATCACAACATCATACACACACACAGCCTCGCGGGGTATATCCATCGCATGTGCCTAAAGTCTTTAAGTCGTCAAGAGCTACGTTGACAGCGTCTGTCGTTTCAGTCCGTAATATGTAGGTAGTTCCGAGTGATGTGATCCAAAGTTAAATTCGTTTGAAAGATGGGGGGTATGCCCAGGAACCGGTTCGGAGGGACCCATGCGTAGCCAAGGGGCCCTCCAAAATCGGACGCTCTTCAATTTGAGAAAATGTGTATAAGAAAAAAGAAAATTTGACGCTTCCGATATCGTCGTCGCTGTCGCTGTCATTTTTGCTCATTCCTTTTTCACGCAGGAGATAGGGGCTGCAGGAAAATGTATGTCTCTTGCCGTCGCCATTCTCTCGTATGATTACGTCTGCAATGAGAGAGTGAAAGAAAAAATAAACAGACGCAGCATGAACCGAAGCCAAAGAAAGACTCCGTGTAAGCCGATGAGAAGAAATGTTGCCGACCATCCGATGTAAAAAAAAAGAGAGGGGAAAATAATAAAAAAGACCAAAATCAAGGAGGCACAATCTGGGGTGTGCAGCGAAAAGATATGTTGCGTCAACCAGAAACAAAAGTTATGTTGAAACGAGAAATGCGGCCTAGGGTCCAGAGTTGGGTTTTTTGGCTTTGATTTTTGTTACACCTCGTGGATACTGCCCTAGGCCAGTTGTCCGTCTGCCACCTCGCCGGCCACCAGTGGAAGAGGGCGTCAGACGGGACACCCGCGACGTCTAGGCGACGGGAGCAATGGGAGCGACCGGGGGAGCGGGCACGTTGTTAAGGTCGACAACCTCGTTGTTGATCTCGGTGCTGTTGTTCTTCTGAGGGCAGTCGCGGGAGATGTGGCCGGCTTCGCCGCACTGGTAGCAGGTCTTGCCAGCGGTGTTCAGGGGACCGCCATTGGGGGCAGTGCAATCCCTGGAGATGTGGCCAAGTTTGCCACAAGCATAGCACTTCATGGCCTGAGCCTGGCAGTCACGAGCAAAGTGGTTGGGGCCACCGCACTTGTAGCAAGTAGCCGGGCGAGGGCCGTTGGCGAAGCCTCCGCGGCCATAACCGCCAACGAAGCCGCCACGGCCCATGGGAGCGCCACGGCCCATACCGGCATTACCGGGGTTGGGGCAAGCACGCTACAATGGTCATGTTAGCACATCTCTCGATAGCGCATCGTTTTCGGGAAGTGTCAAACGTACAGCCAAGTGTCCAGGCTGGCCACAGTTATAGCAGCGGCCGCTGGTGGCAGTGCCGCTCAAGCGGAGAGTAGGGCAGTCGGCCTGGACATGTCCAAGTCCCTGGCAGTGGTAGCACTGCTTCGCCTCAGTAGAGCGAGGAAGTGGGCAGCCGTTGGACTCGTGGCCTGTCAAGGGAGTTGTTAGAACCAGGGATGGCGGAGGAGTCGGGATTCGCTTCGAAGATGCATACCTGGCTGCTTGCCTATTTTTCAAACCTGTTAGCCGAGTGTTCCTAGTTTCAATGTCCCAAGTAGATGATTGCACGTACAGTTGTAGCAGAGACGCTCGGCAGAGGAGCAAACCTCGGCATAGTGGCCAACGTTGCCACACTTGTAGCAAGCACGACGAGAGAGAGAAGACATTTTGAAATGTGTTATGTTCTGGTTAAGAAAAGGAAGTTAGCAAAATGTGCCGAGAATTTGCGAAGACCCCGTTTATATGCCATTAGATCGCGAGAGTATCCATATGCCATGCCCAGTTAAAGTTCAACCGTATAATCCGTTGACAGGCGCCGGGAACCAGGAAACCACCAGGGCCACTAAAAACTGGCGGGCCCATGGATTGTCGCGGGGCTGTTCGAAACGCCGTTGCTAGCTTGGCTGCAAGAAATTCCCTCGCTAAACAGCTGCAGGGTATTTCGGGGCAAAAAAGCCTGACAGGGCAGAAAAAGCAGCGTTGGCGACTCCAAGGGGTGTAGACGAAGTGTGTCATCTTTGTCAACGAGGCCACGATCCAGGCAGCTTCGATGGAGAAAATGCTTTGCCGGCGACTCGGTATAAATGCAGATGCATCGCAATCGATATGGCTCGAAGCATCCGTGATCGACACGGCAGCAAAAATATGCGGATGGCGTGGATCTCATTTTTGCAGTAGAAGAAGGCCATCGCCTCGATTATGCAGAACAGAGAAGTCAAGTCTCCTCGCCATTTGATGAGCCAGACACGCACAGCATATAATCGGCGCCAGCGATGCGATCATCTCCTCTGCACTAACCGAAGCATGCGCAGAATGATCTTGCAATCATCGCGCACCTGCGCTGGTCGCAATATCAATATCGAGTCGAAATCGGAGTCGCACCGCATGGATCGTGTCGCACACAGTCGCACAGATGTGGCCTCGATCACGGACCGAGCTGCCGCCACGGAATCGGAGCAGCGGGGAGAGGAACAAGTCGGCTTGGCTCCCATCTTGCATCAAATAATCGTAGAATGATAAAGATGACACTTGCGGGGCGATGCGCTCAAAGTACCGGTTGAACTTTGACAGGGCGATGGCATATTCCGTGACAGCGGACAAGAGAAACCTTCTCTTTCTTTTTTTGTGGGCGCAGAGGAACTGGTGGGCAAATACACACCTGGTGATAAAAAGATACTGCGTCTCGTAGAGTTTTCTGCTTTCAGCAACGTGAAGTGATTCCGACAACGGGCGACAACAACAGCGACGTCCACCAACAAACTAATGGATTCCGGTCAGGGAAAATTTTTCTTGTCGTGAGGAGATGATTATGATCGAGGGAAAAGGGAAAAATACTGTAGGGAAGTGGAGCGGCGTGGACGAGGGCGAAGGAGCGAGGGATTGGTTCAGCAAAATGCAGGCCAGTCTGATTTGATGCGTTACGTGTGGGTTGCGAGCCAGCTAGTGCGTGCGCGACTGCTGCGCCGTGGGTGTGTGGTTCGTCCACTGAGGCTCCGGGGCGTTGCCTCCCTGGACTCAACTGGAGCAGCGCTGAGGCATCAATTCATCACGCTGGACTTGCAGCGCTGCAGGGCCCTTCCCGCTCTAGCAGGGCGCCCCACCGCTAGCGCTCTTGGGGGAGAGGTGAGGGGTTGCAAGTTCGCCACGGGTGCGCAAAGGCTGATGGATCACCCGCATCGAAGGGGGCGATACCTACGAGGTACATGGGCATACTCGGACAGACGTCAACGGCCATGCGAAGGACCAATATCTCGTATCATGGATTTCATTCAAGGCGACCGAATTTCAACAGCAAAGAGAAATCATGCATGATGGCGCAAATAGATGCGACATCAGGTATTATCTACTAAGTTAGCAGCTTACTAGGAGGTATATTCCTACTGCGACTATACATGCAAGGTACCACCTGCAACAGAAATGCTCGGCTGCATCCCATCAAAAAGTTCAGTACTACTGCAGTACAGCCAACAACCAAAGCAGCGCATTGACCCGGCCAATTAATATTACCAACTCCCCAAAAACACCGCAGTAATCCCCAAAGTATCCTCGCCGTACAACCACCAAAAATCACCCAGCCCGTCCTTCTCCATCCGGACTAGCACTCCCACTACCACCTCCAAAGCTCCCCCAAAAATGCGATCCCGTGATTCAATTGATTTCCATCCATCCCAGCCCAAAGAGCCCCAGAGCAACGTGTCCCCCGAGCCCTTCTATACGGCCATACCCTTGACACCCCCAATGCAACAATATGCCATCACCGCTGTCAAATAAACCTGCGCGTAATCCGCCAAACAAAACCTTGAACAAATCCTAGTCGTGACTGACGGAACATTTGCCTCGGCCAGACCAGGGATATTGCTCGCCCAAAACGAAGATGACGCCCCGGAGGTCGATGATGACGGGGCTTAACTCTTTGGGGGCATCCAAGCACTCAAACGCGGCCTCCGGATAGGCAAAAAATACGAAGCCCTTCTCATTTCAAGCCCTTCCATTGATCCGTTTTGTCAAAAATTGATGGCTGCAGCATCCAACTCGGTTGCGCTAGCGGATGCTCCCAACACCGACGCAGGCAAAAAAAAGACTGTGCTGGTGCTGCTCCAAATATTAATTTCTCAGCTGTGCATGCATCTGGCAGCCAATCATGACGCCTTCACCCGCCGGGAAAGGGAACCGGCCCAGTTCTCGACCGACGCCTGGACAGGGCAAGGGACCGTGAGCCAAGACATGGGAAAAGTGGCCCATGTGTGACTGGCAATCAAAATGTAAAAATGCACGTATTACATGAAAGTTATCAAGTAGCAGTGCAGTATGGAGTACAGGACCTCACAAAACGACAAAGGGAGCCAGAACAAAAGGGTGAGTTGAGGAAAAGCTGCCAGAGAGGGCAATTCAAATCATGGGCGGGCATCCTATATTACCAAGAACGCCGTTCGACAGGCGGCAATATACAATCCGCCGCCTCCAATCTGGCCTGGACGCATCCCCATGTACCACCATGCCCGTAATTTCATGCCATTGACGCCCAAGAAACACCCGGAGAAAACACCAAGACCCTTGACCATTTTCTAGCTACCCATCCTCTCTCAACTCGGAGGTGGCAACCCAGCTCTTCCTCGTTCTGAAGGATGCACCGGCTGGTGTTCGCCCTCTGATGACGGAGCAATAGACCGAGGCACCGCATCAACCACGTAGGAAACTCCATCTTCGGATATGTAGGACGGCGGCCTCGGTCCCGTTGTTGGCGGAGATGGCGTGGGCTGAGCAGAATCATTCCGTTGCCAGAAGAAGCGGTTTGGATCCACACGCTGGATATCATGTTAGCTCAGCCCTCGTTAAAATATCTCTCGTAATGCCTGTACATACCACACTCTCTCGCCAGAGTCCGTAGGCGGGCGGTTTCATTGTCATGGCTTCATTCTCGACGCCGGCAGCTTCTTCATCCTGGGCCATCACCACTCGTATGGGGTTGCGCGGAACGGCATATCCTCGCGGGTCTATGGCCCTTGGAATCTCAGGCGGGTCTCCGCGAACAATCAGAATCCATAACCGGATGAGGCTATAGCAGAAGAATACTCCCGCCAGAAGAATGATCATAATCAACATGATGTTCAGCTCGCCAATAACAACATGTTTTGTTAGTGTAAGACCCAGATCTGTAACGGATATCAGCATTTCACGATCACTATTTGAACGCTGTGCAACACCAAAAAAATCATATATCCACTTACACACTGCCAGCAGCGAAAAGAGAAACGTAGCAGCCACGAAGCACATGGCAAGCTGCGCTCGCACATGCCTCGACTTGATCCACGGCAAGCAGAACAAGAAGCGCTTCGGCTTATTCTTCTTGACCGGCTGTGGCTCATCCCGAACTTCAGAATTCATAGTCTCCAGAGCCGCACGACGGGCGTCCGATGCTGCCAAAACCGCGGGTTGAGGAACAACCGGCAAGCCTCCCACTGCAGGTCGACCGGCCATGCTCATACGGTAGACAGGCGGCGAGTTTGATCGTCTCGAAGGCAACACAGGTGTCTTTGGGCTCTCCAGAGCAGCCTCCTCGTCGCCTGCCCTCCTCCGGCCCAGTGCTAGGTGCGGTAGCAGAAGTCGTCTAGGAAATTTGTGGCTCGTGTTCATCTCTCGCATGATGGTTTGTCGACGTGAGGCGAGGACCTCGTTCTGGCTCTGGTCTTGGTAGGTGCTTCCACGTTCCTCCCCTCGCGCCCTTCTAAGAAGCTCACTGCGGAGCAGCTCCATGCTTCCTTCTGACGGCATGTTGTTTATTCGTTAAATCTTTTTGTTGGTTGATATCATGAAAGTGGTGGAAATTGGTAGGTGAGTGAGTGTCTCTCTCTCCGGTCCTGTCGCGGCGCAGCCGTCTCGTTGGGAATTTTCGTATGACGTCGGGGAAAAAAAAAGAATGAGATTCAACGAGCGAATTTGATGTGATCGAGTGTGTATATAGAGAAAAAAACAAGTGAATGATATCGAGGAGAAAACGAGAGAACCTGCTCAACGAAATGAAGAATAAAAAGGCACAGAGACAGAGAGAGGTGAGAGAGAAGAAGAGAGAGTTCAAGGCGCCGCAAAATTAAAGGAACGGAATAGGATGGATGAATCGGTAGTAGGAAGGGAAGCAAGCGAAGAGGAAGAGAATAAAGAAGGCCTGAAGAAAAAAAGATGACAGTAAGGAAAGAATAGAGCGCGCAATCAATACATTGGATGTAGAGACTACGAAAGAGCAAGAAGGCAAGAAGCACAACTCCAGTAACCAGCTGGAAAGGGCAGATGCTCGCTCTTACGAAGGAAGCACAGACACAAGACACAGACACAGCGAACCCTCACATCAATGTAAGACGGAAAACACGCCCTGCGTCCAGAATTCAAAAATAGGGTGTCGTCACGTTGGATTGCGAAGCCAGGATGGGCCTCTCTCTGGCTGGGCTCGTATCGCCTCCTCCTCCCCCCGCCACTTTGTATCAAACCAATACCAATATCCAATGTCATTGAACGAAATCAAACTTGATCCCGAGTGGCCGTGCAGGGGCTGCCCAAAACCAGGGGCTGGGGTTAAGGGCAAGGGTCCTTGAAAAAGAGGCCGTGTTTCAGCCCACGCAGCTCCGCCACCAATGGATTTTGCTGCCGCCAACGCCCTCGACGGGACCTGATACGGCCCGGCGGCGCTCCCCTCGAGAAAATTACATGTTTCGCGATTCGCACCGATTGTTTGATGCAGTCTGGAGAAGGAAAGGATGCGAAGGGCTAGTGCGAGCATGTGCAGGAGCTGTTGGACTTGTATGGGGTTGAATGTTGGCACGAGATTGGCGAATGGCCTCTTGCTCCATCGCATCGTGATGGGCAATCCAGGCACAGACACAGACACTAGCACTTTTGAGCAAGACTTGTAATATACAGGCTGAATGGGAACGTGCTTTACCGACCGGGGTTTGTTATTTTCGCATCAGCCCGAGCATGCTGTGTGTAGTTCACTCATTCACTTCCATATCACGGATATTATAGGCCCCATGTTACAGGCGAGCCGCGGTTGTGACAAACATTTAGCGTAACGGCGCTTATTATAGATTGCAGACTTGGACCTAAACAAGATAGCTTCATATGATGAGGAGGCGCCTCATTTCCTCTCAACAGCTGGTAATAACCTCCAAGAAGATTTGGTTATTCTTGCAATTATTATTACCATGTTCAAGCAGGCAATCATTGCCACGCCACCTTCTTGTGTGCATCCGTGAACCATTGTATTTTATATTGCCTTCAACTCCCGGTATCGCTTTATAATCCAGTAATAACTAACATTGACGCCATGATCGCCATGATTTGGGTTCTTTTTTTCCTTCCTGAATACTTCCTCCTTCAAAATGAAGAGCATTAATATTTGAGCAAAGTAGCTCATATCTGAGATGAACATGCTATACAAGGCTCAGTTATATATGAAGCCTGCTCAATGGTATAAGTCGGCGGTTAAAATGGGCGAAGCAAGACATCATAGCCAACCTCATTTCATAGCCACCACTTGGGCTCTAACAAGAATGGAAGATTCATCGAGCTGCATTGGGCTTCTTCCCCATGAGTTTCCGCAAGCTGCGTGTACCGGTTGCGTAGTTTACACATTACCGTTACAGCCCAGTAACGCAAGGTCATAGATACTCGACTCACTTTAACTCGCCGAGAAGCATGGTACGGTCTGAGGAGGCGGACAACACTAGAAATTTTGTCAGGTAACAATTCACAAAGAAAAGGACGTGCTCCGTGCCAACTTACAGATTGGTTCCTTGCCTGGCGCAAATTCTGCGCAGTTGACTGCGCCTCTATGGCCTGGGAGCTTATACAACAGCTTTCCAGTCTGAACAGACCAAATCACCACTGTGCCGTCACCTGAAGCCGCTGCAACCTTCTTGCCCTCTGAATCCCAGCTAGCACGGGCTAGATTCTGATCCACTCCGGCTGTCGCTCCGTCAAACGTTCGGATATGCCTTTCCGTCGGTGCAAATGGGCGAATATCCCACGTTCGCACCGTCGTGTCCATCGAATATGACAGCAAAGATTGAGAGTCGGGTGATACTCGCAGCGACGTGACCGTGTCTGTATGGCCTAGTAAAGAGTACACCACTGCCTTCTTTCTCAAATCCCAGACACGAATGTCGTTGTCGATACCTCCCGTGTAGATCTCGTTGCCGGCCTGGGATATCGCAACAGCTGTGACTGGAAATTCGGTTTGGATGTAATCGACCGCATTCTTTGACCTTGGATCCCAAATTCCAATCGTCGAATCGTCACTTCCGCTAATCAGCATCTCCTCGCCTCGCTTGCTGATATCCAAGGTATTGATAATCTCTTCGTGCCCGACGTATCTTCGTATTCGCGTTCCAGAGGTGAGGTCCCAACTGGCAAGATGCATATCAGCCGAAGCAGAGTAAACAATCTCCGAGTCTCGCGCCCATTGCAAGTCGAGAACAGCGCCTTTGTGGCCGTTTAGCACGCCGTAGTTTTCGCAGTCGCCATAAGTCCTCCAGAGCACTGTTCAGTATCAGCAAATAGGGAAATTTCCAAATTTCAAGCAAGGAATTCCCATACTTATACTTCTGTCCATTGATCCAGAAGCAATCAGGTTGCCCGTAGGATCAAACTTGGCAGTGAAGATATCTCCAGAGTGTCCCGTCAGCTCCATCACCGGGGCCTGGAGCCCGCTCGTTCGGGGTGCCTGAGAATAACGTTAGATTTGCCCCAAATGAACCATCAGCTTCCTTACAGCTTGCACCAATGCACTGCTTGATGCATTGAGTCGAGCAAGCGCTCCCTCGGAGGCATTGACATTTTGCCTCTTCACCAGGGACGTGGACAAGCCGGGATCGTCGTCCGCCGGGCGCTTTTCAGCTGACATTGTGAAAGTCAAAGAGTCGCAAATGTTTCCAGAAATTCAAAGTGTCGCCAAACAATAGAATTCCAACGAATGTTGAGCTGCTGAGATTTTGCCCGTGTCGCGATCGCGAAGCTTTGTCAAGTTGCGAACTAGGCTGTCGAAACTCGCCCTCCTATTGGCTTTCGGCCCGTGGATTGTTCCTATGGTCAAGGCTCCCCGTTGCATAGCGGCCTTGTAACTCGGTACCCCACCGCCTCTGAGCTCCGGCATAACAGTCGCAACATCTCTCCTCCGTAGCAGATCGACCGATTAGTGAATCTGCAGCTTGTTTCGCTGCATTTACTGTCTACTGTTCGTACACAGCTGTGCTTTGCCTGGTTTCTACTGCGCTTAGCCCTTCTCTCCGTCTCTCGAAGCTTGAACAAGCGTCACAATGGCGGCCAGCAAAGCGTCCCGCATTGGGGAAGAGTATGTTTCAGCGAGTGGTGATGCGCTTGGTCGTGATCTAACATGAATACAGAATCTGGAAGTAAGACGACCATAGTATTGCAGGAGACGGTGTTTTGGTCTAATCGCATCGTTAGAACTCGTATTGACAAGGTGAATGCCGAGTTGGTAACCTTGACATACGGAACCATCGTCGCACAGCTATGCAAGGATTTCGAAGAAGACTACCCAGAAGTCAACCGACAGCTTGACAAGATGGGTTACAACATTGGGCTACGACTCATTGATGATTACCTAGCCAAGTCGAATACGATGAAGCGCTGCTCCAACTTTCGCGAGACAGCAGATATGATTTCAAGGGTAAAGGATAATCATGGGCCTCCCTTTGTGTACTCTTGCTAAAGCATCATCCGGATTCATACAGGTTGGGTTCAAAATATTCCTCAATATCACACCACAGGTGACGAACTGGACGGCCGACAACAACTCCTTTTCGCTGGTATTCGACGAGAACCCGTTTGCCGACTTTGTCGAGCTACCAGACGACGGAAGGGCACAGAACGAGCTCTGGTATTCAAATATCCTGTGTGGAGTCTTGAGAGGCGCCTTGGAAATGGTTCAGATGCAAGTGGAAGCGCACTTCATCAGCGATGTCCTAAAGGGAAACGATACTACGGAGATGCGGGTAACCCTGATACGCTATATCGACGACGAGCTGCCACCAGAAGACGATTGATAGCCTGAGACGATTGTCATGTGTGCGCAAGTACATGTTGACCAGGTTGATGCAGCAGAGAGAGTCCGGCCGGCCAAAGCAGAGCTATTAGTAGATTATCAACAACAACGACAGTCGATCCGACTCGGTCGAGGAAACTAAAGGCGGAATGATACCCAAAGATGGAGCCGAGCTATCTAGATACGATACGATGCTTGATGAGATCAATGCAGATGGCTGCAGCAGTACTCCGTAACCCTGTGGATATTACTAGATGGGCAGACAGGGATGAATAGATGGGTGCCTTGTTTCTTGAAAGCTAGCCTGCTGAACTCAACCAGGGGTTCTATGGATATAGGTCGGGACAAGGTCAATATGCTTTGCGGCTATGTACTGCTTGTTTGTGTAGCATCTACTAGGCACCTATAGACTTCAGAACACCAACCATAGCCTGACAACATCAAGACAAACAAGTGATGCCAGCACCAAGCTGCATAAGCCTCTACGCCTTATGACGGAAACTCAATCTTGATTTTACTACGAAGCGATAACCCGAAGCCGGCCCAAGGCAGAAAGCAAAGCAGGCCTGCCTGATCTCCATGGAATCAGCCCACTCACGCTGTGGAGTGATTCAACGCAATGCTCACTGACTGGCCAAGGAGCCACCTCGGGTTGTACGTGGTATGAGCAATCACGTCACAGGGCGATGCAACGTCGAGTTGATCAGATTCACTCTCAGCATATGGTAAAATTGAGCTGCAGTGCTGTTGACGAGGATGAGGATATTTGGAGGAGGAAACCGGGCTGATGTCTGGATTGTTTGCTGATGTTGAGGCGCATGACGCGACGATCGGAATTAGGCATTTGATGTAATTTTACATTTAACAATTTCCAGCACTGTGCAATTCGCAATTCCAAATCAAAAACAAAAGCTCCTTATGCAGAGAGAGCTCAATCTCTTACACGCAGCTCTCCGTGTTTCCAAGTAGTAGTAGTAAGATAGAGTACATGTATGGAGCAGGCTTACCTCACATGAAATCATGTACCAATTAGCTCATCCGTTTCATTGGCGTGTCTGTCGCACAGGGCTTGACGTGCGGGATTCATGCCTGAGGCGCAAACATCTGCCGCAGACCCAAAACTACGCACCTAGTCTGACGCATACGCAGGCACCAGCGAGCCGGTGCCTCATAGTGGGATCGCCAATGCCCCCCGAAGCAGCCCATCAATTTTATGCGCACTCGAATAACTTTTCCCGGCCACTTTCTGCTTTTCGCCGCCGTCGCTTCGCACTGTGCAGTCTCGCGCCCGCGCCTTATCCGTACCGTGCGGCGGCACCAGCCCCAAGGCCAGACAAGGCACTGAGAGACGAGGCTGCGCGCACCAACCCGACGCGGCTCTTGCGCTGTCTCTACAGTGCGAGATTTATTCTGGTACGGACTCAACCGCCACACTCCTTTTCCTGCCCCGTGCGCTCGCCGTACTGTATGAACTCGCGTCTGCGCACCACCATCGCCTGGCCTGGATTCGATTTACTTGCACCTTACCTTACCTTTCACTACCTCCACAGCCTAATCTGATGTCCATCGCGACATTTGTCTCCACGGCCCAGCGCGAGTGCTGACCCTCACAGCCTGGACGACCAACGGCTTCTTGTGCCTCTGTCGAACTGTCTCAGAGCCTCAACGCAGCTCCCGCTTCTTCTGCTTCGACTCGGCCCTCGACGTCTCTTGTCTTATTTCTGCCGGCCCCAGACGAAACTCTACCGCTCCGCTACTGTGCTGTGTTCCCGCGCTGCCGGTACGCAGCACTAAGGCAACCTCGCTGTAGTGCGCTACAATCCCAGCCCCCAGAACAGAGGCCTGCTCAACTCTCTTCTCCATCCTCCATCTCAGCCGTCTCTGCCTTGCCCCGGCAGTTGGACGCATCTCTGCAGCAAGTGCGGCATCTTCGCTGCTCCGCGACGCCTGCAGTCGCCAATTTTCTGCCTGTCCGCCATCACCGACCGCCGTCGTCGCTTACAACGCCACTCTGCCCATCGCCTGGCCTCGACAAGCGCGTCTCTCGCCGCAGCGTTCGACGACTCACCTCGCTCCGACGCGGTTCGCGATAGCTTTCCACAGATCATTTTAGCCATCTCTCCCGCTTCGGCTCTCTCTTGATTTTCCGGGTTCTGTCCCATCTCGCCCACGTTGCCAGCCCGACAGGGCTTTTCGCGCGGCGGCACCTGAGTGGCTTACAAGGCAAACTTTGTTACACCATCTTCGCCTGATACCTTGCGTTTTTGAGTTTTTTTCCTCTCTATAAAACCTGTCAAATTTCCTCCTATACTTCCAGCAATCATGAATCCCAACGTTGGAATGGCAAACATGACGCCCATGGGTGGCCCAGTTGGCGGCGCACCGATGCCCATGATGAATAATGGCGCTATGAATCCTCAGATTGCCGCTGCAGCTGCGGCACGGCAGCAGCAAGCCAGTGAAAACCAGCGCGGCGTTCTCAACACATATATCTACGAGTATTTCCTCAGACACCAGATGTACGAGTGTGCCCGCTCCCTCCTCAACAGCGACCAGCAGGTCAACGTCAACAAGGACGCCGCTGGCCGTCGCGAAAACGGCAACGCCATGAACGGCGATGATCCCATGGACACCGACTCCAAAGACGACGGTGACTCCAAGTTGCCGGACGACCTGCCCCCGCCTAAGCTGCCTATGCCCGCCTCTGATACGTCGTTTCTCTACGAATGGTTTTGCGTCTTTTGGGACATCTATACTGCCCCACGCGTCAAGGGCGGAAGCGGCATGGTGAATCAATATGTTCAGCACACTCAGGTACGAAACAGATTGTGGAGCACTTTTTTTTTCTCCTATGCTCTTTTATTCTGGCGTTTGTCAGGTTGAAACACCCTTGCTAATCTGAATCCGCAGCAGCAACAGCGAATGAAGCAGACCCAACAGCAGGAGATGCTACGTCAAATGCGCCCTGATTTGGCGCAGCAGCAATATCAAGCTCACTTCATGAGAAACATGCAAAATAACAATATGGCAATGACCATGAAGCAGAATAATCTTGCTCGGGCGGCTATGGCCAATAACCAAAAGTAAGCAGTCCGGAGAGAGTGGCCTCGTCTCTTCAGCCACAAATTTGTACTAACTATTCTCTCTCTACCTAGCCCTCAAATGCAGATGCTCCAAGCAAAGAATCAGATGCAGCGGGATCCTTCTAATATGGACGGCAACCGGGATCGGCCATCGTCTCCCGCGTCGGGAGAGAATGCGCCGTCTCCTTCAAAACGCCCACGCCTCGACAGTGCCCCGTTCAATGCTAACCAGCCCGGTGCTATGATGGCAAATGGTCGTCCAGGCCAAGTCATGCCCGGCCAGCAAATGGGTAATGTGGCCAACGCTCAGCAGGTGCTTGCCGCCAACGGTATCAACCCCGCGCAGCTCAACCCCCAGCAGATGCAAAACTTTGCCAATACGCCACCTGCGGCACAGCAAAAGTCTATTGCAACTTACTCCCACAACCTTCAGCAGCATCACGGCAACCAGATGGGCAACAAGCAGATTCCCGGCGTAGGAGGACCTCAAAACCAGAGCTCGCCCATGATGCCACAGGGCCCTGATGGCAACACCCTCAATGCCTTTTACAACCCTGAGATGAACCCCGGCGGTATGCGACCAGCAGGCCCAGCCGGCGCTCAGGCAGCCGCCGCCGGCAGCAACCATGCCCTACAGGACTATCAGATGCAGTTGATGCTGCTTGAGCAGCAGAATAAGAAGCGCCTGATGATGGCCCGTCAAGAGCAGAGCGACATGGGTGGAATCCCCCGAGATGGCCAGCCTGGCGCCCCCGGACCCAACGGACAGCCTTTCCCAGACACCTCGCCCCAGGCAATGAGGTCCGGAACCTCTCCCAACCCCGCAGAACAGATGAAGCGCGGCACACCTCAGATGAACTCCGGCGGCATCCCCTCGCCAGTTCCTGATGGTGGACAGTCGCGCGAGTCGCCCAACGCCATGAACTTCCTGGGCAACCACGTTGACGTTAGCATGGCACCTCACTTCTACAAGGGAGTGGATGGAGGGAACATGGGACAGGCCCAGATGAACGGCATGCGTCCGCCCAGCTCACACCCTGGCCAGCCATTCAACGGCCCGATGAATGCGCAGCAGATGATGGCTGCCCGACAGCAGCAGCAGAACGCGCAGGGTAACCCGCAACAGTGGCAACCTGGAATGAATGGCCAGATGGTACCTCAGGGAATGCAGCAGGGCCAACAAGTTCAGGGAACTCCCCAGCAGCGATCTATGCCTCCTCCCTCGGCACCCGCAGCCGCGGCGGCCAACACAAACAACAGGACAACTGCGTCGCCCCAGCAGGCTTCGGCAGCGCCTCCCACCCCTAGCCAGACCAACAAAGCCGCACCGAAGAAGAAGGACACCAAGAATGCCAAGGACAAGGTAAGCTCTGCCCCTAACATTCCCATTTTGCAATCTGACGGATCTTATAGCGAGCCGCTGCACAGAAGAAGACAAATCAGAACGCCAACAACGCCGCCGCCGCCGCCGCCGAGAACAATGCGGAAGCTGACGCGGCAGCACCAGCTACCCCCATCACTCCCGTTGTCGGCGGAGCCTTTAAGAACGCTCAAGCCGGAGGCCCCGTGCCAAACGCAACTGCCGCCGCCGCGACTACAGGAATCCCCGCCCCGGCTGCCGCCGCCAGTGCGCCGGTGCCACCGCAAGCTGCCCCTGTACCACAACCCACTCATGACATTCAGAATAACGGTCTGGGCGGTATGGACAACTTCACTATCCCAGTAAGTCATGTCAACACTCCTTTTCGCATGACTAGACCCGAGAAAATTAACCTTGACTTGCAGGATTTCGGAATGGAACTGGCCAACCCACTCCACTCTGACAACGTGCTCAATGACTTCGATTTCGACTCATTCCTGAATGATGGTGATGCCAACAATGAGCCGTTCGACTTCAACGGAGGATACCCAGGGCTGGAAGGCGGCGAGATCGGTGCGGAGTAGGAGGCTAGCTTGTCGCCAGAAACGCTCGAAGTAGATCGGGAGGACACGATGCTGTCGCTTCTGAGAGAGTGGCGCAGGCAGTTTGCCCCGAAATAGGCGCCCGCGAACTTTTGTTCGATATCAAGATGGGTCGGCAGTTTTTATCTTTTGTTTTGTTGCTTTGCTTTCCTGGGTTATCTCTAATCTGGCATCATTCGATACGGCGTTTCAGTGGATATCTATATCAATGGTCATGCGGCGATCCGGTTTTCCCAGGGTCTTTACTTTGATGGTTTGAAACGGGAAAAAAAGAGATGTTGTTTGTCCCTGTGGATTTTGATTTTGTTTTTACCCGTTCCCTCTACTTGTCCAACCCCTTTTCTTTTCTCTTCTCCTGTCTTTTTTTTCTCTTCTGCCTTTCCCTCTCTCTCTCAAGTAGTGTTACATGTCATTTCCTTGCTGATGGAAGGGGAACGTGGGGTGTTGGGCGGAAGAAAACAAGGCCCTTTCCCCTTTCTTTCCCCTTTTCCTCCTGTAAAATGTTTTCTTGGCCTAACGTTTCGATAATGGTTTCTTTTCGAAGTTTCGCATACCACATAAGTCACTTGTTGTAAAAGATCAAATTAATGTTACCTACTATGTGTACTGTTGTCTATAAAATGATGTGATTCGTCGTTGGAACGGTATTGGTCACTTTGAATTGAGAGGAATTTTGCCGTGTAACTAGCAACGTCTCGCTCGATTGATGTTACATACAACTTAGTCACCAATAGTAATGCAACAGGGTCAATGATGTGAGTTAGGAGTCATAACAGTCGTGGTCATGAGGTATCTTGAATATATATACAGTGAATTGAAATGATGTCCCACGCAGGGACATGTTGTCATGACATGTGCATCATAAAAAGCGCCTTCTACCATATCTACCCAAATCCAAAATTTCCTTTTATTTTTTTTTATCCTCCATCTTTTCTTTTTCATATCTTCCTCCCCCTCTTCATTGAGCTAAACTCCCCTTAAGAGGAGTAGACGGCAACGTATTGAACTTCAAACATGTTGCCCCAGCCGGGCAGAGTCGCCTCGTTAGGGTCACCCTATTATTCCGCAAGTCAGCCATACAAGTTCCATCGATAAGGAGAAAGACAGAAAAAGAGAAAAACTTACGGGCCATGTACCACCAACAGCAAGGTTGAGAATGATGTACATTGGAGAGTGCGCAAGCGTAGCCCAGAGCCCCTCGTCGCCAAACTGGGCGCCGACAAGGGTGTGGAAGAGAGTGCCGTCGAGGTACCATTCGATCGTCTCCGTCTGCCAGTTGTTAGACGAGCGGTTGATCTTGAGAGCCCAGGTGTGGAAGTCGTCGTCCTGAGGGATGGGAATGCTCTGGCCCAGGCCCGAGGGCTCGTTGCACGCACCGCCGCCAGTGTGGTCGCAGTGGGCGGTGCCGTAGCCGGTTAACTGGCCGTTGATCTGCTCAAAGATGTCGAGCTCTCCGCAGAGAGGCCAGGGGGTGCCGTGACGCATGGAGTCGCCCAGCATCCAGAAGGCGGGCCACATGCCTTGCTTGGTGTCAAGGGGGCTGGAGCCACCACGCAGAGCGGCCTGGACTTGCATGGTTTTGCCGGGAGCTGGAGTCCAAGACTGGATGGATTCGATGCGGGAGGAGGTCCATTCGCCGGAGGGGGCTTGTTGAGGGACGAGCTGGAGAGTTTGGCCTCCGGAGAGCTGCATGTTGGAGTCGGACTGGGTGTAAGTCTCGAGCTCCTGGTTGTTGTGGAGGTCGGTGACGACGGTCCATTGGGTGAGGTCAACCATGTCGCCTTGCTGGCCAACAAAGGTCTCCTGCCAGACGAGGTTCATGCCGGGGAGGTTTGGGGAGAGAGTGGCCGAGACGGAGGAGATGGCCAGGGCCAAGAGGCTGAGGGATTGGAAATGCATCTTGATGATGAATGTGTTGTTTATTTGCTGGTTTGATATCGTTTAGAAGTGGGATACAAGGATCTGTATCAGAAGAGAGAGAGTCTTGCTCTGACGGTTGCGAATCACGGTCAACTGAGGGAATGAATATCTAGACTTGGACAAAGGAGTGCCTGTCTGTCTGTTTTTATTTTTGGTGTTTTGCCTGTTCAACAGTAACAAGAAAAAGGAGTGCGCAGAATCGACCAGCGAAAGGAAGGTAAACGGCCACAGGCCTGAGAAAGGGAATGAAGTTGAAAANAAAAAAAAAAAAAAAGGTATCAAAGCAACCGCAGAGCAAGACGCATGGTGGCAAGGACGGGGAGGAGTGGCAGAGGAGCTGCTTAAGTACATGTACGAGTATTGAATGGCCCCAAACCGATGCGTTGTCGTTGCATTCACCGTACCTGCACTAACAACACTAGATCCAGGTACGAGTACATCTAGTCGACTAAGATAATGGCCATCGTTGATACTGCGGCCGTCCTCATGCTCAGGTACCTTGCATGGAAGTCCTAACCTCCAGTCATGCAAGCCGCGTATAGTCCCAGATCCACCACGGCCCAAGCGCCCATCCCATCGTATAATGTGACTAGGTCCGAGTGCTAAGAAAAAAAAAAGCCCGCCCAGGAGAACATAAGGAGGATAAGAGAAGGGGAGAGCAAAAAAGGCAAAATCCCAAAAGGCAGCCAGTAAACGCCCTGGCCGAGGCGGAATGTTGGGCATGCTAAGACGCACGTTCTACGCGGGCTTATGGAGTGATTGATAGGCGTGATGCCGCCCCCGAAAGGCAGAAATCCTTGCAGGGCTACAGGGGGGGGATGCTGGTTTAGGCGCGAGAAAACGTGCAGGGATTGGGGGCCAGGCACAGAAGTTGAAACAGAGCGGAAACAGGACCGGGGGTGGTGCAGTAGTGTGCTTATACTGGGTGCTGCACGTTTGAAAGTATGTGCGTGGTAGCGAGCAGGTAGACTTTCATGCGTTCGAGAGGTGATAGGATGGATTGGCTGTGGTGAGAGGATGATGGAGATGGGTGTAATGCTGATGCTGAGATGTGACGGGCAAGGGGGCAGGCAGCCTGATGCGGGCGTTTAGCAGTCATCTTGGGAGCATCGTGAGATTGGAAGAAGAGATGGAAATAGACGGGCTTGCTGTTTTACTACTACCTACTGTACGCCGTTAGCTGAGTGCTGATCCATCAAACGAAGCTGATCGTCGTTCTCTAGCAAGCAGAATCCAGGGCACGCAATCAATCACAAACGCGGCCCCTGGGCATCACCATCGCATCGCATCTCCAGAGCAGATCGCCTCGCTAGAGTCAATAAATGCCCCTAGTATAGAAGTTCCATCAATCCATTTTCAAATAGTCCATGCACGTTCTTCAATAAACACCTCACAGAAGTAGACTACCTTTGCTCTACACCTCGGGTACACACCAACAAACATGTGAATAAACAGCTCGCATGTGCCTCATCCCCCATCATCCCCAATCGGATCTCTCCCCCAAAGCAAAAGGGAAAAATAAAGGGGGAAAAAATAAAACAATAGCCCGCCACCCGGCAAAGGTAGTTCCTAGTTCCCCCCTGCCGTACGAAACAAAAAGAAGAACAACTGCTGGAAACTGCATGATGCTACTGTAGCAAATACGAGAATGCCGCTCCGGATTGGCTGACCGCGGCGCATCTTGGGCCAATGAGCGGCCCATGAAGCCTCATTGACTCGCGCCCCCCAAGTCAGGAGGTGGCCATTTTGTTTTTTTGCTTTTTTGTTTCGTTTCCTTCATCTTGTTTATGTGTGCCTATGCGTGATGGTATTGGAGAGATAAAGACAAGGGTTTTTATTTTCTAATTTTCTTTTTCTTTTTTTCTACCCTTCAAATTCCATGGGTGTCTTTTTGCGCCTTACTTGGGCTGTGCTTTGCTTAGGCGAGAGGCATCGTGGGGGCTCCATCCATGTGCCCCATTGAATCCGGACAGGGGGGCCCACTCACTCAACATGTTTGATGTTTGATGTTTGATGCAGCGCGGCAAACAGACACAACACACAACATACGAGTACCGGTTACCTGGAATATTCCATTCTGATTCACCTCAAGTCCTCAAGTCATACCCGTACTCGTACTTGACATGGCAGCTTCACCGCTATCGACGCTGTTCCCCAGTGAATCCCCAAGCCTCTTCCCCAGATGCACAATCGTATTCTCGTAGATCCTCGCAGCGTCCAGATGTAGCTCGTCCTCATCAATGTCCCAAGACGGACCACCAGCATCGTAGCTTTCACCCCCTTCTGTTTCGTCACCATCATCTTCATCGTCGTCTTCGTCGTCATCCTCCTCTTCCTCTTGCTCACCACTGCTCATGACTTCCACCATGAGCACCCTCGTCTGCTCTACAAGACTCCGGCACCGGACCATGTCGGTAGTCGTCATGCCCGCTCGCAGCCCGTTTTCAAATCCCGGAAGTGTTTCATTCGTCTCAATGTCTTGGCCGGAGAGCAGGCTGGCGAAGCAGTGGTCCAGTTTGTGCAGCAGGTCAAACGACGCTTTTGACGATGGCGGGAATGACCGGACGTACTGAGTAAAGTCACTGGCCAACTTGAGCAGAAATGGTATCTGCAAGCCCGCTGGTGTTTCATATCATGTTAGCATTTCAATCGTCTTATATAAAAATACTAGGTGATGGCAAATACTCACGAGTCCCTGATTTCCACAACACATTCACAATCTCATCAAGCTCCCGGCACACCTCCCCAAAGGTCCGAAACCCAACCACTGTGTCTCCAGGATTCGGGTTTCCAAACTTCTTCACGTACCGACGTGAGACGTAAAGCAGCTTTTCATCTACAAATCTCCTCACCATGTCCTCCTTGTTTGATCCGGGCCGCAACGAACTGTTTCTCGGGTGCGGCAGGTTTGATGCTGCCCGTGAAGAGGCTGAAGACGGAGCCGGCGAAGGGAGTCCGCCTTGCGGAGGAATAAAGCCTCCAGGCTGTCGCGGTGAATCCGTCATGACTGGTAGAGTTATTTCAATCGAATACACAACAGAATACAGGTATATGGACGCCCTGTGCTTGTGCTCTCTTCTCCAGATGCCGCTGACACGCTCAATGACGATGCCGCTGTGGATAAGCGGGGGCGGGGTGTTGGAGACTGTGGAAGCTTGAATAGATACCCTAGAGGAGAGCAATTTGATTATGGAGAGAGTGAAACAAGCGCCGTCGAGGCTGGGAAACGATGAGAATTTATGCCTGGCTGATCAAATTTGGGGAGAAAAAAACTATTCAGAGTACCTATTTCAAGTGCAGAGAACATCTGCCGAAGAGATAATATGGCTATTGGATGAACTCTGTTTAGTTAGAGCGGCCTTAGTAACCCAATGTGATGCTTCTGAGCTTGAGTTTTACAAGGAAAAGGTAATAAGCTACGCATGTGAAACCCACTGGAAATACAAATTTCTCACAGTAGCAAGAGTAACAATGGAGAAAAAATAGAATCAAATGAAAGACAAAAAAAGGCTGCTGTATCATCGCATCAACTCGTACTATCGCGAGCAACATCCGAATTGCTGCAAACGGCAAAAAGAGTGATTCCGCCCGGGCTCGAACCGGGGACCTTTTCGGTGGCGTCAACTAACTGTTAACGAAATGTCATAACCAACTAGACCACGGAACCAGATGCTCTATTGCTTGATACTGCCTCACCCAATTTCAGCTTATCTTCTGTCCACCAATCGCCCAATCATGTGACCCAGCAATTGAATGCGATCAATGGCGGGGCGTTTTCGAATTTTCGATGCCCTCAGTGACGTTCGCATCGAAGCAACTCTGCCCATCACGCTTTGCGCTTCATCGCCTCCGATCCTCACCACTTCTTCAGCAAACTCACAATGCCTCCCAAGCGAATCTACGGCGAGAAGGGCGGCCGCCGCGCCCCCAAAGGCTTCGTGGCCTCGACTTATGAGACCTTGACCTCTGCCGAGAACGCCGCCTTTGTCCGCAGCATCGCCATCTTCGGAGTGCGTTTTCCACGGCTGATTTCAAACTATGCGCAGGGAAGCTGACATTGGAAAATCTAGGCTGCTGTTACTTTCCTTTCTAGCTCTTGGGGCGAGATCCTCCTGCCTCCGTACGACTCCCGATAAACCGAATCGCTATGCGGATCTAGAACTAACAACGATGTGATATAGTCAATAATCGATAGGCACTCTCCCTACCCTCCCTCACGATCCAACTCCGATTAACAATTCGACAACTCCCAAATCAAACCGAAAATTGAGTCATTGTACATTAGAAGGATGATTGTATACTACGATGCGAGATTTGCGCGGCCTGCTGCACGCGATATAGACTTGCGGGGCGACTTCAGGTGGTTGATGCGGCTCGACAGTGGCTTGTCGGAAATGATTGACTCGATAATGAAATAAAAAAGAAAGGCGCTCTCCATTTTTGGAACATTCTTCGAATCTTGTGTTGTGCACGATGTGAATCCTTTTCTTGTTGCTCGATCCGATCAAGGGTGCTTTAGGAGGTTTATTTCGGTCGTGATAGCCGAATGACGAAACCTGGTACGGGTGAGGAAAAGGGGTGTTATTTTTGGAAAGAACTTTGGATGACGCAGCATTTTCATCTCTTCACCCTTTGCCTCTTGCTGGTTAAAATGATGGATGAGAAATGGCAGCTGCAGTTGATCCCGGGACCGGAAGGTCAACAACTCGGCAGCTTGACGTAAACATTGGATCCAGGCGCGGCCTCATGGCAAAGCTTTTCTTTTGACTGCATTGCCTGCGTATGCACAGTTGTTTTATTCAGCTTCCCAAAAGTTACTTGTTATTTGTTTTCCTCCTCGTTTCCTCGCTCTCTTTTCTACCCTCCTTTCTTTTTTTATCCTCGCTCCGTTTCACAGGCTCTGCAGTCGGTTGGATCCCTCTCTTCTGCTGTTGTATTCTAAGACGCTGTCTGACGGAAACAATGTCTTCTGTGAGTACTCGGCGTGCGCCTAAGTCGCAAGGAGGGCTGGCCCGGCTGGTATCCAAATTCGAGAACCTGGGAGCATCAAAGACGCCTCAAGATATTGGATCAGCAGGTGAAATCAGACACGATCCGATTTCCGCTTCCAAATTTTCAGATGCTCCGCCAGTGCAGAAAAACGCAAGAGATCGTGTAGTCGGCTCATCAAAAACCTTGGCATCGCCATCTCTGACTCCTACGAGTGCCACAAGAGACCAGTTGGAAACGCCTCTCAAGGATAGCCATGCTGGCACCACTGCACCTCCATCGTCCAAAATTGGGAAACTAATCTCAAGGAGAGGCTTGGCAGTTGCGGACATGAGGAGATTGTTCGAGCGAGGAAATGATAAGAATGTTACTTCAAGTGAGTAGGCCCTAGTTCAATGGCACTCTTCGACCGATACGCATTTATATCTTTTCAGCCATAACATGGATGAATTACCAACTAACATTTGGATAGATGTTGCGCGAACGACTACCTATGAACCTAAACGCGTTGCTTCACCTATCACCACCACCGAGTGCAATGACCCTAAAACGTTCTCCCTTGCGAATAGCCCCATGAAGGGATCGTCGGCCGTAAACGATTCGGGTACACTGGCGAATCGGCAAGAAGAAAGAGACATTGTTCCTGACCTGGTTGAGCATTCCGAATATCTGCCACGGCCGCTCACTTCGCCCGATCGCTTCTCTAGACCCCCAAGAGAGGACAAAGCTGCTATCGAAGACAATAAAAGCACTTGGCAAAGAAATGAACCTCGATTCAAGATACGGGGTGGTGTATTTTTACACAACACCCCTGTTCCGCTCCAAAATATGGTTGTTACAGACGTAGGGACTTGGCGCCCAAACCCTCTCGACACATCCGAGTTGGCCTTGCACTCTGAGGACAGAAAATTGAGAAATGATGACCAACATTTGGTACATTCTTTTGAACGAGTAAAAGGGGACGGCTCAGAGCTTTTGGAAAACTTGCAATCTGGTGTGACTCTCTGCTATCCATGCCGCGACATTGTACTGTCATCGATGACTTATACTGACGGTGATGCCAAAGAACCACGTGGACAAGGGGGCCTGCTGTTTCCCACATCCAGATCATTTCCCCCTCAGCAGTCAAAGGTTTCCAATCTCCGGAGAAAGTTTGACAGCGCGTTGCCTTCATCAGTCTCGATGCCATCACTTTAGAAGAGGCACCCACGGACAGACGCAGTCAACGACGAACAGCCACTCCTGCAGAATAAGGCTGAACAGGCCGAAAGAGCCCCAAAATCCAGCCTGGAGACATCATCAAAGCCGATTATTTCCCAGCAGAGCTCTGTGCGGCCGACTTCCACACAAGATGGCACCCAGCCGCCTCGTTTCGGAACTTTGTCTGGAACCGGCCGGAAGCTCAAAGAGACGATTGGGCTCTTTGAGTCAATGAGCCACCAAGCCAATAGAGATGACAGATTCGGGAATATTCCCAAGATATCTTCGTCTCCGACATTCCAAAGGACTGCCGCTACGAAGGGTAAGCTTGCTAGTGACAAACTCGAGAGGGCAGCAGCCAAATCTGAGGACGTGCCACCTCCTCCCAGACTGTTGTCACCGATAGAAGATCGACCTCCACGGCCATACGCACGATCACCAGGCGTACATAGTGCCAGCAGCCAGGCTAGTGATATCAAGCCCTTGCTCTACACGACACCGTCCATGATCAAGACAAAGCGCCATGAGAAACACTTTGTAAGTGGTTAGCACTTAATCTTGAGTCTCATAATGACGTTGGAATTGTGATCAGTGGCCTAACTTGTCAAGGGATCTCTATTTAGATCGGGATGGAGAAGAAAAGCGAAGTTGAGATCTGAAGACGATGCGGTGCAACGCCAAAGATACAACATCGACGGTGAGGCAGGGCTCGATTTTGAGCAGAAATACCACAAGCTTTCGTGCGACGAGACATGGACGGACGGCAGCGAGGCTTCCTCTACTACGCACGAACCTATGATTGCGGAACGCCACCCTTCCCTTCGCCTTTTGCGTCGGCGTCTGATGTCTCGTAGCCATGGACTGTTTGTTTCAGAGGCTCACTGTACTCTTGAGCAGCCGCAGCCAGTGCGAAGCAATGAGCTACGAAATCTTCCCAGTCTTTTTAGAGAGAGGATGGCTGTATTGAGGGCACGGGCTCAGACGGAGTAGGAAGGGTAATGGGATCGTGGAGGAGCATTAGAAGTAGATTCCCTTAGGACTAGTCCACTACTCAAATACGGATGTTGTTATCACTTCATTTGTTCGTTCATGTGCGATGGCTGGTTTTCTCAAGTATGTTCTGACCTACATCAATCCATATTGGGAGACCTTGTTGCTTGGATAATGTTTATTAGGTAGACAAGCCATGAAATTATAATGTGGGAAGCTTTAGACTGAGGTTTCTCATGTATATATATATCTTTCCTAAGGTCCATACTATCATGGACGACTATCGTGTCCTATCTTGACAGATTATGTCCTTCCCGTCTCTCAAACTAATGACGGGTATGTAAAAGCAACATTTGCTAAGTTTTCAAAAACGCTTGCTAATGAAGTGCAAACAAAAGAAGCAGAAGAAAGCAAAATGGCCATCGACATCAGTACTACTTGTGCAACTGGCTTTCACCCGCCTCTGCCCTGGAGTGAATCTCCTTTGGCTGTGCATATCCGTCAATCTGTCTGAGCTCGAGATCAATTGGGTCGATGACATCGCGGACGGGAGCCAGGACGGTGGTATCAGCGACGTGAGATCGAGTAGCGGAGCTGGTCTTTGAGATTGCTGAAAAGAGCGAGCCGGACTTAAGGGGCGTGCGGGAGGAGTCGCGGGTTGACTTGTACTGGGCCTGGTAGGATGATGAAGGATATGAGGGTTCGCTGGAGGGAGTTGAGGGGGCTTGAGATATGCGCTGTGCGGCGATGGAGGCGAGGGGGAGAACGATTGCGATGGAGGTGGGTGTGAGGGATCCGGCTTCGAAGTTGATGAAGTGGCACCATTCGAGGATGGCAAAGATGACTGTAGAGAGTCTTGTTAGTGAGAGAACATGATGAGAGAAGAGGGAGAGAGAGGATATCTTACAAGGGATAAACATGAGGATTCCATTGGCCATGATGAGCACCTCCATCGGGGTCATAGCCCGGCGAGAGGGAAGCACGCCGCGGTTGCTGATCAAGTGATGGACGATCTTGGAGTTGAACAAGGCGCAGAACCAAGCCATCGAGCAGGTGTTGAAGATGAGCGCCGTCTTGAACAGCCAGGCGTACTTTTGGGACGACTCCAAGCTGAGGATACTCTCGCATTGAACCACGGTAAAGGCGACTCTGAAGGCGGTGGTGATGAGGATAATGAGCAGAGACAAGAAGAAGATTGCGTATTTCGCCTTGTTCGCAAAGAGCGAGACCATGGTCCAAGCCTGATACATGAGCGCCCCCTCGGCAATCACAGCGAGAAACATCGAGAGGATTGTTCCGGCGATGCTGGTGCGGTAGTTCCACGCAGGGATCTGGGAGTAGTCGCCGCTCCAGACTTGGTAAAAGTGCGAAAAGGGCGAGAGGAAGTAGAATGCGAGGAAGACGGTGCGGACGGCGCAGACGATGAGGGCGAGGACGTGCAGGAGGCAGGATGCGCGGAGGAATTTTGACGACGGGGTGGTGAGGAGGATGACGAGGAGCATGGTGAGGGAGGCACCGAGCTGGGCGCCGTAGTTGATGACGATGCTGACGGTTTCGTCGTTGAAGGTGTCGATTAGGGTGATGGGGATGAGGATCGGGGGATAGTCTGGGGGGCCGATGATGGTGATGTTTTGGGTGTATGGGTTGAAGGCCATTTTCGCGGTTGAGTTGCTCTCGATTGAGTGAGTGAGTGGCTGTTTGGTGGTGATGCTGAGACTTTTGGTGTTGATGAGATTTGGTGATGCTGGGTATCTTGGTGTTGAGGCTTGGTTGAGAGAGAGGATATATCGAACCATAGGAAGAAAACGAACAACAGCAGCAGCAGAAAAAAGAAGCTATACAGCCAACCTAATGCAAAGCAGAAAATGAAGAATGTTCCCAAAAACAGAGTGCCGACTCAAATCATCGCAACTGAAGCCATTGTTCCCAACGCCCTCCATTCAGACCATCGTCAGCTCACCTTATAAGAGAAAAAAAAAGCAGTCACCCATCGCCCACCACCGGTACATTGTCTCGCACGGCATAATACCACCCAAGAATTCCAATCTCAAACAGGGAATAATACATTTGAACTGAAGTGAGCCGCATCACTGCTTCGGGCATTAGGAAAGGGAATAAAGTGAAGATGGGGATTGAAATGCAGTGGGCGGGAGGGCTTAATATTGTTGTTGCGGGAGGTGGCGTTTTGCTTAGTATTGTTCTTGAGACGGGGGCTGCGGCAGGGGATCCGGTTTGGGATGTTTGCGGGTTTGCAGGTGAGGGATCGTTGATTACTGCTTATTATTTTAATCTATTTTAATTTTAATTTTGTGTGTAGTTTTCTGTTTGGAGGGATGCTTTGAGTTGGTGATATTTTTGGTTCAAGGCCGGTCTGTAAGCTAGATGCACTTTATTTCAACCACAATTGCTATCCGGTAGATGCGAGTAATTGTTCATGATATAAATAACTTTTGGTATGTATCGACATTCAAAAACACCACTGCACAGATGCTGCAGAAAACCATGAACTGCGCACAAGGTGGTCAGTGTCACACGGAACCTGCCGAGCGCTCTCCCACTAACACTAACACGCATCCAAGTGCCGGGCACCTGTCATGTCATAGCTTCATGCTACCCAGACTCCAAGCTCCCGGTTTCTGGATCCCTAGTCGACTGCTCTAGCCTGCTAATAATGTTGTTGCTCATATTGTATTAGACTAGATCCTCATGCTCTGTCCGCCTTTCTGCCTCGTCTCAATATCGTCCATGTCCATCACTCTAAGTGCCACAAGCGAAGCCCGCATGAACCAATAGTCTGCAAACAAACGAACGCCCCCTCACGAGGCAGCAAACGGCACGAAATTAAAACAACAAAATCCTGCTTTCGTCGCTGTGTCACTCCGGGTCGCCTCCGCGGCATCCTCCGCTCCCTCGTATCGGCCCGCCGAGCCGCTGTCAAATGAGCGGAGAGAGAGACGAGGCTTGGACGGTGTGGCGGATGTTTGCTGGACCCTTGTTTGGAGGGGTTCGGGATTGGCACATTTTGCGGCTGAGGGAAAATACAAAGTCACTGGCGAGGAGCGGTTTGTATTACCAGAGAGAGGTGAGCAAAAAGCCTTGCAGAGTTGTCTATGAGTGGTGGTGTGGTGTTCATCATCTATACACTATCCAACTTGGGAAAACAGTCCAAAATACATGGCCACTATGGGTGGCTCAACTGCCATCAACTTCGTTCCATCATTCGTAACCCAGAGTGTGTGTATATCTCTGCTCTAATGAGTCCAATCAAAAACAAAATAACCGCCCGCCAAATTAACATAATAAAACAACAAGCAGATCGTTTGCCTCGCATTCTATCAGAGAAGCGTGTTGAATAGCTTCCAATCCGTCAGCGCATTAATACGAGCAAATACCACCAACCTCATCCTCCATCGTCCAAGTCCCGGCGAGACCCTTGACTTCGACGTCTTCCGTCTCCGATGGAGCGCCTTCATCCTCTTTTCCCAAGAAGAAATCGCCGCTGCCCTCCTTCCTCACCTGTCGCTTCATAAACCGCTTCGTCCACTCTTCAACGGCCGGCTCTCCCGTCTCATCCCGCGCCTGCTTGAGGAAAGGGATCAAAGCCGTGCCACCAGTACCCTTTTGACTCTTTCCCTCGCTCTTACGAGAGGCAATGGCAAGGTTGAGAGGCCGGCGGGCGACTTCGGGGCTGCGAGACCTGCTGCGGGCGCGGACTTGGCGAGATGGCGTGATGACATAGCGTGTGACAATGGCAATGTGCTTGTCTCTGAAGGCGCTCAACATGGCTAGACAGGCGTCGTAGGCGAGGCAAAGCTGGGTATCTTCGGTGTGTTCTTGGACGTATTCGCGAATATTGGCCACGCGAGAGACATCTTCAAGGAACTGCGCGTGGGGACCTGGCATGTAATTGCGCATCTCCTGGATAAAGTTGTGCTTTGCGCTGCGACCCCGGCTGTCTGAATCGGATGCGGCATCTCTCTTTTCACCCGTTGGTCGGTGCTGAATGCCCAAGGCGATGTCAAAAAACTGAATCAAGCTGCTCTGCGCATTGCTTCCTCCACTGTATTGTCGGTATTTGTCATTGCCTGTGCCGTCGTCGTAAATGACTCCAAACGGCAAGCCGGCTTCACCCATGTTCTTGCTTCCGGCAAGGAAGGGCCTAATGCGGTTGTAGAAGATTACGGGATCGCAACTCTCGTGCATCCTCTGTAGAATATTTGTCAAGTCAGTCAAGCGCTCAGCGAAAGTTCGCAAGCACCGTGTAACAACGGCTGAGTCGTTTTGTCTTGCGGCCGCAATGGCTGTGAGCATGAGAGATATGATGGGACCGCCGCGGGCCTCGATGGCCACCGAGACGAGATAGAACCATGATTCGTCAATTGCCCCGGTGAACGTAAAGAGCGTCGCCAGGTTCTCCAGGTTGTCAATGTCTTCATCCATAAACAGCGGCTTGAAGTTCCACAGACAAACGGCCGCATAAGTCGCCACGGGCGGAACCTCCAAGTGGCGCGAAATGTCTAGCAAAGGAATCGAGATTTGAGGCGGCAGTCGATCCGAGGGCGAATCTCCGCCCCAGATGTATCCGTGAGCCATGAAGCAGAGCAGCGAATACGCTCGACGCCACTCGGCATCGTGTTCCAGGCCTACGGTCGACAGCACCGGCAGGCGGTCGATAACGCCGCGCAACCGGCGGCTGAGGATCAAAGCCTGTAGATTTGCCACGATGGCTTCCCATTTGTTGTAGTAGGGATCTGGTAGGCGAGTAAGAGGGAGAGTGCTGGGCAGAAAGCCGTGAGTGGGTGAGATGCCGTAATCGGCGAGGACGGGGATCGGAGGAAGCATTTTTTAAGCTTCTCTTCCTTAGTGAGAACAAGGCAAGATTAGATCCGGCAAAGTCGAAAGTCGCGCTTAGATTCAGGCAAAAAGAACCAAAGCAACAGATAGTGAGGCAAATAGTTTGATGGAGAAGTTGAGAGTGAAAAAGACCTAGGAGGAGTTTTGAGTCCTGAAACAGTCGCTAGCTTGACAAATATTTTTCGAGTTGCGTTAGCGGGGGGACGCGGCAACGCTTCCTAATTTTCCCTCGGTTTTGCGGGATAAAAGCCAAACAATTTCTAAGCCGCGGCGATTAAAACCTGGGAATCTTCGGACTTGTAATTGCTAAAAGGCAATGACGAGTCACAAGACACAGTTTCTATTGCGTGCGAACGCGGGGAGGGAACGTGTCAAACAGCAAGGAACAAGAAGAACTGGGATGGAGAATGTCTCCGGGACGTTTGATGATGAGAAAATGCGGAAGAGAAATGACACATCGGCCCATGCCGCGCAAAGAATGGTCCGATTTTGGTTAAACCTTTATGTGGCGAAAATGTCATTGGGTAGGCTATTATTAATGTCTCGTTCGTCTTAGTTTCTTAGCCGAACTATTTTGCTCATCGACTGGGCGTTAGAATCCGATGGTCCGGTCGGGAAAAGCCATCGGACGCCACCAAATGGAATCTCCCGGGCACCAAGTTTATTCTTTGCTCTACGGACGTGCGGAGGAGATGAGGGGATATTTCCAAGGCGGTAGACTTAATGCTGGGAGTCATGGAAGAAATTTCAGTGTACAGTGCTTGAAAGTCTTGGAGATTCTCTTTTCTCTCGTGGCTTCACAACTTGGGGTTCCACAGTGCTTCAAAACTGCTCAGACTCACACGTGACCAGGCATGTGTCAGTCTGAATATCTTCCCAGTATATCAATTGTGTATCTTAAAAGATCGACAAGATTTCTTAGTTTTATTCATCCAGAATAGCCTTTATCCAAGGTGATCAATACAAGGAGGATACTGACGCTGATGGTTGTGAGTTGACTATCTCCCAAAACTGACCCCTGCTCTAGTTGTCAGAGGTGGGCTTAGTTGTCTAGCCAATCAGAGACTACAAGCACGCACTAACTTACTTATACAGGTAGCTTATTGTCAAATGCAGTCTTCAGAATGGCCTCTATCCAAACATTGGGTGATGAGCGTTATGATGAGCGTTAAAGACACGTACTCAGCATAGTAAATTCCAATTAAAATGCATATCAGGTGTGATCATATCCGATCTGAGCGTAATGCTTCTTCAAGAAAATCGAGAGCCTCCTGTCCTCCAAATCCAGAATATATCAATCGCTTTACAATTTCCCAATTCCCTCTGCGAAGAGCCAATCCTAAAGGGTCAAATCCACCCCTCCAAAACTTTTTCTCAATATGAATTCCATCTACTTCAAGTAGACGAGAAACAATAGCTAAATTCCCTCCTGAAACGGCTCTATGCAGAGGATTGCATCCGTCGCCGTAGTTGACATTCACATTGTACTGGAGAAGCCAATTCAATAATGAGAGGTCGCCTTTGTCAATCACGCTGATTAGCATGCGACCGCCACAAACTGCTACATCTTCATCTATAGTGACGCCCTTTTTGATGAGCCGCTCCACTGTCGGCCAGAGACGTGAAATAATGGCGCAAGAGAGGATTGACTGTTCAGAGTATTTGGCTCCTTGCGCTATAAGCAGATCAACTATTTCCTGAAACCCATGTCTTGAGGCTATCATTAAAGCTGTTTCGCCTTGTTCGTTCTCAGCATCTATGTGAGCTCCTTGTTCAAGTAGTACGGCGGCTAAACGCATATCGCCAGATTCTGCCATAACATGTAACGCTGTGGATGCCTTGTTACCTCGGATGTTCACATCTGCTCCGTGTGCGAGCAGTAGTTCAACGAAATCATAAGAAGACCCTGCCGCAATATGTAACGCTGTACATCCATCGTTGTCTTGGATGTTCACATCTGCTCCGTATGCGAGCAGTTGTTCAACGAAATCATGACACCTTGCCGCAATATGCAATGTTGTCCGTCCGTCGTTGTCCCGGATGTTCACATCAGCTCCAGATGCGAGCAAGATTTCGACCACCCTCGAGTCGTAACGGTTCACGGCCATGTGTAAAGCTGTCTGGCCATTTCCATTTCGAATATCCACGCCTGCACCAGGTGCGAGCAGTTCTTCAGCTACATATTTGAAGTCTGAACTTGCAGCAATATGCAACGCTGTCCATCCTGCATTGTCTTGGACTTTCATGTCTGCTCCACCTGCAAGCAAGGCTTCGACCATATCTAGGCTGTTATCCCCTACAGCGATACTCAACGCTGTCGAGCCATTATCATCTTGGATACCCACGTCTGCGCCATGTGCGAGCAATACGTCGAGTGTACTCAGCTTTCCATCAATCGATGCGGCAAAATGCAATGCTGTGAATCCATCTTTACCCTGGCTATTTATATCTGCGCCATTTGAGAGTAAAAGCTCGATCATATTCGTCTGATTAGAAATCGAAGCGATATGCAACGCTGTCGAGCCCTGCTCATCTCGCATTTCCACATCTGCCCCATGCGTGAGCAATAGCTTCACTATACTTTCTCGACCGGCCCATATGGCAACGTGTAACGACATTTCCAGTCCATAACCACTTTTGATCTCTGTCTTCGCGCCCCTTCTCAAAAGCAACGCCGAGACCTCTTCGTGCCCTTCCTGTGCCGCCAATGCAAGTGGACTGAGGCACCACCAATTTTCCTTATAGATATCAAAAGCATCAGTGCCGTAGGGTGGAAACATCTCGTCCACTGAAGTCAATGTCGAACAAACCTCCTCGGAGATAGTGATCGGGTTACCTGTTTCGTTCCTGTTTCCGGGTTCTAAATCTGCATCTTTATTCAAGAGCAGTCTAACAATTGACAACGCCCCTCGTTTTGCAGCTAGCTTCAAAGGCGTCGTGTAGAAAAATGTGTCTTTCACTTCGATATTGACCTTTTGTTTCAGTAAGAACTCGACGATACCCGCATGCCCATTGTATGCTGCCCACCACAGAGGGGATCTGTTCCGCTTGTCTCTAACATCGGGGTCGCATCCCTTGTTGATCAGCTCTGCCACTATGCCTGATAGACCTAAGCAGGCTGCGACATGCAATTCGACCACTTGTTCCGAAATTTGGAGTAGATCCTCCAGTTTGTCTGCAGAGAGGTTGGTGCGTGCCAAGTCGATCTGCATCAAGGAATCGTGCCATAAATCTGACTTTTCTTTTTGATCAAAGAAATGTATTACCCTTTGGGCGTCAAACCCTTGAAGTGATAACGCTTCCTCTGTATGATGTGACCAGAATTCTGTTGCATAGTTGTGAAAGTTTCCTTCACCATCATTTTCGTTCTTGAAAACGGAACGAATTGTTGAAAATGAAAGATATGACATGCAAGTATTAGCAATCAATTGCTGGGAGTTTTCCATCCAATTGTTATTTGATCTTTCAAAATATTCTTGGATAGTGTAATGGGCTAGTCGAGCCTCTTGAGTTTCGCTTTCTATCACAACAAGCGGCGCGCAAGCTTGAGTGATATGGCCAGCAGTTGGGAAGTTGTCTTCATCTATCATACTCTTTTCGATGTCAATTGCAAGTATTAATCGAAGTGTGCCGACTGAAAGCGGTTTTTTGGATTTTACCACCCACGCAAGAATGGCCATTGCGTCTGCGGGCAAGTCGCCTTTCTGTTGCTGTATTCGTTCCATTGCCTTGTGGTAGGCTTTGCTTAGAACATCCGACCTATCTTTGCTTTCTTTTGGGTATGTCTTCAAACCCTCCAAAGCCCTCCGGACACTGGCAATAGATCTCTTGCCAACAAGAGAGTCGATATACATCTGAGCCAGGAGAAACCTAGTATGGTAAGCTTATGAATCCCAAATTTCACTGCTCACTATTTACTTACATCCCTTCCATCGCAGACTCTATGGATTCTTTGATCTCCTCTTGTAAAAGTACGTTGCTTTGCACAAAATCAGGCAGCTGGGCCATGCGCCCATCGAGGAACGAAAAAATGTCATTTTTACTGGGAACAATCTGCCACTTTATGACGCCTTCAAATCTCTGTTCAATGGCGTGGACCTTTCGAGATGTAGCGCAAATATTAAGCCCTTTCCTTTGTGTAGTAAACTTTCGTGCAGCAAACTTTCGTGCAGCAAACTTTTGCGCAGCAAATAGGCTATCAAGCAATCTTGTGCGGTTATAATCATTGTCGTCACACTCGTCTAGAGCATCAATAATAACGTAGGCCCTTGAGAGCAGTGATGTTATAACCTTGAGCAGACTGGTGAGCTCTTTGATCGATGGTCGGCTGCCTTTCTCCTTGTGTCCTTCATAAAGCCTTTGTATCTTTTCACGTGAAGGCTTGTGATTTTGACCTAATTGCTTGATGAGATTTGCAATGAGTTGCTCTGGCTTCTGCGCGTCTTGGCGGTCGAACCGGTAATAGAAGAAAGCAAGGCCAATCGTATCATCGTGCCGAAATTCACGACTTAGATAATCTATTAGGATAGCCGTCTGAAAGGTCTTTCCGGCGCCAGGGATGCCGGGACAGAATAACGTCGTTCGTGGAATATTTATCCATTGCTGAAGTTCTTCAGAATTTAAGAGGTCTTGCCCTGTTCCAGGTTCGCATTTCTTGATGTAGTCATGATGCATAGACGCAGAGTCAATAGAACTAAGCCATGCCAGAGCTTCGTTTTCTTTTTGAAGTTTTTGATCTGTTGAAGCAGTAAGTAAAGGATCTACTATCATAGCAAAAATGCAAGCTTCTTACTCCCGATGAGGCCATCGAGGCCTTTCTTGGTCTCTCCAAAACCGGCTTTAATATGTCGACTTATTTGATGCAGTTCATCCTTGACTAAGAGAATGGTCAATTCAGGCTTATGATCAGCTCATTCTACGATGCTTAGGTGATATAACTCACCCTCATTCAATATATCTCTTATGGGCCGCTCTCCTTCAACATCACTCGACTGAACGCAACCCAAAAGCTCCTTTGCGAATGCCGCTGCCACTGCAGCCGCGTATTTCTGCCATGTTCTGTTCTTGTGGGAGTCCGCATAGTCACAGATACCTCGTATGACAATACATGGAAAATTATTCATCAGTCCGGCACCCTCCGTTTCAACGCAAAGTAGTTTCTTGCCCAGCTCCTTATGTAGCCTGTCCCGTAATTCTGCATCCTCGATTGTCGTATTGCTAGATGCTATAAGACCGTAATGAATGCGCATAGGCCGACCTTTTCTTTGAACGATTTGGGATGGGTCGCATGAATCGCAGCTTTCTTCTTCCTCACCACCCTCATCCATATCTTCAGCAGGGTTCCTACTGACATGTAGATAGACTGATTTAAACAATACATCCTTAAGTAAAGTAGAATTCAGATATGACTTTGCGGCTAGTGGATATTTTTCTCCGAATTGCTCAAGAAAATCCGGGATCTTTGAACCTTCTAGATCGTGTTTCGATTCTAGTTTACCCAGTGCCGATAACAAAGAGTTGGGTGGATTATTAAGAGAACCAGTTCTTTCGAACTTTCCTCCTTCCATTGACTTGCCGAGATCCCACTGAACAACTCCAGGAAACTGGCCATCTGGCGTACTCACTACTACATCGCCTAGTCGCACCTTTGACGGGATTCCTCCTCCTATGCCGACCAGGAGACCGATTTTGACGGATAAGAATGTTTGAACCATTTGTGTAGCCACAGTGGCTGCTGAGTTTTGACCAGCATTACCTTTAGGCAAACAAGCGATAACAATGTTATGCTGGCCTATAGAGCCAAGTGTATAGGCATTAGTATCAGTGGGAGGCTTAGATAGACTTTCATGGACTTCATCTAGCATGGCAATAGCTGCAGTTTGCTCTTGTGGAAGCGCGCAGACCCATCCGACGGTGTAATCAGCATGGGATCTGGCGTTGGCCTTCATTTTGTGCGTCTTCAATCACGCCCTCTCAGCGATCACTGCACTTTGACTTTGAAAGTGTAAGGCCTCATGCGAATCTACTCAAGGATGAGTATTTGTCATATCCAATGGGAATATTTAAGGAAAGAGTAGTGCGCAGGCTTATCCTTTGCTCCAGTGCTAAAGCGCCGTGCCATGTAAGGACGAAATGCGGAGGGCGTTCAGGCAGCAATAAATGAGGCTTAATTGGTACAGCCTTGAGAATTAATATATCTCGACCAATCAGCGTGGAGCATCCTTGAGCCAATCAAACGAAGTTCCTCATGCTGCGACAGCATCCTTCCTACGACTCATCTCGTCTACGCAATGAGAATTCTTAGCAGGCCGACGCTTAGTTCTGCCCTGGAAAGCGAGCGACTTGTTGGTGTATAGAGGTACTATGAGTGTAGGGTGGACGTGTGTAACTAACGTCGGACCAATTCTCACTTTCACGATTTAGAAAGGAGCTATTTTAGCAATACGTGGAGAAGTACGAGTTAGAAACGATCGACGTGCATCATTTTGACACAATGGACTATTTGGAAAGGCGGCCTTGGGTATGTCGATGATGAGCAGGCGGTGGACTTGTTGGATTGGCTGCTTCAATGGGATCAACCCTTTCGAGAAGAACAAGATAGAATAGCCAAGTTCGGCGTTGGGGGAAAAGCGCAGACCGCCGGCCACCCCAATCCGCCCATCGGCGTATCACCACCGACATAAATTGGTCATCGGCGTACTGCTACCGAATTCGGTAACCCATCGCCGGTGTATCGGACCTACATGTGCTTTGTAGATGGAAATGGAGGCAACTCCCCCGCATAATATGGGGTAACTCCCCTGCATAATATGGGGTTTGGCAAGCAGATCTGGGGTTAATCCGTGTACATGTAGTCATTAAACAAACCATGAGGTGAGCTCCAAGCACAATATCCCATCATTGTCCAGTAATGCTGCAACTGAGCATATATTGATAGTAAATAAGCGCATTGTAGATTAAGTACATTGTGAAATACAATTTTCTAATTGGTACATCATTTACAACTTTCACACCTCTTTCAAAGCTTTCGTCTTGTATAAAGCTTGCGCCTGTCACTCTAGTAGTTAATTAAGAAAGGAAAAGTGGCATTTAAAGATCCATAATGCAGCTTGTATTCTAGTGTCGGGCCACGAGATCGGCCTCGGCCGGGTCTGCCGATGGGACATCTTGTTGATCCATGTTGCAACGACATGTTATAAGACGCAACGATCATCGATATTTATCTTGTTCAATTCTCCATTCATACTGCGTAATATCTTTCTTGAGCTTATACGTATCGATATGAAGCATACTTTCTTCGGCAGTATCCTGCCCCTGTTGCCTATGGCCTTGGGGTCATCTCAACTCTCATTTGAGCAATTCTGCACAAGCGGATTAGAGGGATATGCCAAAGCAACTAACCATGGGCAATTTACCATTACTAATGTAACTTATATTCCAACGGCGGCAATTTCGCTTTCAAATCTCTCGCCGACCAATTTGACAAACGCGGCTGCATTCTGCCGAGTCTTTGCGTCTGTCCCGTATCCAAAGGACAACCACGTCAGTTTTGAGGTTTGGCTACCTGACAAGGTGAATTATAACGACCGCTTCCTATCTGTCGGTAAGGAACTTTCGCCCCCCTGTGGAGCAGATTGCTCATTCCAAATCTTCCATACGGCATGATGTGTCTGATGTATTTTTGCTTAGGAAATGGTGGCTTTTCAAGCATCATCGACGAGATCTCTCTCACCAATGCAATTAATTCCGGCTATGCTTGTGCAGGAGGAAACACTGGACATCTAGATAGCGACAACAATGGAGGCAGCGGAGCCCCGGGCGTTTATCTACCATTTTTGCACGACAAAGAGCAGGTCGAAGCTTGGATTCACAACTCCATCGCCATGTTCACTTCCGCAGCCAAGGATATTGTGAAGAAAGTATATGAACGTGCACCAAAATATTCGTACTATCAAGGATGTTCGACAGGAGGAGCTCAAGGCTTTGCTCTTGCCCAGTTTCATCCTACTCTTTTTGATGGTATAGTAGCTGGATCTCCGGGGAACTGGTATTCACATCTTGCCTTATCATTTCTATGGAATAGCGTTGATAATACGGTGCGTCGTCTTATTTTTAAAAAGGGATATATCTCGATTGTGCTACAAGCTGACTATACTTCTCTCTTCGGCGAATAAAACAGAGCACGTCCTACTTACCTCAAGAATCTCTGGATTTAATCACACAGCATGTCTTGGATAAATGCGACACTTTGGATGGCGTCAAAGATGGCGTCATTGAGAACCCACTGATTTGCGATTATGATATCTCGAATCTTCAGTGTCAAAATTCTCACAGTTCCAACTGTCTTACAAAGCAGCAGATTGCCCAAGTCAAGAAAATCTACCAAGGCCCGAAGAATTCGCATACAGGTGCCAGCTCATATCCGGGCTTTTCTGTAGGCAGCGAAAAAGCATGGATACAGCAGGAGAGTGTTCTCGCAGACGCTTTCGCAATTCCCATCCTCCAGAACAGGGTTTTTGACAACTTGTCATATGATGCGACAACCTTTGATTGGAATCATGATGTCAAGGCGCTAGATGAGACCGTTGGCATTCTTATTGATGAGATCACCCCGAATCTCTCAGCGTTCAAAGCTCACGGCGCCAAGATGGTGGTGACCCAGGCTTGGACAGACCCTCTAAATGCCGCACTTTGGCCAATAAAGCATCGTGAACAACTCCAACAGGCCATGTCTGGGAATATTGATGATTGGTTTGGGCTATTCATGGTTCCTGGTGAGTACATAATCTTGTTTGAACGGTGTTGGATCAACTGCTGGGCATATATACTCATCAAATTTCTCAGGGGGCGGACACTGCGGCTCTAACCCAGCCTACCCTCAAGTACCGGTCAGTTTTAACCCCAACAGACCGAATCTAGAACCCCCCCTCTCTGATCGAAAAATACTAAATGATTGGTATGGAGTAGGGAACTTGGCATTCGCTCGACACCCTTGTTAGCTGGGTAGAGCACGGCCAGAAACCGACTCAGATGCTGAGCACTCAGCCTGCTGACGGAACTAATAGAACAAGGAAGTTGTGTCGGTGGCCGATGGTAGCACATTACAAAGGTGGCAACCCAGATGACTGGACATCATATTCTTGCCAGTGAGTGCTTTGAAAGCAGCGAAGTTAGAGACTCGAGAAGCATCCATTAGGCTATGATTTATATATCCCTTGGCCATTAATTGTGAATGTCCTTTGTAATTACTATGTGTAACAGTTTACTATGATGCTGAGAGAGCGGGATAAAATATGGAGTCAATAATCTTCATTATAGCAGTCATTGCAGTGGAGCGCGCATACCCATCCAATGCTGAAGAACTCTGCCATATTGTGATGAAATGAGGAGGAGGTAAGGCAACAACGCGTGAAGCTCAGGTGGCACAACCTTTACAATCGACATATCTCGAACAACCGGTGTGGAGTATCCTTGGGCCAATCGAATGAAGTTCCTCACGAGCAGCATCCTTTCTACGTCCCAGAATCGGTGCTAGTATCGGCAAGATAATACGCGGCAGTGTCAAAATCACACGCAACATTAAGTGTGGCATATGCGGAGATTCATATATTCTTATATTGAAGTCCATACCGCCTTTTTGTCCAAATGTACTGCTACCTACGTGCGCACTAAGCGAGGCGGTTAAATATCTGGAAACATTCTATTATTCTTTTCTTCAGGTCTGTATGAAGTTTATATTTACCTTTCTTGAGTCAACATCGACCTTTTCCTCATTCTCATTAGACCAGATGGTATATTCAAGCTGGATTATCATCGAGGACCTTGCTATCAACCACCCAATAATAATTAACTCACCCATAACCATCTGTATCCTTCCGTTGATTACCCCATAGTGCTATCTATTACACTGCGTAGCTTATTAGAGAACTCTTCGCCTTAAATCATAAAACTCTTTGCCTTAAAATATAACAGGACGCACTCGTCGATAGGCGCATTCAAGCTTCAAGTAATCTGCATACGGCCACCGCCCTGAGTATTCCAAGTTATCTATTGGTAGATCTTTGAACTAGAAAATAGTTAATTATATCACTGACTTCCTAAACCGATCTGGTTGAACTCAACCATCATGTGCCGATAGCAACTGTGCGACGCCACTAGAGAAATCGAAAAGTAACATTACGATATAATCATAACCACAAAGTAAGATTGCGATAGAACCATGACCATTACTTGAAAATTTTGCATTCGGCGTATACAGACTTTGCACATTAGGAATGCGTATAAATATGACAGCCTTCTTGCCTTGATGTAGGCCCCCGGTTGTTTCCTCTCCAAACCCAACTAGCCCTCCAGAATAAGGGTTTTGCAACCACGCAAAACCCGTCAACCTGAGATCTGCAACACTGAGAAATCGAGCGACGACCTGGGTATCAAGAGCGATACTTGAAGGCTTCCGGTCGTTTCCTCTCCAAACCCAACCAGCTATCTGGCACACGAGATTTCTACTTGCGCAAAAGGTGTCGACCAGAAATTTACGACACCGAATAAAAGGGCAATACGCTCTCAGACTAGTCGAAACACACCAAACAAACACTCTATCTTCAAAGGAAGTGGAATCTGGACACCCAATACATCAAAATTAGTCGAATCATCACGCAACTCCTATCGATATGCCTTTTATTCACGATGATGGGTATGATTGGCCTTACGATGAGTATGATTTGTCTGACGATGAGTATGATTTGTCTGACGATGAGTATGATTCGTCTTACGATGATCAGTCTGACGACGACTATTATGAATCCACCCTTGAAGTGATCCCTCAGGAAGATCCATTCAATCGGAACCGGCGGCTGATTAACATCGATTTGGGACCTGCGGTATCAGCAGCGGCGGAAGCGGGGCGCGAGATCAACATTATCGTGGAGGAGCCTGTGGAAGGCGACGACAATGTTGCTGTACCATGGGAACTTATTGACGGCTGGTTTTACAGCGTGGGGGATTCCTATGTTATATCTCTCCTTGTTGAGGATAGGGCGGATTTCGATCCTGATGCGGTATACCTGTATTACTATTATAATACCGGGCGGAGCTTCTCTTTTATTTTCACCATTGATCCTTTGCTCATCACCCTTCTTGATTAAGGCGGAACATATTGCATATAGCTGTCATTCTTGTTCTTGCTCGCTACGGGTAGCTTGACTGCTTGGCACATATATGTACTATGGCTAAATGGCTACCTATGTACTAATCGGGTACGATGGAGGGGGTTGAGTGGTAGTTAACCACGGAGAAATTCTGTACTGATTCATCTTCCATATTGCTATTGGAGGATGTAATTTTATCAGATATAATAATATGGCACGGAAATTCAACTAATATTTGGACTTTATATTTCTTAATCCTAAGCGTGATTGCACAACATTTGCGTGAGAGATGGCAGCTTGGTCCATAGTATCCTAAGACAAACAGTTGATTCGGAAATTAACCTTCACAAATGTACTTCCTTGAAGAATCATTCTCATTCACTGCTGACTACGACTGGGCAGAGATTTTACTTAAAAACTCACCGAATTAGCCTACGATAGCATTCGGTGTAGTGAGGCCGCCCCGTCGGCCTTTCCTGCATGTGTCTAGCTCAGGCAGGCACCAAGACATCGGGTCGTGCATATGCATTTTCTCCAGCCAGATCTATCGTAGCACTAGTGATGGGTCGGCGTGCGGGTAGAGGGAGCAAGCGTTCAGCTAATGCTGGTGCAGCATGATGTATCCTATCTGTAAATTTTACGGCGAGGCTGTCCGACGAAATATTACTTCAGCAGCGAAACAAGCATGTCCGTGAAGTTGTAAAGTAGCCAATAACAGGACACCCAAGCGGAAGAGTGATACATGATTTCGAATGCAATTACTAATAATATCGAATCCTGAATTCTACGGCTGGAGCATCCGCCAATGTCCATACTGGTAGGATGACACGGCACAGACATCACATGTATTGGTAATACGGAATGGGTCTGTCCCGCATTGAAGCTCGAAAGGATAAAAAGAAAACGGTAATTATACCCGATGTTAGGCGAACTGTCTGACATGATCGAAAGGCGTACCGGTATGTGATGAGAAAGACAAAGGAGAAAAAAAGTTCCTTGTAGTAATAGTGCGGTGATGAGGACTCTAAACCGAGTCTACTCCCCACCAGACCCGACGTTGAAGCTCCATACGTGGATGGAGTCGAGTTGTAAGTGAGTCTCTTGGTGATGCTCATGATAATTCGTAGCAACATTCATATATAAAGCGCTGAAACAACTTACATGTTTTGACAGCTCTCGTCGTACCGAATTGATTGACACCAAACACGCAAAACTGCCTTACTTTAGCCACCCATCTAGAAACAACAATTCGAAACTTCTTCAACATCTTCGTCAAACAAAATTTTAAGCATCTCAATAACGATAGCTAGAGTCTCGGGTCCATTCCCACGTGGGTTTGCCCCCTTCAAGCTTAGCTCGCGATGACACCATCACCCTTGTTCCTGTCGTCTTTTTTTCTGCCGACGCCTAATGTCAAAATTTCCCCGAACAAGCTTCAAAATTACTTGACCAAAACGGAACATTGAAAGCCTCATCGCGGCTTACTTGGGCCATGACGCATCGGCAAACCATTTCATTGGCGCTCTACGGAGGAAAAGACGGTTCGGGGATGCAAAAGATCCTTGGCCTTTGCTCTTTTCGGCCGAATGGCGGCGGCCGGCAGAGGATTGGAATAAGTGAGACAGTAAGCTTGAATTTTTCTGGATAGATACTCGGATAAATACCGTTTGGAAGAGAGAAGATCATGTGAAAGAGATTTGAGAGATAACAAGAGATGTAGTCAATGAAGAGAGAGATAGTACATGTAAGTGAAGAATTGGAGAATACTTTTAGGGATCCAGAACTAGAATCTTTCCCGAGCATAACCACCATCAACTGTCTCATTAATTCTGTCCACTTTTTACGCCCAACCGGCAGTGGTTGAGCTTTTCAAGATGTGGCACTCGATGGCAATCCCGCTTTTAGCCCGAGTTTCAACGCCCCACCGTGTCTTAGCAGTAATACGAAGAGCCCTAGTTTTTACACCCTCAACAAAGGGCTTGAGCCGTGGATGTCATGCAATTGATGTGTATTCCTCCGTACTGGTACCCGCGGATGGATCACCTCACACATGTTTGATCGAGCACATGTTTGTACATAACAGCATCGCCAATAGCATCGTGCTGATCCCCTGCCATTGCGTGCTGCCCCGGCCCTCCACTTCTCGGATATCTTGTGCCGCAAAACTTGGCCGCAGATTGCCACTGTCACTTCTTGATGCTACATCATGTTCCTACGAGTAGACTGAGACAAAGAGAAGCTACGAAGTACTGGTTGGGCCCCGCGATGTGGCGGAGATGGATGGGAAGTTTCTTTTACGTAGCATTTCTCCATTCCTCGAGTTGTGTTAAATAGCCCCTTGCCTGCTCTCGACTTTATTTTGTTTTTTATTTTGATAGACATTCTCTTAAGTGCAGATCTTTTCTGTATTCCGTAGAGCCTTTTCTTGTAGAGCTTCGGCTGGTTGCCAAGGCTTTTCACAATGGCATCTGCTCAGCTGGAAAAGACTGATGAACTGGTCTCTGCCGGGCCCATCATCACCGAAGAGGCCCTGAACCGAAAGGAACAGGCTGAAATCGTCGGTATTGATGAAAAGGGTGGCGCCAATCTCGATGTCGAATCGAAAGAGGACCTCACTGCCGGCAAGACTCTGTACACCCTCACCAATGAGAACGGCGAGGAGGAGGTTGTCGATGAAGATGATCCCAGAATCAAGGACATTCCTCCATATGTGAGGCGCATTGTCAGCTTCACCAACGATCCTACCGAACCGACTCTGACCTTTCGATACTTCATCCTTACTATCCTCTTCGTCGCCCCGGGTGCCTTCTTGTCACAAATGGCCCACTTCCGAACAACATATGCCCCCTACTCCGTCTTCTTCGTCCAGATTGCCTCCAACTATGTTGGTGTATGGCTTGCCAAGGTCCTCCCAGCCTGGTGGGTTGGCATCCCCGGCACCAAATGGGGATTCAACATGAACCCAGGCCCCTTCAGCACCAAGGAGCACGTCCTGGTCACCATTTCTGCAGCATCTGGTGCCACTTACAACCTGGGCTACACCCCCATCTCCATGTCCGAGCTCTACTTCAACCAGCCCGTCAACGGCGCCGTAGCCACCTTCTTCATGCTGGCCATCACCTGGACCGGCTACTCATACGCAGCACTGGCCCGCCAGTTCCTCATCTACGACCCTCAGTACCCCTGGTTCCAGTCTCTCTGCCAGACTGCCCTCTTTGAGACCCAGAAGAAGCAGCGTGAGAACCCAAGCCGCGCCTCTCGCAAGCAGATGATTGTCTTCTTCGCTGTCATGGGTGGTATGATTCTGTGGCAATTCCTGCCCGAGTTCGTGTTTCCCTTTTTGGGCTCTCTTGCGTTCCTCTGCTGGGTTGCGCCGCATAACAAGACGGCCAACTTTGTCGGTGCTGGCTTCGGTGGTATGGGATTCTTGAACTTGTCGTTTGACTGGTCTAGCATTTCAACCAACGGCAGTCTGTTCTTGACTCCTTGGTGGACTCAAGTTGTCCTCTTTGCCGCCTTTGTCTTCAACTGCTGGGTCTTGATTCCTGCTGCCAAGTTTGGTAACCTTGGAGAGTGGCACCACCAGTTGATGTCTAACCGCGTCTTCCTTGGTATGTACTTATTATCAATCTTGACTACTCTTGACTTGTCTCTTAAACTAACTCACATCTATAGAAAACGGAACGAGTTATCCTTTGACCGATCTCCTGACTGCCGATGCCAAGCTGAACGAGACTGCGTATGAACAATACGGCGAGTTGTTTGTCGGCACTCAAAGTCTGTGGGCTATGTTCTTCGACTACGCCTCATACTCCTCGGCCCTCGTCTGGATGCTGCTCTTCGGCTGGCCCCAGATCAAGGAAAGCTTCAGGAAGCTCAAGGAACGTACGACCAAGAAGGACTCGGGCAAGATTACCGAGCAGTACAAGGATCAGATCAACATCCTGCAGCGACCCTATGATGAAATTCCATTCTGGTGGTTTGCCGCCCTGTTTATGGTCTCATTCATCATGCTCATCGCCATGGTCGGCAAGAACTTGCTGTTTATTCCAGTGTGGACCTATTTCGTGGCCATTGCAACGGGAGCTCTTGTTGTCGTGCCGCTGGGCTGGTTGTATGCTTTGTCCAACTTTCAACTGGTAAGAATATCCCTGTCAACCTTATATGTCAATGTTAATACTCATAACTCCTTTAGCCTATTGGAACAACAAACGAACTCTTGTACGGTGTCATGGTAAACGCCGTATCTGGATTCAAGAACCCCTGCGGTGCTTCCACTTATGGTGCCATCGCCGGAGATGCCTGGTATCGTGCGCAGCTCAACCTTCAAGACATGAAGATTGGCCACTACATGCATGTTCCTCCCAAGGCCGTCTTCTTCTCGCAAGTCTTTGGCTCAGCCATCGGTATCCCCATCGACTATGCAGTCATTCGATGGGTCCTTGACACCAAGAGAGATTATCTGTCTGGCGCCAAAGAAGATCCCACCCACCAATGGACTGGTCAGTCTCTGGCCTCGTCTCTCACTTCTGGTGTCCAGTACGTGCTTGTTGGCCCCAGCCGCCTCTTCAAGCAGGATATTTACAAGCCTGTTCCTTATGGCTTCTTGGTTGGTGCCGTGTGCCCCATCATCATCTTCTTCCTGCACAAGATGTTCCCACGAGCCAAATTCCAGCTGTGGAACACCACCATCTTCTTCTCAGCCATGGCCATCTTCTACGGCAACATCAGCACGGGCTACACATCGAGCTTCATTGGAGGCTTCGTGGTCATGTTCCTGGCGTACCGGTACCGCTATGACCTGTGGGCACGATGGAATTATATTCTGGCGGCAGCTTTTGATGCTGGTTTCAACTTCAACATGCTGCTCATCTTCTTGTGCTTTGGCGCGGGCAAGATTATTGAGATGCCCAACTGGTGGGGAAACAATGCGGAGAGTAGCGAGCGCTGCTTTGCGCTGGATGACTGATTTATGTATTGATGAGTTGATGTAAAATATGATACCTTTTGTTGTTTTTAAAAATTCATTTGAGATGAAGGGAGGGCTGTAGGAGAAGAGCCTATGCCTCCAAGCGAGACAAACTTAGTATAGATGTGAATAGATTTACACACGATCTAATGTATGATGCCGTTCTCGGATGTTTGTATTGTACAAATGCCTGCTGTGATGATGGTGACATTGGGACTCCTGGAAGGTTCCGGATCTCTTGAAGTTCAAGTGCAAGTCAAATGTACAGCCTCCAGTAAATTGATCCCGAATCCCGCAGCCTACAGGGCTTTTAGGCCCCCACAAGGCGCTGGAGCTGCCCTGTGGAGTCCGCGTGCCACCCAAAAGCTTGGAGCTCCAAAGTCGTCATCCGTGGATCCAGTGACTGTAGCTCCAACTTCCAGCCTCTTGTCCATCTCATGCCTCTCCAGCATCGCCACGATGCCCGTCCAACAGCATGTGCTCAACTGGCTCTACAGCGTCTTGACAAGTGTGCGTGCCCCCTATCCTAATATCATTAATTCCCTCTATTCCTTCACACGAGACTGTCCCGATATTGCGCCTTCTCAAGCACCTTAAACACCCCGCATCTAACCATCTAACAGGAATATCACGATGTGAACCGCACCTACAACGACATCGCCACCGTCCTCGCACGATACCCAACCCTCGCTCCACGAACCGATGTGCACAGTACGATTGCGCCCTTCCGATTGCATCTACTCTTCTTCGTGCCCCGGAACTGACAATCCAACTCACAGCCTTCCCCAATGGCGCCAGCGCCCTCCTGGTGCACTTGACCGGCACGATCCCGGTCCTCTTCCGAGGCACCACATACAGGTTTCCAGTTTCAATATGGGTGCCACATGCATATCCGCGAGAGGCACCGCTGGTGTATGTAACGCCGACGGAGACAATGATGGTTCGCCCAGGCCAGCATGTCGACCCCCAGGGCCAGGTCTATCACCCGTACCTAGCTGGCTGGGTCGACTTTTGGGATGTAGGTCACATGCTCATATAATTCTCAGAGACATATCTGACTTTTGGTACACACAGAAATCAAGCCTAAACGACTTTCTTTCCGTCTTGAGCGACATCTTCGCAAAGGAGCCGCCAGTCATTTCGCGGCAGCAGCCTCGAGCAACAACCCAGAGCCCGCCTCCCGCCCAAGAGCCACCTCCAATCACGCCTCACCCTCCAGAAAGGCCTCCTGCCTCGACGTCTTCGCCTGCTCAGCCGTATCCCAATCAAGCGGAATCTCGTCCACCACCGCCGCCCCCGAAGCCTCACCAAGAAGCCCCTCGTCAGGAAGCTCCTCGTCAAGAAGCTCCTCACCAAAATGTTCGCTCACCTCCGCCAATTCCACCTCACCCCCATCTCTCTTCTCCCAGTCCTCCTAGCTTTGGAGTACCATCTAGATATGAATCAGCCCCTCCTCTGCCGCCTCATCCTCAAACATCTAGACCTCCATATCAAAATCATGCTCAGTCTCTACCTCAGTATTCATATGCTCAAGGGCCTGTCCCCTCTCAGTCCCCTCCTCATGGCCACCCGCAGCCTTTGCCACCATTCCAACCGTTAGGAGCAACCCCTGGATACAACGGTCAATTCAACACACAGGGCCAACTACCGCCACAGGCACAGTGGCAACCACCACCACAGCAACAACACCACCAGCAGCAGGCATGGGATAGATATCCGCCACATCAGCAGCAACAACCCCCTCAGCCTCAGCCTCAACCTCCTTATCAGAAATCGCCACCACCTCCGAACCTTCTTGATGACGGGTTGAGTTTGGAAATCAGGCCACAAACAATTGAAGCTCCCCCTATCCCCCCGAACCCCGAAAAGGATGCTCTTCTCAGACAGCTTGCCCAGACGCTGGCCTCTATCCGCCAGCGCAGCCGACAGCAGAATGAGTCTAGCATGGCCGGATTAGAGGCACAGCAGGCTGCGATGCTGTCTGCAATGTCCGCCATGCAAGCTGAGATGGGCCAGCTTACACAGTTCACCAGTATCATCACTTCCAATACGAACATTCTTCATGATGCTCTGCGCAAAGCAGATGCCGTTATTGAAGGATCGAGGAACCATGTGGTCCCAGATATCGACGAGCTATTAGTAGCCCCGACAGTGGTATCTAATCAACTGTACAGGGTAGTGGCAGAAGAAAGAGCACTGGGTGATGCAATATTTATGCTTGGCCGTGCTGTTGAGAGAGGCCGTATTTCCCCGGCTGCGTTTGCAAAGATGACGCGATCTCTAGCGAGAGAATGGTATCTGAAGAAAGCTCTAGCACGCAAAATTGCGCAGGGAATGGGGCTCATGGTATGATAGTGCTGTGATAGGAACATGCCTCAAGCAGCGGCAGTTTAGTTGAAACCTGTTTGGCATATTGTTGGCTAGGTAGGACATAGAAAGATGCTGTTCATAGTAGTATAAAGAGCAAATTGCAAGAGCGAATTTAATAAACGACTACCTGTACTCAGCCCTTGAAAATTCTTTGAATGAACTAACCAATTAGACATGTTGTACGGCTCATTCTTTGATATTGATAGCTTTTTGTATCCAGGGTTGGACTGAATTAAGAGCATCTACTATACGGCCAGGTTAAGGGTCATCAGCACATAGGAAAAAATTCACACAACAATCTGATACGAGTGCCATCACAAGTGATTAAGGCCAACTATGGCCTCTCATCTCTGCATCTCTATATGCATTCAGCTACCTTTACTCTCGTTTACATCAAATGGCATATTCACAGAGCTAGGTACCCAAGTACTGCTTGCTATCAGTGAATCCGGCTTATGTAACCGCATTGTGATTACAAAGTCCCCAGTGTTTTACCGGGGCGCTAGTCCTAGTCGGCACTGGCCCCAAGGCTTCACTAAGCACGTCGCGCGCCGCAGCATCTGGCGGGATCCCTTTTGCGTTGAAAGATTCATCACGACAAAAAAAAGTTGCTGCCTTCCACCATCAACTTTCATCGTGCGCAACCGCCAGTCCCGCAAGAGCTCTTTGTGTGTGAGGGAGACTCTTTTTGCCGGGATCGCTCGCGGATGCTCGTTTGGTGACAGGCATTAGGATCGCTGCTGATTCGTCTAGAGCTTCCTGGATCGAGCGGTCCCTCCACGGCGTGAGGACGAGGCTGCACCCACGACAGCTGCCTTGAGTTGAGCTGGGACATTGGCCCAAGGGAGGATCTGGATAGACCGAATTCTACTTATTACCACGCTTAATTCCATCTCATACCCATTACCGCCACCATGGCTGACTACGAGGACGAATACGACTACGAGAACTACGGAGACGAGGATGAAGGCATCACTCCCGAGGATTGCTGGACTGTCATCTCCTCCTTCTTCGAAACCAAGGGTCTCGTATCGCAGCAGACCGACTCTTTTGACGAATTCACCCAGACGACGATCCAGGACCTCGTAAACGAATACTCCACCATCACACTCGACCAGCCAAACCCTCCTTCGCCACCCGGCCGAACAATAGCCCTTCGTCGATATGAGATCAAGTTTGGAAGCGTCATGGTGTCACGTCCCACTATCAGTGAGACGGACGGCACTGTGACTTCTCTGCTCCCTTACGAGTGCCGAGACCGTAACTTGACCTACGCCAGTCCCCTCTATATCAAGATCACTAAAAAGGTGTCGGCTGCTGTTGAGAGGGAGGTTCCCCTGCACGAAATGGACGATGCTCAGCAGGAGGAATACGCAAGAACCGGCGAACACCCTACAAAGCTCGAGTGGGAAGAGGAGGAGAACGGCGAAGATGACAACATCGGCAAGTCTGATGACTGGAAGGACATGGTCTTCGTTGGCAAGCTGCCCATCATGGTCAAATCCAAGATTTGTCATCTGAGCCGTGAACAGGATGATAGCCTGTTCCTTGTCAACGAATGTCCCTACGATCAGGGTGGCTACTTTGTTATCAACGGCAGTGAAAAGGTCCTCATCGCCCAAGAGAGATCCGCCGCCAACATTGTCCAAGTCTTCAAGAAGGCCCAGCCCAGTGCCTATACCTATACGGCTGAAATCCGAAGTGCGCTGGAAAAGGGCTCACGGCTCATCTCTAGCATGATGCTCAAGCTGTATGGCAAGGGAGACTCTGCTCGTGGTGGCTTTGGCCAGACTATCCACACCACCCTGCCCTTTGTCAAGTCAGATCTTCCCGTCGCCATTGTCTTCCGTGCCCTGGGTGTCGTTTCTGATGAAGATATCCTCAACCACATTTGCTACGACCGCAACGACAGCCAGATGCTGGAGATGCTTCGACCTTGTATTGAGGAGGCCTTCTGTGTCCAGGACCGAGAGGTTGCTCTGGATTTCATCGGAAAGCGTGGAAACCGAGACCAAGCTGGTCTCGGACGCGAGAAGCGTGTCCGCGTGGCCAAGGATATCCTTCAGAAGGAGACTCTTCCCCACATTTCACAGACAGAGGGAAGTGAAACCAGAAAGGCATTTTTCTTGGGATACATGGTGCACAAGCTGTTGCAATGTGCGCTCGGAAGAAGAGAGCCCGACGATCGTGACCACTTTGGAAAGAAGCGTCTGGATCTGGCGGGTCCCCTGCTGGCAAAGCTGTTCCGTGGTATCATGCGAAGGATGAACACTGAGTTGGCCAACTATCTGAGACGATGCGTCGAGGGCAACCGACACTTCAACCTTGCTGTGGGTATCAAGCCCGGCACGCTTTCAAACGGATTGAAGTATTCGCTTGCCACAGGAAACTGGGGTGATCAGAAGAAGGCCATGAGCTCAACTGCAGGTGTGTCCCAGGTGCTTAACCGTTACACGTTTGCTTCGACCCTATCACATTTGCGTCGTACCAATACTCCTATCGGAAGAGATGGTAAGCTCGCAAAGCCTCGACAGCTTCACAACACGCACTGGGGTTTGGTCTGCCCGGCCGAGACACCCGAGGGACAGGCTTGTGGTCTGGTCAAGAACTTGTCTTTGATGTGTTACGTCAGTGTCGGTTCTCCCTCCGAACCTCTGATTGAGTTCATGATCAACAGAGGTATGGAAGTCGTGGAAGAGTACGAGCCGCTGCGGTATCCTCATGCTACAAAGATTTTTGTGAACGGTGTCTGGGTTGGAGTCCACCAAGACCCTAAGCACTTGGTGAACCAGGTCCTGGACACTCGTCGCAAGTCCTATCTGCAATACGAAGTCTCTCTCGTGAGAGAAATTCGAGACCAGGAATTCAAAATCTTTTCCGACGCAGGCCGTGTAATGCGGCCAGTCTTTACCGTTCAGCAGGAAGATGACCCGGAAACGGGCATCAACAAGGGCCACCTGGTATTGACCAAGGAGCTCGTCAATAGATTGGCCAAGGAGCAGGCTGAACCTCCGGAAGACCCCAGCATGAAGATTGGATGGGAGGGATTGATTAGGGCTGGTGCGGTTGAATATCTCGACGCCGAGGAAGAGGAGACGTCCATGATCTGCATGACGCCAGAGGATCTCGAGCTGTATCGTCTTCAGAAGGCTGGTATTAACACTGAGGAAGACATGGGAGATGACCCGAACAAGCGACTAAAGACCAAGACAAACCCGACTACTCACATGTACACCCATTGCGAGATTCACCCAAGTATGATCTTAGGCATCTGTGCTAGTATCATTCCTTTCCCCGATCACAACCAGGTATGTTGTCCATCCTTCCAGTCTTATTAACGAAGAAAAATACTAATGGTGTGCATAGTCCCCCCGTAACACTTACCAATCTGCCATGGGTAAGCAAGCTATGGGTTTCTTCCTCACAAACTATTCCCGGCGCATGGACACCATGGCCAACATTCTCTACTACCCCCAGAAGCCGCTGGGTACCACTCGATCCATGGAGTTTTTGAAGTTCCGAGAGTTGCCTGCTGGTCAGAACGCCATTGTAGCCATTGCCTGTTACTCTGGTTACAACCAGGAAGATTCCGTCATTATGAACCAGAGTAGTATTGACAGAGGTCTTTTCCGAAGTCTCTTCTTCCGATCATACTCGGATCAGGAGAAGAAGGTTGGATTGAACTACACCGAAGTGTTTGAGAAGCCATTCCACCAAAACACTCTTCGCATGAAGCACGGCACATACGACAAGCTGGATGAAGACGGTATCGTTGCTCCTGGTGTCCGAGTATCTGGTGAAGATATCATTATTGGCAAGACGGCGCCGATTGACGCTGAGACACAAGATCTCGGTACCAGGACGACTATGCACCAGAGGCGAGATATCTCAACTCCTCTGCGTAGCACTGAGAACGGTATCGTTGACTCTGTCATTGTGACAGTGAACGCGGACAATGTCAAGTATGTCAAGGTCCGTGTCCGAACGACCAAGATTCCTCAGATTGGAGACAAGTTCGCCTCTCGTCACGGTCAAAAGGGCACTATTGGTGTTACTTACCGACAAGAGGACATGCCCTTCACAAGAGAAGGTGTCACTCCAGACATCATCATCAACCCTCACGCCATTCCATCCCGTATGACAATCGCTCACTTGATTGAGTGTCTCCTAAGTAAGGTCTCTACGCTGGAAGGTATGGAGGGTGATGCCACCCCCTTCACGGATGTCACCGTCGACTCGGTCTCAGAGCTGTTGCGAAAGCACGGCTACCAGTCACGAGGCTTTGAGATTATGTACAATGGCCACACAGGCCGCAAGCTGAGAGCCCAGGTGTTCTTTGGACCAACATACTACCAGCGACTCCGTCACATGGTGGACGACAAGATCCACGCTCGTGCCCGTGGTCCCGTGCAGATTATGACAAGACAACCCGTGGAGGGTCGTGCCAGAGATGGTGGTCTCCGATTCGGAGAAATGGAACGTGATTGTATGATTGCTCACGGTGCCGCGTCCTTCCTCAAGGAGCGATTGTTTGAGGTGTCAGACGCCTTCCGAGTTCACATTTGCGAGATTTGTGGACTCATGACGCCTATTGCGTACGTTTTCTCTCTTCCTTTTAACGTTTGTCTAATTGTAATGATGCTAACTTATATCACCAGCAACCTCTCTAAACAATCGTTCGAGTGTCGACCTTGTAAGAACAAGACCAAGATTGCACAGATTCACATCCCTTATGCCGCCAAGCTCCTGTTCCAGGAACTCCAGTCGATGAACATTGCGGCTCGCATGTTCACAAACCGGTCTGGCGCGTCCATCAGGTAAACCTTGGAGAGCATTGGCTTATACAAACCGCCATTTATTATTGCCGCGAGGTTCACAAAAGATTGATTTGCGGATCTCCATATTTTTTGCTTTATGCTTTGTTTCTTGGAGAATGGAAGATGGTGGAAATTGCTCTATGACAAAAATGGATACGGGACGTCTCGCTCCCATTGCTGCGCCAGCGAGATAAATGCTGAGCGGAGAGTATGATTGTACATGTAGAAAAAAATAATACAATGAAGAAAGTTAAAAAAGAAAAAGAAAAAGAGACGTCTATCTATCGTTGGACTTGCTCATATCGTGTCGTGCGTAGGTAGTGATTGCAAGGTGTGAAATGTCTGGTGTTGTTACCTCGAACCGGCAGAAGCTTTGTTTGGCGGTTCTAATGAGCTGTGAACGCTCTGTTCACGCTTGTACTCCTCCTCCAGGGCCTTCTGCATGTCAAAGTCGAGTTGACGTTCTCTCTTGATGCGCTGTTGCTCAATGTCACGGACAACGCCGGCATGCATCGCCTTTTGGAATTGTGTTAGCAGGGTAGATGTCAAGAGTTTTACGTAGTGGTGAGAAGAGGGCAGAGGATGGCAGAGAAGGGAGCATACGGTTTGTTCGGCCTTTTGCTGAAAGTGTACGAATACAATTACGCCGGCGGCGAAGAGGGATGTGGCGGCGAGGGAGAATTTCGATGCGGAAGACATGATGGTTTTATATGAGAGGTGGGTTGTTGAGTTTTTGTAGGAAATTGCTCTTGTTTGGGGTGAATTGGCGGTGAGAAGAAACTGTCTTGAGGGATTGATGATAATTTTCGAAATATCTCAGAGGAATAGTTGGTGAATGAGTGGGTGGGTGTATGGGCGTAGGTGGTTGATATTATACGGATATAGCATGAGGATGAGAATGAAGATTTCAGAGCTGTGTCGTGAGTGGTCAGATTGTTCGATTTGGCTAGAGGTAAAGTACCCCCAGCGGCATGCACTAACAGCTCAACCCCAGCATATCTGCGTGTTAGGGTTAGTGCAGCTGCAAGAAGTTACTTTAGGAACACACTTCTAACGCCGAGCCACGCCGAGCTGTGACGACAGCGGGCATTACCTAAGATCGATGCCTCTATCCTCTGTGCATCGGAGCTGCACCAACCTACTGTACAATCAACCACCTTGAACTTGCGACATACAACCTCTGCGCCTTTCCCAAAACACCTCGACCGAATTGCATCCGCCCCTTTCTTCTGTTCCTTTTTCTTTCAACTTGAGCGAGTCCTTTCAATCTACATCTAGCAATCATGGTGAGTGCGCAAGCCGTTGCGTGAGGAGCATTTAGCTTCGGAATAGCTGACTTGGTACAGTCTGCACAGAACTCGGCTGGTATCCAGACCCTCCTCGATGTACGTTAACGAACGATCCGAAAATAAACTGCGCGCCTTTTGGGATACTACCTCGATGGGGGTTACGTGGTGCTGATTTGCGTTTTCTGGGTAGGCTGAGAGGGAGGCATCCAAGATTGTACAGAGGGGTATGTTGGACACTGCTTGCTTGCTTTGACCGCAACAAAGGAATTACCTAACTAACGATGGCGTGTGCACAGCTCGAGAATGTGAGTAATCCCGCACCGACAGATCTCAACATAAATCGTATACGAGCAATGCCGGAAGCTGACGGTTGTCTCGAACGCTCGCAGTCCGCACCAAGCGCGTCAAGGAGGCTCGTGACGAGGCCAAGAAGGAAATCGCCGACTACAAAGCCAACAAGGAGGACGAGTTCAAGAAGTTCGAGGCCGAGGTACGATAGGACAAACACACTAGCTTCTTCCAACCTAGCTAACAATCGATTGCAGCACAGCAAGGGCAACGAGACTGCCGAGCAGGAGGCGAACAAGGAGGCCGAGAAGCAGATCGAGGTGATCAAGGAGGCGGGCAAGAAGAACCGTGACACCGTGGTTAAGCACCTCCTGGACGCCGTGTTCGAGGTGAAGCCCGTGGCTGCGTGAAGTCTGAGTCGAGAATACCGATAGATGGCGAAGGAGGGGGGAGCGTATACTGAGATGGATGGACGCAATTGACATTCGATACAAGCGATTGGAGGAGGGGTTTGCTGGAACATATCATATGATGCTTTGTCGAGATCGTTCACTCGGTCGGGTTTGCACATTAATTTATACTTGAAAACATTTGAAAAAAGACTACATTTTGCTCATTATTACTTGTACGTTTTTTCCTTCTGTTTGCTGGCTGACTCGACTCAACCCTGGGATTCATTAGTTGAGGAAATCTATCAGAGTGCTCAGCATCTCGCCCATGTCCTTGCTATCTTCCTCGCTGGTATCCAATTCGTTCAATTGCTCCTTGAGCGTCTTCTGGATCGACTTAAAGGTATCGTCTGTATCTGCCAACAGTCGCTTAATCTTCTGGTTCGCGCCGCCATCCTCCGCAATCAACCACGCCAAAATGACATCGACGAGCTGCAGGTTGAACAAGCCGGCGTCCATTTTCTTAGAAAGTAACTGTATCTCGCGGTCCTCCTCCGCATCTCTAGATCGCGCTGATTCCTGCCGATGTTCTTCTTCAGCGGCTTTTATGCGCGTAGTATAATCTCTGTGCAGCTTTACTAATTTCGCAGTCTTTTCATACTCCTTCTCAACGAACTTTGCTAGCAGGCGTATCCGCTCCGGAGAATCAGCAGGCAAGAAGCGCAGCATGGAGGAAAATATAGACAGCAAGGGCCCAATGAGACGCTGATCGTGGCTCTTGTTAAACATGGTAAACGTCGTTTTCAGGCCTCCCGCCTCGACAATCCGCTGGCATATTTTGGCGCTGGTGGTGCCACCTGTCGCGTGGTCTAGTAGGCGTAATGAGGGGTGCTTTGCCACCTTGCTCTCTTTGACTAGGATAAGACAGAGCTCAGTTCCTTCGGCCTCGAGGAATTTGACTCTTCCTGCGGGCGTATCGACGAGACACGTCAAGCTCTCAAATAAATTCTCTACGAATTCCTCCTCTGGGCCGCCCTTTTCTGGATCGCGTCGGCGGTACGGAGCCACAAGCTGCAGCATAATGTCGATAATGTCTAAGCTGACGAGCTTTTCGCGGTTTTCGGGAGCTGCCTGTGAGAGAATGGCCAGCACCTCGGCGGCATATTGCTTGTTCTGGGTTACGGATGATTCGGTGCGCTGGATGCGCTGCAACAGCCACTTTAGCAGAGCTTCTTCCTCGCACATTCGGGTCGCGACGGCTTTCTGAGAGCTGAGGTTCTCTAATACGCTCAGAGAATGATATACGCCATTGCGATCGGACTCGTCGTCTTCGTTAAAGCGGGACAGATTGGAGACTAGTAGACTCAAGAGGTCACTGTCTATCAACGCGCCGACCAAGGTGTCCCATTGCTCAGTCTCTGTGACGACATCGTCGTCTGTGAGCTCTCCGATGATCTCAATCGCATCAATGGCAATGTCCGAGTTCTCGTGCGTCAGCAAACTGACTAAGCTTCCCGCGGTTCCCAGCTTCACAAATTCACCGTACAGCTCGGAGGATTCGGCCAAGAGCGAGAGGTTCTTGATTTCGGCGTCGAGGTCGGCCTCGCTGTCGATGAATTTGTGCGGCTGGTCCTCGAACCTAGAGCGCAGCTCCGAGTTCTTGGTGATGAGCTTTTCGAGGTTGAGCGCCGTTCTTCTGAGCCAGGCGCTGTCGATCTTGTCCAAATCGCCGCCCGCGTCGGCCTTGTCGACGAAGTCGAGGATCTCTGATTCCTGCTTGGTGATGCCGCCGCCAAAGAAGCGGCCTTCTTCGTCGTCGCCTACGTCGTCTTCTGGTGGCAACCCGGGCCCGAAATCGTCGTCATCGGCGGGGTTCTCTGCATCATCTTCGACTTGGGCATGGCGATTGGTTGTTCTGTCAGTCAACTTGGTCGCCTTGTAGATTTCGTCTGATTGAAGAAATCACGGCCTGTTAGCATTGACTTGAGATCTAGCTTACAGGTTTCATGTCAACTTACTGGGGTCACGAATTGGCTGGTCGAGTTTCCGCTTGCCGAGGGAGCCAGATGCCTGGATAAGCAATCAGAATGCCTGTTTAATTGGCCCTTTGGGATTACCCAGCGATTCCAGCAATCTTGTTTCATACCTTGAAAAGATCATCCACGTTCGCCATTCTGTTTTAAGCAACGTCGTTTCGTGTTTTCGTCGAGCTGCCAAAAGTCGTGTCGCTGCAGGTAAGCTCACTCGGCATAGCTCAGCTTGCCCCTGTCCTTCAATTACGGCAATTCTAGCAAACGATAAGCTTCTATGGGTGACTCTTCCAATAATCGGGGCGCTACAACGCTAACGGGGTGCTAAGCCGAAACAAAGCTGGTTCAGGTCCGTTCAAACAGGTCGACTGCATTGACCAATTGGGGAGCGGAAGAGCCTGGCATTTCCTACTTTTGGTACGAACAAGTACTAGTACCCACCCCAGCGGCCAGGGGTCGAAAAAGGGGACGAGACGTGATGGGTTAGGGGTCGGTTTTAAGGGCTCCATGTAGCGGCACTGGCCTGTCGTGATTGATTGCGCGCCTAGCTTCTGGCACTAGCAGAAATAGCCATCTGATGCAGCTTCAAGCGAACTGGCCATCCACCATCCAGGGGGTTTTGGTTTTCCAGGCCTGGCAGCGGCGGGCCTGACAGCGGTAATACCACTAGCCGGGGAGCACAATCAACCAACGTACTGTAAGGTAGCACGATACAGTTGAGTCTTGTACGAGGACGGTACAGGTACGGGCACGGTAACACCGCAGTTTGCAGGCCGCGGGTACCTCCGTTGGGCGGTGAGAGCGCAACTGCAACTCCAAAGTGGTCAGTGGGCGGTTCGCTGAGCACCGCACCGTACTGGGGCCCTGATCATCGCCAGGTACCGGTACTTGCGCCTATGCACAGCACATTCCCACTGACCTGCCTTGCCGCAACCTCCCAAACTGGTCTCCCCACGATCCACAGCACAGGGAACCTCCAAATCCCCGATTTTCTTCGTCCCCGGAGCGACTTCTGGATAGGACAAAGCGGTCGTGGGAGCAGATCTGCGAGCCTCTCCTTCTCTGGCATCCTCCCGAGATCTGGCTGGCGATATACGATATAGTACATACTGATCAGCCTCGCCTCGCCGTGGACAAAGAGCGTTTCAACTCTGTCTGTGGTCATGGCCGTCTGCCAAACACGCGCGATAACCACATTGATCTCCATATCCAAGCCCGACCCACGTTGTACGAGTAAGATTGGCCGGAAGAGGCGACTATTGGCTGAGACGGGAGCCCGCACCAGTCCAGCAACTCGCAGAGCATGCAGCAATCGCACTCCTTTGGCTCCTTTGGCGACAGCATCATCACCGGCCTGGTAGACGCACCCAGCCGAGCAAATCTCTCTAGACCACCGTCGTCGCCGCCGCCGCCGCCACCACTGCCGCCAATATCAATATCGCATAATCCTAATCTTACGAGCAACCCGCCATCGCGAGACCCTCCAGGCCTTGACAGCGTCACGCCAGTCCCACGCTCCGTCTTCTCGTCCGTCCGCCTGCCGCGAAGCTCGTCGCTGATCCATCCGTCGCACGTGTCGCAGTCGCCCACTCGTGCCACTCATACTGCTACTACCACTGCCGCTACCACTCATACTACCGCCGCTACTCATACGCTTCCTCCTGCTAGTATTGGCAACAATAGCGGCAATCCACTCCATCAGACGCATCGCGACACCGTGCACCCCCCCGTTAGTCTCAAGCGGCCGTCAACTCCGTCGTCGCATCCCAGCAGGGGCACCACCACCGGAGCATCGCCGCAGCAAGGCTCCCGTTCCCGAAACCGCTGGTCAACTTCGTCCGTTTCGTCTTCTTCGAGTCGCACGTCCCCTTATGCCTCTCACCAGGCCTCTGGCTCCCATTCACACTACCATTCCAACTCCAACTCGTCATATACTCGTCGCGCCAGTATCGAGGCTGTAGTGGGTGCTTCTCACGGTTCGTCCGCTCTTGCTGCCGCTCAGGCGCCGCACAACCTGCACCGAACCGATCGGAACCACTTCGCCTCGTCTGATCGCAGCGCAACTCCCACGCGAGCGTATCCAATGAGGTCCGAGTCGAGCATGTCCATGAGGCATTACGAGAGCAGCCACCTACGCTCCATGTCGCCCAATCCATACGCAAATCCTGCTGTCACGACACAATCTACCGCCAGAATGCCCCACGAGCAAAACCACGATCCTTACGCCCCTCGGGGCCACTCGAGGGACCATTCGGGCAAAAGCAGCAGAGACATGGGCAAGCCCCGCGCTCAGAAAAATCCTTCCCAAAAGGCAATGCTTTCTCGAGCGCTGCAAAAGGCCAACACGGCGGTGCAGCTTGACAATGCTCAAAATTTCGAAGGCGCTCGAGAAGCTTACTCTGAGGCATGTGACTTATTGCAGCAGGTGCTAGACCGAACGTCAGGGGATGAGGACAAGAGGAAGCTTGAAGTTATTGTAAGTCTTGTATCACAGGAACAAGAACTCATACGATCTTGAACTAATATTGAATGCACAGCGCCAAACATACACCAGCCGTATCGATGAACTGGATCAGATGGGCCCGTGGCAGGACGAGACTGTCAAGGCTCTGCCTGCTAGACCGGAGAGTGAAGACTACAGCGCGTCCATTTATATGCATCAGGACTACGAGATGATGGAGGAGGCCCCCAGGATCGAGACGGCACGAATTGTAAGCTACATTGGGGGAGACAGTTCACCCATTTCCGGAGGAGCACCGCCGCACCAATGGCAGCAAACCACGGGTTATACAGGAATGGATAGACTGCAGCCTTCTCGTAATCTGGAGCCGGGACTGTTGCAATCATCGTTTTCTCGGGCGCCTAGGCGGCTACGCTCTACTGAAGATCTTCGCGCACAACACCAAGAGGGCCAATATGCGCCGCCCCCTCTATCGCCTCGCTCAAAGTCGCCAGTCAAGACGAACAACGACGACATATTTGCGGAGTTACCACCTCACGAACCCTATCAGTATCAGCAGCATACCCAGCATCACGGCCATCAACGACAGCCTAGCGATACCGTCCTATCTCCGTATGACCAGGAAGTTGTAGATGGAGTCCAGAGTTCATGGCTGGATCCAATCGATGAGTCGGGAGCATCAACAGCATCATCCGTACACTCACGTACCTCGTCGCTTGGCTACCGTCGACGCCACATCAGGGCTGCCAGCGGAAACACCGAGGCTGAGTTTGACACGGCTCTGGACGCTGCCATCGAAGCTGCCTACGACGACGGTTTTGAGCCCATGGGTCCCGTAGACTATGAACCCATAGACACCCACGAGGATGCCATGGCAAGCGTGCTGCAAAAGGTGGAAAAGGCACGCGAAAGAGTGAAGCAGACCGAGCAGGAAGCCTATGATGAGCTAGCGAATCTCCGACAAGCACAGCAGCAAAACCTACAGCAGTTGCAGGAGGAGGACAAATATACTGCCGACGGGTTTTACGAGGATGATTCATCTGAAGAGGAAGAGAGACTGCTGGATGAGATTACACGCGACTTTGCAATCGAGGACTTTACCATGGAACAACCGTATGGTACGACGGTGTCGGCAAAACAACAGGAAGCTTGGAACGAGGATGAGACACAGGCGGATTTCATCTCAGGCGTCCGGTCCTTCTCTGCCTTGTCACAGAGACCACCTATTCCTAACACTACCAATACCATACAGCCATCAGCACCAGCAGCGCCGCCTCCAACTTCGGCATTGCCAACCTTACCACCCCCGACTTCAGCACTGCCAGACTTACCACCAGCAGGCTCGGCTTCTCCATCCGGTGGGGTGCGGAATCGTCGACTCTCTGGACAGAATCCAAAGCAGCTCAAGATTGAAACCTCAAATCTCGGACAACCCCCAAGCAGGTCGATTTACGACGATGACGAAATATCCCCAAGCACTCAGGAGCCGCCTACAGAGGTGCTGGCCCGAACAGACAGCGCTCAACCCGTCAGGCCACCGATACCAGAAGGCTTTGCGTCTGACTCAAAGGTTCCTGCATCGCCAACTGCCAAGAGAAGGTTGCTAGAAGGAGAAGAGGCGCCCAGCGCCTCGCCTTCCATCCACAGACTGCGAAAGAACTTTTCGTCCTCTAGTTTGAGAAGCATGAAGAGCAGAAACATGTCAGTGTCGCATCTTGACGACAGCTCCGACGTGTCTCCTGGCACTCCCAATCCTTATGGCAAGGCACCTGCTGTGCCTGCACTGCCGACACCTCTCATCACGTCTTTCAAAGAAAACATGGAGATGGGAGCCGGTGGCGCAGGATTGCATCTGTTTGACGACAATTTCCACGTATCAGCCACACCCGGTCCTCAAAGTCCCATTGTTTCCGTGGATGTCCCCTTGCCCCTGGAGCCCTGTCCCAACGACTTCATGCTGCGCCCTTTTTGGCTGATGCGATGCCTCTACCAAACACTTGTGCACCCCAAGGGAGGATACGTCAGCACAAAGCTGTTTGTGCCGCGAGACGTTTGGCGGGTTAAGGGAGTCAAGATTAAGAATGTGGAAGACAAGATTGCAAACTGCGACTTTTTGACTGCGGCTCTCCTAAAGCTGGCCAAAGTTGACACTTTTGATGCAGACGCCGTGTTGGAAGAAATGCAGGCCCTCGAGGGCGTTTTAGAGCAGATACAGTCAACTCTAGCACGAAAGCTAGGGAGCGAAGTAGGCGTCCAAGGCTCTGGCCTTTTATTCAAAGATGCCTCTCTCGCGGACGGAGATAATGGGTCAAATGTGCCGCGATCAGGCAGCGTGTCTGGCAAAACCTCTGCATTCTCATGGCGAAGGCTTCGACCAAAGACATCGGGTGTTGGGTTGGGAGGATCATACAGCAACCGGAATGCCAGTGCCGAAGTCAAGGAGGTGACAACACTGGCGAGTATTCCCATGACACCGAAACCGGCAAGTCGTCCGGCCAAGCGAGATGTAAGCCAAGCTCAGTTCATCGGCCCCAACGCCAGTTATATGGGCTCGCTTGCGCGCTTGTTTGACGCTGCCCAGGCAGTTGGTAAGTGATATAGAGATAACCTATCCAGTGTAATGACAACAAACTAACGGAAATGATGCAGATCAAATCGCAAGGCAGGTTGACGACCCCGGTCTGCGGCATGCGGACAAGACCCAAGTCGGGCTGGAGCTGTGCACACGACACGCGGCCGAGTTTTTCGGCTTCTACATCTGCCGGTTTGTGCTGGCTGATCTCGGTCTTTTACTGGATAAGTTCATCAAGAGAGGAAGCGAATGGGTTCTGGCCTGAAGGGGAGACGGGCTGTGAGAGAGTTGCTGTCTGTGTTTTATACAATGTGATACCTAATGATTAAGAGACGGAAATAATTCACCGCTGAAACTTGGAATAATGTTCATAATGACGGAACGATTAGAAACAGAAACAGCAACGGCACGTTTATATGGGATATTCGGCAGACAAGTGGCAGATGAATGTCATGTTTGAGAATCTTGATACAAGGAAAGAAGAGCAGGCGACTGTTTTTGATGGTTCAGTCATTGACGATATAGCCATTCTGTGTATATATATTAGTACATTTGCAGCATTTTGTTGCGAAAGAGCGAGATAGAACGCGCGCATACCTGAGCGAACTAAAAGAAGCGATCATGAATGGAAGCTTCGTTACAGCCATACAATTGCAAATCATGATTAGATGTGGTTCATGGTGTGATTAGTTGCTCTCAGTGTCAGTTTGTAGTTAACAATTTATAGACCAAGGAGGGGCAGTTGTCGCAAGTGCGGAAATAATCCGCCCACCTTTTGAGCACAGTTTTTGTCTACCTAGCTTCCATTGACTCTCCTCTAGCAATCCATCCAGCGACATCGCAGAGTCGCCCAATGCAAGCTTCGTGGATGCCCAGATGAGCCTGGCTGGGAGAGCCGGACGAGCCTGGACTCGAGAATGGCTGCGCAATTCCAGCAGTCATGGCCTCAACGCATCTAACACTACATCTAGATGGTCTCTGCTTCTGCGCACGACAGCTCCATGCCGGCATCGCAACTACGCCTCGCAGGCAAAACCGACGCCTGCGCAGCTCGAGGCGCGGATAGCCGCGATTCCAATTGAGCGGTATAGAAACTTTTGCATCGTGGCGCACATTGACCATGGCAAGAGCACGCTGAGTGACCGGCTGCTGGAGCTGACGGGGACCATTTCGGCCAGCGATGCGAATAAGCAGATTCTTGTAGGTGCAACGGCTGATCCAATCAATTGCTGGAGAGAGCCGTGAAAACTGAACAATGGGAAAATATTTATAGGACAAACTCGATGTCGAACGTGAGCGAGGAATCACAGTCAAAGCACAGACGTGCACCATGATATACAAGCACAATGGCGAAGATTACCTGCTTCATCTCGTCGACACGCCGGGCCACGTCGATTTCCGCGCCGAGGTCACCCGTTCATACGCCAGCTGCGGCGGCGCTTTGCTTCTGATCGACGCCAGCCAGGGCATCCAGGCGCAGACGGTGTCCAACTTTCATCTAGCCTTTGCGCAGGATCTGGCGCTGGTTCCCGTCATCAACAAGATCGATATGCCGTCGGCCGATGTGCCCCGCGTTCTGGACCAGATGGAGACGAGCTTTGAGTTGGATCCTAAAAAGGCTGTGCTGGTGAGCGCAAAGACGGGTAAAGGTGTTGGTGCTCTTCTGCCGGCGGTGGTGGAGGGGATTCCGCATCCTGTTGGCGATGAGAATAAGCCGTTGAAGATGCTCCTAGTTGATTCTTGGTACGACACTTTCAAGGGCGTGGTTTTGCTGGTGAGGCTGTTTGACGGATCTATCAAGACGGGAGACAATGTCGTATCACTGGGCACAGGCATGAAATACACGGTTGGCCAGGTCGGCATTCAGTATCCCAACGCAACGCCGCAGACGGTACTTCGCGCAGGCCAGGTCGGTTATGTATACTTTAATCCGGGTATGAAGCGGATTCAAGACGCCAAGCTGGGCGATACCTTCACTACGGTTGGAGACGAGGAAATCGTCGAGCCGTGTCCAGGCTTTGAGGAGCCCAAGCCCATGGTGTTTGTTGCGGCGTTTCCTACCGACCAGAGTGACTACACCCGTCTCGCCGACAGCATCAATCAGCTCGTGCTCAACGATCGCAGTGTGACGCTGCAAAAGGACTTTTCCGAGGCTCTTGGATCGGGATGGCGTCTTGGGTTTTTGGGCAGTCTTCATTGCTCAGTGTTTCAAGATCGCCTGAGACAGGAACATGGCAAGAGCATCATCATCACGGAACCTACAGTGCCTACCAAGATTGTGTATGCCGACGAGTCAGAGGAGGTTGTACAGAACCCAGCCTTGTTTCCAGACTCGAGCGATCACCGGATTAGAGCTGCCACGTTATACGAGCCGTAAGTCTCACAAAGTCGAAAATAGAACGTGATGACTGACTGTTTCAGTAGCTATGTCAAAGCGACAATCACAGTTCCTGAAGAGTACCTCGGCCGCGTCATTGAGCTTTGCGAGGGCAATCGCGGAGAGCAAAAGAGCCTAGAGTTTTTCCACACTGACCAGGTTATTCTCTCATACGACATTCCCGCCTCACAGTTGGTCGACGATTTGTTCGGAAAACTCAAAGGCGTCTCGTAAGTTTCTGGCTACGCGGCTGCTTTTATTGTGGATTGGATCTAATTTCGCCTTGTAGAAAAGGTTATGCGACTCTTGATTACGAGGACGCAGGGTGGCGCCAGAGCAAATTGGTGAAGCTCCAGCTACTTGTTAATCGACAGCCCGTCGACGCCATTTGTCGAGTGATACACTCGACGCAGGTTGACCGCCTAGGCCGCCAATGGGTCACAAAGTTCAAGGAACATGTCGATCGACAAATGTTCGGTCAGTTTTCAAAAGCCCCCCCTTTTCTCTTCTACTTTTCACCCAAGTGTTACTTTTGCTAACTCTAATTTGTGTTCTAGAGGTCGTCATCCAAGCCGTTGTGGGCAACAAAGTTATTGCTCGAGAAACCATCAAACCTTTCCGGAAAGACGTCCTCGCAAAACTTCACGCCAGTGATATTACTAGACGCAGAAAACTGCTAGAGAAGCAGAAGGAAGGAAGGAAGAGATTGAGGGCAGTGGGCAACGTGGTGATTGACCAATCAGCATTCCAGAGCTTTTTATCGAAATAGAGTCACCACAGAAAAGAGGCTATTTGTATTATAGAGTACATCGACATGTATGTATGTTCTCAAAGTTTGTATATGTATATAACTGTATAGGTATATAACATCTATCCCATCATCTACTTACTATGGACATGTGTATTGATCGCTCTGACGCTGAGGAAAATCACTAACTAGTCTATCCAAAGCCATCTTGCTCAATTCTTGTCCTCATGAATCTCCTCTTCCGTCACATCCTCAGGTACCTCACTACCCAACTCAGCCCTCTTATTCCACGACCACCCCATTCCCCCCTCCAACGTCGACTCATCAATCTTCAACTCCAGTCCCTCATCCAACGTAAAAATGCGGTAATCCGCATTATAATACCACCACCCAGAAACACCCGACCTCAGAAACGCCGAGTGCGAAAACACAAAGATTAAGTCCTCGGGTCTCTTGCTCAATTTCTCGAGACAGCGGCGGCCACGACGTAGGACTGCAGTCCGGGTGTACCCGAAGAGGCTTTTCGCTACCGGGTCTTCTGTTTTGTCGGGCCAGACGGATGGGATGGCGGAGAAGTCGTAGCAGGGGGATGAGAATTGGTGCTTGGTCTGGTTGTCTTTGATGAGGGGCAGGAGGGAGAGGGGAGACCCGGTGTCGCAGGGCTTGGCCGAGAGTTCTGCAGTTTTTTGTCAGACTTTTACTCTATATTATATACTTTTCACATAAAAAGATGTGGGATTTAAAGAAGTTGGGAGTGAGTAGCAGATAGGCACTAGGTATGTGATACGTAGAGAGAGCATGGTATAAGTCGGATTTTCACATACCCTGCCAATCAGCATCCGCCTCAATCTTCACACCGCGCTCAACGAGCCAATCGGCGGCCAAACTCGCCGTCTGCAGCGTGCGCACCATGGGGCTCGCGATGACGGCGATGCGGCCCTCGTAGGAGGAGAAGCGCTGGAAGAGGTTGTAGCGGAGCTGGCCGCATTGTTTGATGCCGTGGTCGGTGAGACCGGGGTCGGGGATGGAGTAGTCTTGTGGAGGCAATTTGTTAGTTTTATTTTTTATTTTATTTTGGGTGGCTTGTATGGGGGACTTATGGGTTTCGTTGTGGAGGGCTTGGGCGTGGCGGATGAGGACGATTGTGGGAGGCATGGCTAGTGGTGATGTTGCTTGGTTGGTGTTTTTGGTGTGAATGAGATTGATGTGAGTTGGTTTAAGTGAGTCAGTAACAGGTATGTGCTGTAACAATAATGTCGATCATGTAATCATGTGCTGGTAGTAACATATGGGGAATTAGTATATTTCCTAATTCGAATAAATCGGAATCGACTCTATTTTATACGCGTAATTGGTAGTCTCATTAAGAGTTTCAATGATATCTGATTCACGTATTTTTAGCTTGCCAGACACCTGAAAGGAGCAAGGCACGGCAAAAATAAATTAATTAGTTGGAGCGCCACAGATGCACGATCTCTGATCTGGATGGATGGATGGTACCTCATGTGTTGTACCTCTTTCCCTGTGTGGTCTTCTCCAAAGGGTACGTCCTACTACAGTCCATCAAGGTTCCTCAAGTATACATACATCGACTACAGCTTTAGTGCCTCAGGCTCCAGCTACATTCCTCATTCACATAGAACTACTTCTGTATCTTCAACTCTTAATCAGCCTCATCTTAACTTTTCCACACCTCTCCTAAACAGCAGTACCTCCGCAATGTCACTGCGAATATCAAAGCAGCAAAAAACATCATCTGACCTGACTCCTAAAGTAAAAACGCCATATGTGGAGGTTTATATGGCCACGAAAATGGATACTTCAGCCTCGCGCGATGAAACTTCATACCTATACTCTCCAGCAGAGTTTGCTCTTGTCAGGAAAGTATAAGATTCTATATGTGTGCCCATATAAAACCCTGGTCCAGGTCTCTGATTCAAAATGATGTTTGGCTCCTGAAAACTAAACAGTGAGTCCAAGTGACGCAAAGCAATACTTGGCCTCTCAGCCACGATTCATCCCCATCACCAGACACTGACGCTCACACACAAATACAACAACCATGTTGTTGTCACTGCTGTTTCCTGCAGCCGCCGCTCTGGTCGCTGCAAGTGCTGCAGTTGCAGAGACTGCCAATCTAGCCCCTCCATTCGATTGGTTCGCCATTGTCCCCAGCGAGCAGCTCAAGTACCAAAACTGCTACAATGGCTTCAAGTGCGCTCGCCTGGTTGTCCCTCTCGACTGGAAAAATCCCGAGGATAACAAGACCGTCGCCATTGCCATGATCAAGCTGCCAGCTGTTGTTCCAGACAACGACCCGACCTTTGGCGGCACCATCATCTTCAACCCCGGCGGCCCCGGCATCTCTGGCATCGATGCCGCCCTCCAGGGAGCCAGGACCATCCAGCAGAACCTCGCTGACAAGCCTGGTGTCCGTCACTATGAAATCTTATCTTTTGATCCCCGCGGCGTTGGGAGAACAACCCCAGCCAGCGACTGTTTCCGCTCCGATCCTCTTGGTCGCATTACTTGGATCGTCGACGAGCGTGCCAACGGTCCGCTCGTCTACCTCAAGCCCGCACAATCCTACGGCCTGGGTCTCGCGAAAAACTTCGCCGAGCAATGTAAACTCAATGAGGAGTTCAAGGGGAGCATGGAGTACGTCAACACTCCAAGCGTGGCTCGCGATATGGTGGCGATGATTGACGAAATCGACGAGCTGAGGCAGCGCGAGGCAGCTCAGAGACAGCCCAAGCCACCAGGCCCTCAGCAACTACCAGGAGAAACCGAGAGAGGCGAAGATGAAGAAACCCAGGATAGTCCCAAGACACAGTTTCATCCACGAGGCAAAACAGAGAATCATGAAGAAGACGAGAACAACCCCGTACCACGGCTTCAGTATATCGGCTTCTCGTATGGCACGATCCTGGGCAACACTTTCGCATCCATGTTCCCAGGTCGCGTTGGACGCATGGTCCTCGACGGCGTGCACAGCGCCAAGGATTACTACTTTGAAGACACAAGCACCGCCCTCCAAGACACTGATGAGATGTTTGATACGTTCTTGCGGGGCTGCTTCGATGCCAATTACGCCAAGTGTCCCTTCCGCATATCCTACAAAGACGCCGAGGATGTCAAGAAGAAGTTCTGGGATTGGATCTTCCGCCTCAATTATAACCCCGTTGAGGTGAACCCAGTCAAAGGCGGCATCAAGGTGGTCAGAGGATCCGACGTTCTCGCGGCTGTTGGCAGCGCCCTGTACAGCCCTATGGAGAAGTTTCAGCCCCTTGCCTTGGGCCTTTACGATGGCATGAGCATCGGTGACTTGAACCGCCTCGCAGCCATCATCGACGAGGACAGCCCCAAGATTAGTGCAGACGCCCTGAACTCGAACTCATTGCAGCCCAAGTCCGAGCAAACATGGGGCGTCACCTGCAGCGACGGCCCGGACTGGCGCGGCAGAGACGTTGGCTTTTGGAACAAGCACCTCCAGAAGCTGGAGATGAAATCGAGGCTCTTTGGCCCCTTCTGGGCCAGCGTCCGCTCCGCCTGCGCGAGCTGGCCGTACCGCCCCAACTGGGTGTTTGGCGGGCCCTTCAAGACGCCCACCCCCAGCTCCGAACCGCTGTACACCTCGAAGCCCGCCGCGCCGATACTCTTCCTCAGCAGCCGCTACGACCCGGTCGCTCCCCTCAAGGCCGCCCGAGCCATGGCCAAGGAACATCCCGACTCGGGCGTCCTGATCCATTGGTCCATGGGGCACACCACGGTGGGCGGCGGGCCGAGCCGGTGCACCTGGGATGCCGTCCGCGAGTACTTGTACGAGGGCAAGGTCCAGGGGAAAGAATTCTCTTGTCCCGCTGAGTGTGACCCGTGGGACGATGAGTGCGAATCGAAGCTTGGAAAGAGAGTCGATGGAGGAGGGGCAAACTGGGATGTGTGGAAGAACATGACTGCGGCGCTTCGACAGACTCTTCGACCAAGGCCGTGGGGGACTGGAGGGCCATAAGGGGCAAGATCTTGAAATTTTTTAATGTAAACCAGAATGTGATGATACGTGGTGGGATAGGAGTTGCCAGAGTAATGGTTCTTTGGAAATAGTATTGGCAGTCAGATAGTGAATTAAGTATTACAAGTGTTTTTGAATTGATATCAAGTACGGTTATATACAGAAGTCTCGTTGTATCAACATTCTTATACAAAGTAGCAAAAGGTGCGCCCATGTATCATTCTAGTGTATCCCAATAACACTTGAAAGATTTTCAACTTTTTTTTTAATCTTGGTCTTTGTTTATTTCTCTTTTTATCATTGGCTCAACCTGACTTAGGCATTGGCATACTTCTTGTTAAAGGCGCGTCCAATGACCATTCTGCGAATCTCCGAGGTACCAGCTCCAATCTCGTACAGCTTGGCACTAAAGCAAACCAGTTAGTCAAGGACTCAAAAGAATGAAAACGAAGAAACTTACTCTCTTAGTATTCTAGACGCGGGCATCTCCTCGGTGTAGCCCATGCCGCCCAGCAGCTGGATGCAGTCAAGCGCAACCTCCGTCGCCCTCTCAGCAGCGTAAAGAATGGCACCAGCGCAGTCCTCGGTACGGATAACGCCCTGCTCGTCCACCATGCGGGCGGTGTTGTACGTGTAGGCGCGCGAGGCCTGTAACTTGGTGTACATGTCGGCAAGACGGCCCTGGATCAGCTGATTGTGGGCAATGGGCTGGCCAAACTGCTTGCGCTGGTGGGAAAACGGCAGGGCGACGTCAAGAGAGGCCTGCATGAGGCCCAGGGGACCGGCACTGAGGACAAGACGCTCGAGATCGAGACCCTCCATGAGGACGCGGACACCGCCGTTGACCTTGCCGAGGATGTTCTCGGTGGGCACAAAGACGTTCTCAAAGACGAGCTCACCCGTGTTTGAACCGCGCATGCCCATCTTGTCGAGCTTGCGGGCGCAGGAGAAGCCCTCGGCCTTGGTGTCGACCAGGAAGGCGGTGATGCCCTTGGAGCCCTTCTCCGGCTCCGTCTTTGCGTAGACGACGATAACGTGGGCATCAGGGCCGTTGGTGATCCACATCTTGGTGCCGTTGAGCACGTAGCCGCCGTCCACAGCCTTGGCCGAGGTGCGCATGCTCACGACGTCGGAGCCGGAGCCGGACTCGGACATGGCCAGAGCGCCGACGCTGGTTCCCGCAATGAGGCCGGGCAAGTACTTCTGCTTCTGCTCGGGGCTGCCATTGAGCGAGATCTGGTTGACGCACAGCTGCGAGTGCGCGGCATAGCTCAGGGCAATAGAACCCGAGGCGCGCGACATCTCCTCCAGCACGATACAGTGCGCCTGATAACCCATGCCCAGACCGCCGTAGTCCTCATCAGCAGTTACGCCCAGGAAGCCGGCCTCGCCCATCTTCTCCCACATCTCCATGGGGAAGGCATTTGACTTGTCCGTCTTGGCGGCGAGCTCCTCGGGGATCTCGCGGCGGGTGAAGTCGTAGACACGCTCGCGCAGCTCGTCCAGCTCCTCTTGTGATGGCGGAACGAAGCCCTTGGGGTGCTTCTGGGAGTGCAGTCGCTTCTGGCATGAGATGGAGGAGGCTGGAGAGAAGGCGGCAGGGCGGAGGGAGATGGATGGCCGCACGGGGCGGGCGAGTCTGGAGAAGGATCTGAGGCTGGCCATGATGAATTGATGGTTGTTGATGAGAGAAAGTGAGAGAGTGAGAGTGAGACGGAGAGAGAGGAAGTGAAGCTGGCTAGCAGCGGCGTATGTATTATTAGAGGCTTGTGTGGATTTCTGAGAGGCTGTACCGGCCGGGTTGATGTTCCAGCGAGAAAGAAGAAGATGAATCTATGCAACTCTGTACTCTGTACTCTACAGACTCAGTGAGATTGACGAAAGATGACAAGCAACAATAAGCGAAATGAAGAAGAGAAGTCAGAAAGAAATGGAAAAAAGGGATGATGACGGACAAGCTAAGCAAAAAAGAAAGCTGCATGGTTCTCCAAGAGCCGTCCAAGCAGCAGAAGCGCGACTAAGCCGAGGTGCCTGCACCAACCAAATTGATCCAGTGGCCAGTCGGTCCTTCGGCTCCCCGGCTTCAGGCGGCTTGTGGCGGCTCGGGTTCGCTGCAACAGCCGAACAACGTCAACAGTGTTGGGCTTCGGCTGCAGGAAAAGGGAAGAATCCAAGAAAAACATCAAGCCTGCAGCGTCGAGGGAAGCATCTTTGCATTCTTTTCTTCTTCTTGTCTTCTTGTCTTGCTTCCAATTAATTGCACAAGCCTCAGCCATGTCTCTCTCCCGGCCCTGTCGCCAGGCCCTGCGCCTCTCCCACCAGCTTCGTCCCTCAACCAAAGCATCATCATCACAGCTTCTCCTCCGTCGCAGCGCCGCAACGCTCACGCCTCCTCACCAAGCCGCCGCCATCTCGCGCCTGCAAACAAACGTCGATGCCTCGTCCGAGGAATTCAAAGAAAACGAGCGCCAAATGGCCGACGTCACCGCGCGCCTGCAGGAGCTCACGGCCACCATCCAAAAGGGCGGCCCGCAAAAGGCTCGCGACAAGCACATTGCCCGCAACAAGATGCTGCCGCGAGACCGAGTCGCCGCCCTGATTGACCCGGGAACCACGTTCCTCGAGCTGTCGCCAATGGCCGGCCACGAGCTGTATCCCGAGGCTGAAGTGCCTGCGGGCGGCATCATCACGGGTGTGGGCGTTGTCGAGGGCGTCACTTGCGTCATTGTTGCCAACGACAGCACCGTCAAGGGCGGCACGTACTATCCCATTACTGTGAAGAAGCACCTGCGAGCCCAGGCCGTGGCGCAGGAGAACAAGCTGCCGTGAGTGCCCAATATCTAGCATTCCTCTATGAAACTCAATTGACCCAAAATCGACAGCTGCATCTACCTCGTCGACAGCGGCGGCGCCAACCTCCCCCACCAGGCCGACGTCTTCCCCGACCAGAACCACTTTGGCCGCATCTTCTACAACCAGGCCCGCATGTCCTCCCAGGGCATCCCCCAGATCGCCGTCGTCATGGGCCCCTGCACCGCCGGAGGCGCCTACGTCCCCGCCATGAGCGACGAGAGCATCATCGTCCAGGAGCAAGGCCACATCTTCCTCGCCGGCCCCCCCTTGGTGAAAGCCGCCACCGGCGAAGTCGTCAGCCACGAGGACCTGGGCGGCGGCAAGATGCACTCGTCCGTCTCTGGTGTCACCGATTATCTTGCTGTGGACGATGCCCACGCCATCACCCTTGCTCGTCGCAGCATCTCCAACCTCAACTGGCCCGCCCGAGCAGCCTCCACTAACCCCCCCGCGGCCACCTACGCCGAGCCCCTCTACGACCCCAACGAGCTCCTGGGCATCGCAACCACCAACCTGCGCAAGCCCATGCCCATCCGCGAGATCATCGCCCGCATCGTCGACGGCTCCGAGTTTGCAGAGTTCAAGCGCGACTTCGGCACCACCCTCGTCACGGGCTTCGCCTCCATCTACGGCCAGAAAGTAGGCATCGTCGCCAACGACGGCATCCTCTTCGCCTCCTCCTCCGTAAAGGGCGCCCACTTCATCGAGCTCTGCGCCCAGCGCGGCATCCCCCTAGTCTTTTTACAAAACATCTCCGGCTTCATGGTCGGCTCCGCCTCCGAGCGCGACGGCATCGCAAAGCACGGCGCGAAGCTCGTCACCGCCGTCGCTTGCGCCGACGTGCCAAAGTTCACCGTCGTCGTTGGTGGCAGCTACGGCGCGGGCAACTACGGCATGTGCGGCCGCGCGTACAGCCCGCGGTTCCTGTGGATGTGGCCCAATGCTCGCGTCGGCGTCATGGGCGGCGAGCAGCTCGCCTCCGTCATGGAGACGGTCGGCAAGTCGGTCGACCCGGAGCTCAAGGAGCGCATTGAGAAGGAGAGCGAGGCCACTTACTCCTCGGCCCGTCTTTGGGTAAGTCACACAAACCAACAACATCATCATATTCACGTATAGACACACATCAACTAACTCAAACAGGACGACGGCATCATCCCTCCCCAGCACACCCGCCAATATCTCGGTCTCGGCCTGAGAGCCGCCATGGGCGGCCGCAACGAAGTCAAGGCCGGAGATACCAACTTCGGCGTCTTCCGAATGTAGGCAAACAAAGAAAAGACAAGAGAAAGAAAGAAAAAAAAGTATCAAAAAAAGATGTAAAAGTAATATATACTACACACTCATGTAAACATGCAAACAACCCCGTGTTTTTGGTTATTCCATTCCCTTTTCAGAATTAGACATCTATGTACATTTCACGACCAGCAACAAACACACATTCATCAAGCTCGCCCGACTGCTGTCCATCCGAAAAGGTCGTAGCAGCACTAAAGCCGCCGTGATATTGATATCGGGTTAAATCTAGTCTGCCTCTGATGAAAACGCCAGCGCTAATCTCGCCTTACCACCCCTGTTCTTCGCATATGTAAATGCACATGATAAAAGAGAAAAGAAAAAAAGTGAAGAAAATAAAGGAAGAAAAGGTGCCAAAAATGAAAGAAAGGCCATGACATGCTTATACAAGATTTCCCAATCGTATTGCCCTTATTGCTTCTTACGTCTCATTGCCTCAAATAACCCCCCGCCTAATTTCAACTGATATTAATGTCATGTCCCAAAGTTTGTACAAAGAGGTTTTCGCCAACCCCCATCGGCAGCCGTATAGATTGGCTGAGATATTTTCCACGCTTGTATCCGTTTTAAGAGTTGCCAAACAGCATCTCCCTCAAAAGTCGAACAGGCTGCGCTTGGACGCCGCTTTGCCTCCCACGGGGCCTTGGCCAATGTTGACCTTGGTATCGACTAGATCAACTGTCCTGTTTCCTCCGATGGAGATGCTGGATGCCTCCTTTACAGTCACCTGGGAACCGAGTTGGGTGATGGACTGAGTGGCTTCAGTGAAGAATTGCTGAAGTTGAGTCTGTGCCGTGTTGGCAGCGTCAACACTGTCTTCTTGTAAGACGTACAGAACCGCTGTGCGAGCAAAATCGAGGACTTCTTGTGTAACTGTGAATAGACCGGTTTGCTTGGGAGAGGGGGACGAGCTCGATGCTGAGGGGCTGCTTCTTCGAGCCAATGCGGGCGCCTCGCCCTCAACGACTTCAAACTGCCGGGACGTGAGCACGGGCGATGGCCCAGAGCCCGCACCCGTTCCTTTCTTGTTCTTAGCCGAGTCGTCTGTAGTATCTTGAACTTGAGCATTAGCCAAGCCGGTTCTCGTTGACTGGCCGTCAAAGGTAACAAGGGCGTTCTGCGCAATGCAAGAGAGATTTGCCGAGTTGAACTTGGCCAGGATGCTCGTTCCCACAAGAGGGATGGAGAAATTCTTGGTCGAGTCGGCAATGATGCGTGGAATAGCCAGGCCGAGGGTGACATTGTTAATGTGAGAAGAGCCGTCCGTGGGAATCAAGTTTGTCGTGGTACAACCCGCGGAGCCGCTTGAGCCGCAGTTGGCGCCGGTGAACCCATTGGTGCAGATGCACGAACATGTGTTGTTGACGACAACGCCGCTACCACCATTCAGGCACGGCAGAGTCTTTGCGCAGGTGGCGAGGTTCACACCCGTTGACTTGTCGTGGTTGCCTAGGTTCTTGAATACAAAATACTCCAGGGGAACAACGACGGCTGCCGCAATGATGCACAGCATGAGCAGGATGATCAAAATGAACCCCCATAAGGGCAGGCCGCAGCACCGACGACCTTTTGGCTTGGCTGGCGCCGGGTCCTCGGGAGTCACGGAGAACTTCTCACGGCCCGTCACGTAGTTGTTGTTTCCTGGCACAATGGGCCAAGAGCCCATGGGGCCGCGGCCAGTATGCTGAGGAGTCTGTACGGGAGGGGGGAAGGCAGCCAGCATATCAGAAAGACCTGACTGATAGCGTTCATCTAAAATTCATTCGAGGTTAGCCGCAAGTGAAATTTCAAGCGAAGAAATATACGAGTGAGATAACATACCATACGATCGCTTCATTCCATCGCCGCCCTTTTCGCTGAAAAAGTCTAGTTCGTCGAGGCGGCTTGATGGACGTTTGCCCTTGTCAATCATCGAAGCTAATCGGGTGGCACGTCGGATCAGGTCTGGTAAGCTGGTGAGACTTCCTCTTGACTCCGCCTCTCGCACGGCGTCTATATCCAGCCTTGGCGGGCGTCGGATTGCTGAAAGGCGGCTCGTCGGCTGTGGGGATCCGGCAGCTTTGCGTAAATCTGTTGGACTCATTGCGTTGCCTCTGTTAAGAGCAACGCCCGCAATGTGGCTTGCCATGCCAGGGGTGGTTGCTGGGGTTTGTCTGTTGGTAAAGGAGTTGTTGGTGGAAGAGTCGGTGGATTCGTCCACAAGGCCTGTTCCCCCAAGGAAAGGGTTGGCAGAAGCTGGTTTGTTTCCACCAGACTTGTTGGGGTTGGAGAGCGTCTGCATGGCATATTCATCCTGGCCAGACACAAGGCCACTCTCGTCGCTGTAATCGTCTGCTCCAGAATTCCTAGTCTTGTCGGTCAATGACTCTTCGTAGAATGCTCCGTGCATACTCGGGCTGGCACCCGCAGAATCGACTCTCCAAGCATCTGGCATGACCGCGCTCGAGGCGAAAGAGTTGTGGGACTTGTAGGCTGAATCTTCTTCGGGAATCGGGGAAACAAAGGACGCTGCGGAGTAGAAAGACGACTGTCCTCTTCTGCTTGAAGGCGGCGGCCCTAGGTTTGCACTTCTCCTCGGGGGCCCTGAGGTGTCTGAGGAGGGGCTGTCAACTTGCTCCAGCGGGCTCTCGGGTCCTCCTGGGACACGAAATGAGGGAGTCGGTTGCTGCTGGCGGGATTGGTCTACCATTGATGGGATTAGACTTGGGCGCTGCGGTCTTTGAGGGGCTGCTCGAGGTCGGTCAGGTGGAGAGCGGTATGATTCAGCATCTGGAGGTGATGCTGCGGGGGGGCTTTGAAGTGGCCACTGGGGAGCTGGTGCTGGTCGCGGAATTGTCCTTGAAGAGCTGCCATTCTGGCCATTTGATGGTCTTGATCTCGTCGAGTTGGGCGGTACTACATCGTGAGGTGGTGCATCGTAACCCGGACTCGTGTCGTGTCTCAGCCGCTGCTCACGCGTATTGGACTCGCTGCTGAAAGGAAATACCAAGGCTTTGTTTCGTGGGTTTTGAGAGGATGGTGGAGATTGTGCCGGCCAATCCCTGCCTCCATTATACTCCTGACTCATATCGTCGTCGAATCCAGTCGCCAATCATTCAGAGTAATGTCGCTGGATAGTTTACCGATGGTTCAACGGTAATGTCCAAGGTGCGAGGTGCATAAACGGGGTCCTGCTGGTAACCGATCTAGCTGAAACAAACTTGGTTGCACTGGCAGAGGTGGAACCAGTCACGAACTGGTTGAGATGAAGTTGAAACGATTGAAACGAATGAATAGGCGCAAAGCATTGAGGATGGAGTCAACAGTTGCGCTGGTGGTTCTGTGGGCGTGATTGATGACAGCCGCACAGGGGAGGTATAACGAGTGGAATCTGCAAACAAGCAATATTAGACATGAGCAAAGTCGTTGCATTAAAGACACAAGTCTTGACGATGACTATAGCAAATCAAAGCCCATGGTAGAAAGGTCATGAAAGAAATGGCAGGGTGAAGCAAGGAGGGACAAGACGCTTCCAAGATTAACGGCTAGTTCGTACCTTGACGACTAGGTGAAATGCCCAATCTCAGATGTAATGAAATGAATGCTGGTGAAATTGGAAAAAGTCCTGCTCAACGGCTGAACCGACGCACGGTCCTGCTGTGCAACAACGCAAGTGTGGTGGGAGGATAACAAGATCGACACAGCGGCTGTCTTGTGTCACGGTTTCTCGAAGACGCTGCAAAAGGCTAGAAGGACGAGGCAGAGTGTCTGTGATGGGTGAGTCGGTGGCCGGGGCAGTTTTGGGCATTTGAGCTGGTGTAGAGCAGGAATTTTGAGGTTTCAGGGTTCGCATGAAACATGTAGATCGAAAGAGGATTTTTGAAAATCGAACGATGTGCAGATATCTGGGAAAGACGGTGGTCGTGAATGAACAGCAGAAACGTACCTACGGAGAGAAATGGCGAGTATTCACCGGGAACAGAACAGGCACAACGGCAAAGAGAGAAGAGAAAAAAAAAGTATAAAAAAATAAATCAACAAGGGAAAAGAAAAGTTAAGGAAAGCGGGGAATCGAATAGTTAGCAGCAGCAGCAGCAATTTGCAGCTGGTGATGAGAGAAAGAAAGAAAGAGTGAAGGTTAACGCAAGCGAGAAAACAAGAACTGGGGGGGAGGAGGATTGGCGAGCGAAGGCGCTCAAGGATTGGGATGGGGGGAGATGATACGAGCAGCTTGCACTGCTGCGTGCTCTGTGCCGTGTGCTCTGTGCTGTGTCTTGTTGTCGGACGATGGCCCAGCCAGACGCTTCTCAACCAGCGAGGGATTCTCGATATTGAGGAGGCAGAAGAGGGTCGGAAGAGGAGAAGGACGATGCGGCAGTTTGGGGCATCCAGGTCCGGGTACAGGTACAGGCCATCAGGGCGCATGAAGCAGGATAGCAGGGAGCCAGGTGGTCGGTCATCCTGGCCTGGTCCCACGTTGTTTGTGGGGGGCTTCGCTTGCAACACGCCAGCCATGGGACCTGTAATTGCTGGAGGGGGACCTGAGCTGCGGCCGTACCGGTACATGCAGCACATCCACGGCAAAAACTGGGCTCTTTTCATCACAGCGGGCCCAAGTTGAAGCTGCATCAATGATGCGCAGTCTGTCGGCCGCATCGCTGGAGTTGTCTGCCAATCAATTTCCGCAGGCCGCAAACACGGGTCGATTTCTTGCTTTGATGCTGGTCTGCCAAGCAATGAGCCTTTTGGGGTTCATCATCCAGGAGGGGGCAGCATCGTAAGAGGGGCGCCCAGTGAGTATACGCGTACTCTCAGAAGAGCAAAGCAAAGCAAAGCAACATCGTATACATCACGCTAAAGCACCTATGAGATGAAACCATTGAGAAAAAAAGAGCAAAGAGTGTTGAAACCCCCAATAGCTTAATCAACAGATTCTGTACCAGCATCGCCGTGCAGTCAATAGCGCAGCCACAGGTACCTGTACCTTCCCTTGCTCCCCCTAGTTCCCCTTTGCCCAAAACCCCTGAAAAAGGCAAAACACTAGCGCCGCAGCTGCACTCGGCCTTTTCATTCGCCTGCTTCGTCGTCCGTCTCTTTTCGTCGTCCGTCTTTTTTACACGTATTGCGAATGCAGGGCAATTGAGTTCATGTTCTTTTGCTATTTGTTGCTTGGTGTTCGTACTGAGACATGGCCGCCCAACTGGCTAAGACAATGCAAGCCATGCATGCACTGAGACATACGTGCATGCGTTCACTCTCACGTGGAGAGGGAGAGGTACCAGGTATCTCAGGCAGCACTGGCGCAGCCACTTGACATTTGATTCCCGTCATTATCGCTCAGCTCCAAGCCTCAAATTCGCATGGATCCGGGCAATTATACCTAGTCAAATGAATATTTTCGCCGGGACGACGCTTCATCAGGATTCGAGCTACGAGCCGCGATGGCGCTATGTTCCGCTACAACTGCACTGCTGCTCAGCTTTGAGCTTTGAGCGATCCAGCTACAGCGCCATCTGCCATGCCATGCCATTGATGTCTTAGATTCAAATCACGCATCTCGGCCGATCCACATGGCTTCCAGAAGGGAGACATTCCACCACTGCTAGCTGCCAGCCCGGTGCCACAGTTATTATTAGTACTTATTCACGTGTGTGTTGTTTTGCGAGTGTGTTGGATATCGGGCCAACAGATCTTGGCAGCACGCTCATGTAACAGCTTGAGCCCTTGAATACGTCACCCCTCGTGACAATACGGGCTTTGGAAACACATTGTGATATCTGATACTGTACCAAAGTGTCTACGAGTATAGTACCGAGCGCCGTTCGGCAGACTTACCCATGCACTCGTACAGTGCGATGGGGGCTGCGGAATACGGCATGCTGATTTGTGAACAGCACTTGAGGCGCCTGCGCGTAATTTCCATTGCATGCCACATCCTTTCACGCCGCAAGGTTCTCCCCGGAGCCATGGCGCGATCTGCACCAGAACAAAGAAAAAAAAGACGACACGAGACATTATTCGCTGATTGAGTGTGTTGGTTCACACCAACGAGAGCCATGTCTCAGACACGCACAACATACTCGTACTAGTAGTACCGTTATACGTGTACGTGGTGGAACCAGCTTCCAAGATGCATCACAGGCACCAACTGTCAACAACAAGAGGAAACATCAATCACATGTACTCGTACTGCTTATATGCGCTCCACGACGGCACGGCAGAGTGAGAGCACCTACACACAACCTCTTGCCTAATAAATACGACGGGCTGGCATGAAATCTCCATCATGACTTGATTTTATGGCATGACGCTTACATATCCCTTGGCACCAGCAATCTGTTTAAAACGCTCCGACTTTGCGGCAAAATCCACAACCCTGCCTCTCATCACCAGCGAGATCCACAGCGGCCGGCTCCATGGAACAAGCAGATGCTTCAAGCCCCTGACCCCTGCTAGGCCGAAAATAGAAAACCTGGAAAGGGCAAAAAAAAGACGAAGAGTCGATAAGACTCAAACGGTATTCAAGAGAAACAAGAAAATGCCGTTTGCTCGATCGGCACCTATCACGAGGAGGCGGTATGATCCTCATCAGGGTCCATTGAAAGACGCAGTGACTTGATCGATCTGCCACTATAATTGGAGCCCAGATTTGAGTGTATCTTGGAAACAACAAGGCTGAAGACATTATACATGGACAATAATACTGTGCAAATGGTGTCAAAGATTGTATCGGATCTAGCTAGTCTTGGCAAGAGTCGCGAAGCTAAGGAAGAAGAAATTCTCCTACGGTCCCAAGCATTCGAGGCTGACGATTGCTAGTACTATCCATCTATCTGCAATGACTACCCAGTAACAATGACAATGACAAGGCTGACGCTACACGGATATCCCAATGATGCTTCCTTCCATGAGCGCTCTCTCTCTCTCCCCTACCCTGTCATGATAAGTCCATCAGACGTGTCTAGATGGCGGTGCACTTGAACGAGATGATTCGGTCGTTGAAGGCAGGGTACAGGTTGGGGATATCAGCAACTCCGGGATAAGTCGAGATGAATCTATTGCCCTCGCAATTGTAGTCACTAAAAGTTTTCTTCTGTCAGTCGCCATCTCTCGGGCCTATTTATAAATTGAACAGCTCACTCGTGGAAGTAGCAGAGACCAGCCGCCGTGTTGGGATCTTATGGTTAAAGTCCGAGGGCACGTTCTCTTCACAAGTTGTTAGTGAATCAGGAAACAAAACAGTCAGGCTATTTGACCAAGACGGTCAAAACAAGAAGAGAGACGTACGGCACACGCCAGAGGGAGCGCCAAAGTGTCTGCACTGTCCGTAAAAGTTGGAATGTTCACATGCGTAAACTTCGGGCGAGGCATCCGGAGTGACGGCGTCGGTGTCGGCCATCGCGCCAGCGGCGAGACAAGCGACCAAGATGAAGATCTCAGAGAACCGCACTGTGGATGGGTAAATAAGATGGATTGAATGGTTTGTTTATAAGTGTGTGAGTGTTGTGTTGTTGCTAGAGTGTTTGCTGTCGAGAGTGCAGATTGAAGTGTTGCTGCTGGAGGCGGAAGATGAGTCTCTTCTTATACTTTGCTTGTCCACAGCATTCCTGGGACCTTGATGTCCCATCATGTAAGTCCAATATCAAGCAGGGAGCATGTTTCTAAGAGAGATCTTCTTTCTCCCGACATATAATTGCACAAGATCCACAAGCTCAATGTCAAATGTCACATTATTATTCCGACCTTGCATGGCGTCCTACATGTATGAGAGCCGAACGGGGCATTCTTACTACGACTTGGACACCGGCTTACTAGATCTGAGAGCCACCCAGCGAGTAAAACTCTAGAAGCTATATTACGATACGGCTTCATGTTACGCCTACGGGGACTCGGAAGATACAGGCTACATGTTGGGCCTCGTACAAGTTTACAGTAAACAGGTTGATGTGATACCAGCGCGTAGGAGGTTATATTTGACATGACTCGGTTTCTGCCAGTACGTAATGCCAACACATTCATTCTCGTGCTTGTGCGCCAACTATGTAGTGAAGAGCATGGGCAGAACTGATAGGAGAAGTTATCATTGGCCGACGTTCCGAGGTATCTGATGCTGGCATGTCCAAATCAAGAACATTGCATACGAATGGCAACTTGGCATATCGGGCATTCGACACATGACACTAATCTCATTATCAGTATTATCGAGGTACGAAGGGGTTATATTAGTACAGGCGATTGGGCCCTCAGTTATGTATTGAATAAACTCGTTCTCCATGTAGAGCATCAAACGGCATAAGATTTACGAACGAGGATGCTATATTGATGGCAAGAGAGCTGAATCATTCTTCCTCTATCAAGAACTATTCTTCCTCGTCCAAGAAGCCCTTCCTGACCGTCCACGATCCCTCTATCCGGCCGTGCCTAGAATTTGGCATACTTGAGTTTTCCATTGGAATACTCTTTGGAATACTTGAGTCTGGAAAACTTGTGCCGAAACGAAGGATCTTCTTTTGCCTTCTCGCCGAGGTCAGGAAACGCCGCCAGGTAGACACTGTATTTCCTCACGTCAGTCATCATCTCATTCCTAGAAGACATCGAGTAGTGCAAACCCACTTCCAAAAGTCACATGCGTCTGATGGGTCAGGCTGGAGCGAGGGAACGCCATTGCTGGGATACGCAGGAACATCCCCCGGACGCCTGTTGGAGAGAAAGAATGCACATTTTGTCATTTGCAGGAGAATGGGATAAAAGGAGGCTGGGCATGCGCCTCGAGGGGTGCTGAGGGCCTCGTGGGCTTTGAACGCAGGGTTGTCGCAGTTTCCCCCGATGCGCTCCGAGAAGTTGTGAGTTCTGGCCATGGCGGCTGATGAGAGATAAGCAATGAAAGTGATGAGCTCGAAGAGTCGCATCTTATGGGTGGAAGAATGAGTTGTTTTGTTTTGCATAAGCTGGAAAGGTATGTTCTAGTTGAAATGCTGCCGTCAACATGAAGGCTGTAGTTTAAACATCACATCAATAGTAGAAGTGGAAGGCGCGTCTCTCATCTTTTGCTATCATTGCGGAGGCTCATCACTTTTTAGGAGACATGGGGAGGCGAGATCGATTCTCCTATTGGCTCTACTTGTGAAACTTTATTATGTCGCCGAGTTCAATGTTTGCTTTTCATTCAGTGCGTCCGTATGCAAGTGACGGTATAACATCTCGTTTACCTTTCATTCCTCTCATTCGACGTTGGGATTTGCAAACACTTATATGGGGAGGGAGGAAACGATGTTCAACACTGGAATGAAACGTCAAACAATTGCCGATATTCCGAGATTTTGATAGGTTGTTAGGGAAATGACATCTTGTAGCTGATAGGCCGAGTATCCGACAGTCGCACCAACTGCCCCTATTCGCGGGGTAGAGCAACGGCACATTAACACAATGGTTCTTTTTGTATACAACACAACAAGAGGCACAATCCTAATTCAAAATACCATATTGTGGCATGACATTTTGTAATAGCAGCAATATGTCCAAAGGGCGAATCGAAAGAGCCCCAGATCCCTGCTAGAACCGGGGAAATACACCCACGAACTATTCATGTACTTGCCCCGTTTCGTCTAAGGGTCTAATCTACGGTGTAATGATAGCCCGTACAGCGAGAGAGCTTTCGACAATAATTGACCTCGGCCTTTAAGAGTTCAAGAGTATGACTGCTTGAACGATGCAAACAATGTATACATAGTTGCGCAGAGATGACCTAATGACCTGTATCTCCTGTCAATGGCTCTATGGCATGTTATGAAGTGAGCCATGTACTGCACAACGGAGGAGAAAAAATGTCCATGATGCCATCAATTATTCCCAAGTCCAGGTTAAGCCCATCTATCACCCAATCCCTCTGCATCTATTTGTATATCCATTCCCATTTATTCTTCATTTATCTACAACATTTGGTCCTCTTACGGCTGGAAAAACACCTGCTCCAACGGTCTCCACCACGACGGCTCTCCCGCCTCCGAGCTCACAGCGCCCTTGACCAAACTCTCCTGCATGGCGTCCGTCATCTTCCACCACTCGCGCACCTTGGGGTTCGCCGCCATCTTCTCCATGTCTCCCGCGTAATCGTAGCCAATGTACCTAAACGTGCCAAAGAGGAGGCCCATCTCGTCGTCGTAGTAAATGCTGTCTGTTTGCCACTCACACGTTAGCAAAGAACACTCTACTGTGCTGCTTTTAGGCATATAAAAACATACAGTCTTCAATGTTGCAGTCCTTGATCTGCTTCAGCACCTCGGGCCACACCTTGGCGTGGCAGGCCTTGTATTCCTCCACGCGGTCCTTCTTGAGCTTAACCGTCTGCGCAAACCAGCGGCCCGGGTTCTTTTGCTTCATCGACAACGTCCTGCTGTGGCCCTGAGGGGGGTTGGGCGAGGGCGATGATTCGTCGCTTGGCTGCCACATATTGCCTGCAGATGATGGTTGCTTAGATATTATTACACAACGTTGACAATAGGAGCAAGTAAAATGAGAATTAATTCGAACAGAGCAAGAATCGAAAAAAGAGTAAAGAAAGTGAAGAGAAAGGAGTGAATCTGGCTGGAGATATTATCCTTGAGAAACCGGGGCCCGTTGGTCGGCTCTGGCTGGATCCATGCACCAACAGTGAGGGGCAGACCAAAAAAAATAGCTGCCAGCAAAACGAGGGGAAGTTTTGGGGAATCACAACGTGTGTCTCGGCCCCCGCAGACCCAAGAGCAAAATGGAGAAGACAAGATGGATCGGAATCGGCCAGGTTAATAATAAAAAAACAGGGTTCGATCCATAATAAGAATTGCCGGTTGCTACATCAGGGAGTCGCTTTAGTCTAATACCTTGGGCGGGTGGTTTACAGGCACCATGAAGCTTGGCATAGAGGTTAGCAAATAAGATTACCAGCTTGAATCTCCGTCAAAGCTTGGGGAAATCCGATGTCAATTACTAATTGAAGCTCATGCATTCTCTGCACCTAACTCATACTCATACAGCACAGCTCTTCACTAGATCCAAACCCCCCGCATCGGTTTGCCCATGGGCAACCGGATAGTCCAGTCCGTTGCCCCAATCCAGCAACTCCACGTCACGTAATGAATTCCACCTTGAGGAACAGCACATGAGACACTACGTCGGTCACAAGACTGCCAATGCGGCGAGTCCTAACAAGTTCAAACAAGTGGTGGTACAAAACCCCCAAATTCATGTTCTTTGCCTGATGGCCTGAGCAGAAACAATCTTCACATATAGACACGGAGAGATACATATCATGTCTAGCAGTTAATTAAGCGACGGGTGAATTCAGCCAAGCTACCCCAATCTCAAATTCCCCATCGAATTACAAATTAAGGTAGAGAGACCCTCAGGTAATAACTAAAAAACCGCCCCCCAAAAAGCCAGTCTCCGCCTGTCTATAATTCCGTGTCACTCCACATGCATGCACCTTTCCAACACCGATTACCCAACAGGGCAATCAAAACCCCAGGTGCGAAAGAAAGAAACAGAAGAAGAGCAAAAAGTTAAACCCAGCTTTGTAATCCAGTATACCAACTAGTAGACGCAATTTGTTTCCCCCACAGTGGGCAGAGTGGGCTTGTTCGACAGCGTAACTACTCGTAGCTCCCCACACGGGGATCAGCATTCCGGGCCCGGCCCCACGCGGCAGAGGATACCGAAAGATCGGAGTCAAAACGTTGAGATCCTTTGTCTTCTCTGTACGGGATAATAATCTACAAGCAAGGCATTCTTGAGAAATGTGAAAGATGTACTGCGACATGGGGCGAGGAATTCACTTAGTTGTTCATCAAAGGCACTGACGTCAAACTTATTCAGGCTAGCAGAAGTGAGCAAAAGGAAAAAGTTGCAGTCTTGGATTAATGAAAGAATGATGCAAAAGCATCTACTCATTCTCTTCCTAGTAAACGCCCCCTCGACTTGAGTTATTGTCTTGTCAGATAGTTGTACAGTATGGCTATATCTTGATTTCTCCCCCTTCTGGCCGTGCCATCACTCTCCGCATCTCTGCTTCTCTTCGGCATGATACAAGGAAAAATATGCCAATCTCTTGGTTTCTTTGGTTTCGTTTTGCTTCAAAAGGTGATAATGGCGGCATACGACCACCTACCTAGTATTCGTCGTCCAGCAACTTCATCACAGGTATAAGAATAACGCAATGGAAAAATGATATCAACAACGTCCTCTTCCTCTCTTTATTTGCTGACGGACTCCTCCTCGGAAGCCGGGGCTGGAGTGGTGTCCTGAGCCTCCTCGGCCTCCATCAGACCTCTCTTCTCTTCCTCGGCATTGAGGAATCGAGTGACGTTGCGTCGGTGGTGAGGGCACCATGAACGACGGGGAGAAGCACCACGGACAAGCATGCTCAGACGGTACACAACGCTGCACATGAACATGGCAAGGCTATTGCAAATATTAGCAAGGAAACAACACATCACGTCATAGGAAGAAGCAACATACAAGGCAACGCCGACACCAGCAGTGATACCCATCAAGACGGGCAGGACAATGTGCGAGGCGACGCTAAGGACAAGGCGGCGCCAGTCGCGCTGAGAGTTCCACTCCTCCTCGTGGCCGTGGTGAGGTCGCTCGTGGTGGTGAGGGTGATGCGGGCGGTGGCCCTCCTCGTGGCCCTCCTTGGCACCGGCGGCCATGGACTCGTGGTGAGGGCCCTTGTTCATCTTCCTGTGGCAGCCACCGAAGCCCTTGAGCGCAGCCTTGGCGCGGCACCACATGGAGTGGCAGGGCATCTCGGGAACAGCCATGAGCTGCATGTCGGAGATGACAATCTCGCCCGTCGTGGCCTTGATCAAGCCAATCTTGACCGTGGGGATATCGTCGACAAATCGGTGGCCGACCTCGATGACCCTCAACTTAATGTCCACCAGCTCAAGCTTCTGCTCCTCGTCCTTGGCCCTGGGCACGACGGCGAGGCTGTAGCCTAGAGTGCGCTCGTTGGCAGCGCCGCTGGCTCGCACCACCTCGGCGACCAAATCATCACGCCATGGGTCGGCATGGGGATACAGCTCGAAGCCGTTGACCATCAGTCTCGATCCATCTTCCACGGCAAAATCCAACTTGAGGTGCGTGTCTCGGCCTCGGCACTGTCTGCAGGGAACCTCGAGGCTCTGGCCCAGGGCCTCGGCGGGAAGCTGAAAGGTCTCTGGCTCGACGGGGAGAGCCTTGAAGATGTTCTCGTCCTTTTCGGATAACTCGGGGACGATGACGAAAGCAGCAGCCGCAGCCGCGAAGACGAGCGGCTTCAAAAGCATGGCGATGGAATGTGAATCTCGGGTGCTGTTACCGATGAATTTCACAAAGTAAAAAACGATGGAATAAGATGCGACTTCTATCGTCGATATGTCGTAGTTTGACAGCGGGGAGGAAACAAAGGAAAGGCTAAGAAGGGAGGGCAGTGAATTCAAGCCTGGGGAGATAAAAGAGGTCCAGTGGCAAAGGATCAAATTAATTGGCCCAAACAGGCGTTGACGCAGCGCGGAGAAGCCTCTGGCCGACTCCCCGATACGAAAGCTGCCCGATTGGGTATAGCCGCACACGCGACAATTTCGAGAGGGCGACGTCAGCTCGAGCACAGCCAAGAAAGATTGAGGCTTTGCAACAGCGCCCAGAAGCCGTATTATCCGTTTGTTTGCACTGCTTTAGTACCCCTGGCAAGCATTGAAAATTAGGTATTGATTGTGCTATATACAGCTGGTATTAATCAGACCTGATTCAAGCATTCTAGAAAAGGAGAATGGCATTTCGTTTAATAACAGGGCAAATACCAGCAACTACTGGGTACTACTAATCAATCAATGTCCAACTTATGCAGCAGAATGAAATACAGACAATGGACGACAGCATTGTTGAAGCACTACCAAAGATATTGATACTGTAGCATTGCATGATCAAGAATGTGCAACACCAAACACCAAACGTGCCAGCATACCTGGGCAAGAACTCGTACATGTACATGCTAATGTATGTCATGTCCCACTGCCCCGTACGTACGCAATACACCTACAGTAGCACCATCCCAGAAAAAGGCACTACTGTATTACGGGCGGGTGTCGCATCCGCCAAGGCTGTGCCGGCTGCCTTTAGGCGAGCAGGGTCCTGACACTTGACACTGACAACCGCTGTAGGTACGGAATACATGTACTGTAGCCCCCAATCCCGCTCTCTGTATGGAGTACAAGGTGCAAAGCCATCCACTGATCCGTCTTTAACCTCGTAGACAGGCGGGATTCGTGTATGCACGTGTCTCGTAACGCCGCTGCATCTCTCGCGCAAACTGCCATATCTAATGAATTTTATTTATTATATTTATTTATTTATTTTTATTGTTTTCTTGATCCAGTGTGGCTGTACTTTGGACTTGACACTCCATAAACATTGGCCCTTGGCTGCCCCTGAACCGCAGTCATCGCCATGTTAGTTAGTACCTGTAACTGGATATCATCAACAGCAACAAGAAGAAGCAATTATATCGATGAACCCGCGATAACAGAACCCTTTACGGAGCCCAGCACACACAATATCAAACCATCATGGCATTGAAACTACATGTAGTCCTCATCAATCACAATCCACTACCGATACACTATCTCATACCATACTTCCATAACAGACAACAGTAGTCGTGCCTCTCCCAAGACACAAATGCCATGATAAATATCCCCATAATGACCTAATTTCCCCTATGACAATTCCCATCAAAAATAAAATCGTATCAAAGCAAATGATAATTAGCGTTCCAACATTTCCATATATCAAGCCTCATTCTTCAATCCAATAGGATTAGGGTACACCCCCGATTCCTACCAAGCTTCTCCGTATCATTCCTCACCTTCACTCTCATCATGCTTCTTGAAAAGAGCCCGCAGGCGATTCGCTGCCATCTTGCTCCAGTCCACAAGCTCACCGCCCCGAACAAGCAGCCCGTCAGTGAAACTCGTCACGTTCTGGTGCCGATGCAAAGGCGACGAGGCACCCCAGGGGTAACTCGGGTTGGGAGGCAGCGTCTCTACTTGCACCGACTCCGTTGGCACGGGATAGGCGAAGCCGCGCGAACCAGATTCATGGCCCTTTGTTGTAGTCGAAGTCTCAAATGTCGTCGGGAATGGATACGGATACGAGTCTAAAGGGGGCACATCACGTTAGCTTTTCTCTTCGTATTCTCAGCTTTTCTCTCTCTTTGGTCTCACTTACAGCTTCGAGTAGTACTGGTGAATGTTCCATTCCCAACTATAGTGGCGTTTGCCGTGCTGGTTGTGTTGCAGGTAGACGTATATAGCAGAGTGTGGTGGAGTGACGACTCTGGGACCCCGGTTGTTAATGGCACTGCCCAGCAGCGACTCATTGTCGTATTGCCGCTTGGGAATCGATGGCAGGTGGTTATGCTGTCGCTGATGTTGGGGTAAGGATACGCCCATGAGTGAGTACAAGGAGGCGTTGCCGTAGTGCTGTTCAGGTAGAGCGTTGTGATAACTACGCTACCGGTTTGGCTGGACTCGTGCTCAGTCGTCATGGTGGTGTTTATCCAGCGTGTGGCAGTCGTTGGCGGTGCAGGCACAGTCTGGATAATAGTCGTGACAATCTGAGTCTCATTGCTCGTCGCTTGCGTCTTTGTCTCCAATGAAGAGGATGTTTGCGAGATGACGGTACCAGTAAGAGTTGATGATCCTGCTGTTGACAGCGGTAGAGTCTTGGTTATGGTACTCTCGACTCCCGTTGCGTTTGACCCCGAAACAGAAGCAGAAGCTCCCACAGTCAGCGTAGAAACGATTACCGTAACCATCTGTGTCGTTGTTGTGGTGGATACGGCTGAGGCAGTTGAAGATGGAGACACCCGTGTGCTGTTAGTCCAAATGGGTCCGCCGCTGGAGGCTTGTGTCGACAAAGTGCCGACTCCAGAAGAGACTGAAGTCGTTGACCATGGAAGAGCGGATCCAGTTGTCAAAACCAACGATGTTCCGTTTTGCGTGATGGTTATGACTGTAAAATTGCCTTCCTGAGACACTGCTGGGCCAGAGCTGCTTGTGGAGCCACCGGACCCTGTTGTCAACCACGATGTGAAGACGGTGGTTTGGACTGTAGTCTTGCCAGTAACAGTGGTGGGAATGATGACCGGGCTAGCTGTCACGTTAGTCGAACTAGTTGCCGTCCCTGATACCAAAGTTGAAGAGGCTGGTGTGTGGGATGTGTTTGTCCAAGACGAGGACGGCGCGGGCAAAGTCGAACCACTCCATTGGGTAGATGAATTGGATTGCGTCGTGCTGATAGAGCCAGTGCTGAGAGGGATAGAGCTGACCGTCCCGACTGGCGAGCCAGTATCAGACTTGGTGATTGTGATGACGGAGACAGATGGCGAACTACCCGAAGGAGCACCAGTTGTGAGCCATATCGTAGACAAATTGAAAGAGTTGCTGAATGACCACGTCAGGCTTCCAGCACTGGTTGTTGGCTGTGAACTCCACCCAGAAGTAGAATTGGTTGCTGGCAGAGGGCTGATGGTGACTGTGATCACACTAGGCCTTGCTGAACCCGAGCTACTGGGATTCACAACTGTGCCTGATAAAGTCTCAGTGGAATTGCGAGCCGTAGGGAAGGGCGGGCTGCTGGAAGCAGGTGTCTCTGTGGGCACGCCAGTCCATGATAGCCAAGTCGTGTTAACCTGCGTGACAGATGCGCGAGATGTTTCCTGAGTGCCCGATTGGCTAAAGTTCCAGGTGGAGGACACCAAATGGCTTGAGATGATTGATTGCGACACTGTCGGTGCGGTATTCCAGACTGTTGTAGTTGCGACTTGCCCGCCGGATGACAACGTTGTATTGCCAAAGGGCGGCTGGCTCTGGGTTATCGTCTTTGTGGTGGCGTTGAGACTGGTTTGCAAGGCTTCGGTTGAGCTGGCAGAGTAATTACCAGTTGAAGAAACGCCTGTAGTAACAGTAATGATCACAACGGTCCCCGAAGGCTGAGCAGTCACCGTCGAATTGGCGGAGCCCGAGCCTGAGATGGTGGTAGTCAAAGTGCTGAAAATTGTCTGGTCCGCAGAAGTTGTGTTCCCAGGGAGCTGAGACCCTGTAGTGGACACAACATTCGATGAGGTCAAGGTCACATTGGAGATACCGGAACTCGAAGATGATGCAGACGAGCCAGAAGGAGCAGTGCCTGTCAATGTCTGAACAATGGTGGTAAAGTTTAGCGTAAATGGAAGAGTAGATACTGTAAACTGTGGGCTCGATGGTGCCTCCGTCGCAGTCACCGTAGACGTTGTGTTAGTCCATGATGCAGACCTGCCCCATGTCTCTGTTGAAGACGACTGAATCTCGCCAGAAAGTGTCAGCGACGTCTGCCCAGTGCCGGTTGGACGAACCGAGAAAGATGAGGTGCTTCCCACAGGGCCATTCGTCTGGATAGTCGAGATGACGGTAGAGACAACAGTGTTGTTACCAACTTGCGATGTCGACACACTCCCAGGCACAGATGTAGCCGATGCTGCCACAGACGAGTTTAACGAAACCGATGTAGCAGGCAAGATCGTTGTTACGTTGGATTGAACTACCGTGACACCAGTGGTGGTGCTCAGAGTAACTGACGTCTGGTTACCCGTAACCGGCAGAGTAGACGTCCCTGATTGAGCAGTAGATGCCGACGGTGATACGGTGCCTGACAAAGTCAGTGTCAACGACAGTGTAGCTTCGGTAACGCTAGTTGACGGAGATCCTGTACCACTTATACTCGAGGGAGATACGGTCACAGTCGAGTTGGTGAACCGGTAGGTCGAGGTAGCAACTGATGGGCCGCTTGAGGAAGGCCAGCCGCTAATAAGAGAGGACGATGTGTTGGACAAGGCTGTTGACGAGGTGGTACTGGTCGGTGCCTCAGAGATGGTGACTGTGATGACAGTTCCATTCACGACACTTGTGATACCGTGGTCCGATGTTGTAGTACCGGCAGTTAAAGTAACCACAGATGTCAAGGTCAGTGTCCCATTTGAAGGAGTGGCCACCAAAGAGCTAGAGGATGATGAACTCTCTGAAGCAGTTGAAGCAGATGAACCAGTAGAAGAAGTCACATTGGATCCCAATGAGGTTGACTGAGTGGATGACTCAGATGCTGGCTTCGTCACTGTTATTCCAATCGTCGTTATTGTCACGGTTCCATTCTCAGTCAGCTGAGTGGACGATGACCTTCCTGTTGACGTGCTCGATGAAACCGTTGAGGGCAACGGAGAAGTTGTGAAGACGGCTGTGGATTCAGCTGACGAAGAGACAGAGAAGGACGAAGATGTAGAGGATACAGGCCGAACAGTACCAGATTCCTCACCAGTTGAGGACTTGGTCGAATTGGTAAAAGTCCCCGATGAAGTGCTCGAAGCCGACGTCACTTCAGTTGAGGAGAATGAATTACCGGTATGGCTAGATTCAACCGGAACAGTCTGCGCAGTAACGAATGTGGTAGTAGGCAACGACACGGTAATTGTCAGGACCGTTTGGCTAACAGAAGACTCCGTGGTTGATGTCACCTCAGTCTCTGTTGACGAGTGATGCTTGTCCGTGGTGGAAGAAGTCACCGTTCCCGCAAAGGTAGATGATCCATTCTCGGAAGAGACTCTTGTGCTGGTCGAATTGGCCGAGTGACCCGACAGAGTAGTCGAAAAGGTCTCCGTTTTGGTCTTGGTGGTCACATTGGACGCCGTGCCTGAGGAAGACTCAGCAGGAGGAGAGTCTAGCAATCCATTAGCTCAAGAAGAGAACAAAAGGCGAAGCCATACTCACAAACGCCAGATTTAGTCGTAGAGGTAACAGAAGTTGTCGAAGTCTCTTCTCCATATGGAGGAGGAGGATAGTAGCCATAGTCGCTGGGCTCACCATAGTTGGCCGCTCGAGGACCCAAGACGTTGAAATGGCCGGCATCACCATCATGACGATGATCCACGCCTCCAAGCTGAGCCACAGTTGCAGAGATGCAAGCGAGAAGAATCACCACCACTGGCACAAGGCCAGCAGACAAGATGGACGCTCTCATCGCGAGTGGGGACACGGTGGCTATTCATCGTTAGAAACAATAGGCTCTCTGTGACGCGTTCAGTCACCAAAGGCTCACCTTTCCCTTCAATGAATAGACGGGATGGAAACGCCTAATGCAACTTCTCACAAACAATATGATGCAGGAAACGCAGATGCAGAGTGAACTATCGCAGAGTTGCAAAGGAGATAACGAGGTTAATGAATGGAACGAAGTAGTGCTCGAAAAGAAATGATGATTCCTTCGAAATGCAATGTGAAGAAGAAAAAAGGAAGAGTAGAAACAACGCGAAGTGACGCGCCGTAGAAAAGAAAAGAAACAACGCGAACGTTTCCGACTTGGCAGCTGGCAGCCCAGAAGTGACAGAAAAGTGAACGACGTCTTTGAAATAGGAGAAGAGAGAGAGGGTACAGGGCACATCTAACCCGGGACCGGCCAATAAATGGGAAGACACTCGTCTGCCAGCTGCCAGCTGCGAGTCTCCCCTATTCCCTCGAGACATAGTCCGTCAACGAATTGAAGCCGGTCACACATCTTCCCAAGCTGAGAGAGAAAACTGCGCTGAGCCTCTTCTTCCCGGCTACTCCCTCCCGAATCCCATGTCGGTACCGGCTCAGGCTGTGCAATCGCCACGGGTTACAAGAAGCTGTTCCGAGTCCTCTCCGAAATGCTCGCGAGTCCATGTCTCGGTCATACTGGCTCATATGGGAAGCCGGACGTTGTAGCCAGGAGGCAGTAGCATGTTGATGAGCGAGCTGTCGAACAGGGTTCCCTGTCGTGGATACAATACAGCCGCTCAAACTCGCCACGGCTAGGACTCGTGTGCATGATCGGCAACGCGCAGCAAGATCCTGCAGCTGGAGGCAGATGGGGTGCACCGAGATCTGGGGCAACTCTCCATGCACGGTTGCAAACACCGCAGTCCAACCGTCCTTGTGTGACGGTTCGAGGTCAAGGCATCCGTGCCGAAGACACACGGTGAGGAACTAGTTTGTTGACGAAGGGGGCATCTCCCCGTATCCTGGATTCGATATGAAACTTTGAATTGTCGAGAGTAGAGTGGGAGTAAGCGTTTGTCTTGACAGAACCGTCCCGCTTGTCGTTGTTCACTGTCGATGTGGTATATTGAAAGAGAGCATTGAGTATCTGATATAGGATGCCAATGGGTATCAGAGAGCTCATATCCGTTTCCATCATGACTGCCTGAATATGACGATCGAATGATGAATGACAGTAGATCATATCATTTTCATACACAGACTTGGGACATCACTGCTATTTCCAACAGCACAACGCAGCTGACCATCGTACGCAGAGGAGACATCGGATCGTCGATTCCGCGAGTACGCCATCGTAGCACAAGCAACCCATGCTGATAACACTGTTCCCACGTTCGTATTATCGGATATTAGGTGCTCCTCCATCCCCCTTCATTTTGGCCGAACGATGCACCGGGAGCATCCATATCTCGCCAAGATGGGATGTTAGACTCGGTCGTTTGCCTCCCGCCATCTCCCTCGCACAACGCCTTCTCGCATTATGACAGGACGTCTTGTGTCCTTTCACAACAATGAGGACCGTGTCATCGCAACAATGAGTCCGTGTCATCGCAACAATGAGGGTCGTGTCACTCCAAGAGCCTACCTGCAGGTATAGACGAGTGTAACATCCGTAAACAGGTCAGCCGCGGAAGGGAGGCCGGAAGCTCCATTCAATCTCTTTCAATCTGCTTTCCATGCTCCCCCTGTTCAGCTATGCCTTCCGTGTTTCAACTTAATTTAGACCGCGGAGGCTTGGGCTGGTGTCCGCACCGGCTTGACGGGTGCAGACAATCAATGCTTGAGGGAAGTTGAAGAGTAGAGACGAATAAAGCCTCTGCCCAGTAAGACACCATGTTAGCATGCATCAGGATAAGACAGTATGAGACGAGGTGCCTGATTTGCCACAAAGGAGATGCGGCCCTGGCTGAGAATGTTCCTGGGCGATGTTGCTTGTATGAAACTGTCTCACCAAAAACCGAGATCTGGCCGGTTTTGTTCTATGCTAACTACCTATTATTATAATGTAGCGTTTTCGTCATTCTTTGTGAAAACTTGAACAATTTCAGGCTGTTACAGATGCAAAGCATCTCAAGATACTCAGCCCATTCGGGTGTACGTGTGCGCGCGGAAACTCCATAAATAGACGATTCAACCGCGTTTCCAATCTCTCGGTGGTCAAAACCCTAGCCGCGGCTGAACATCCGGTAGCAAACATTGAAATAGCTGTTGCTCGATCGTTCAACCGATGCATCTTGAGCACTCTGTTTGACAAACCCCTAGGCGGCTGGCGATGAATCTAAAGTTCTTTCGCATTCTCGGCTGCCTGCCTGAGATTTGGGGCAGTCTCCTTGACCATGGCGTTATTTTGCGATTCAATATCAGCAGCCCAAAGGGCAGCACCAACTAAATAGGTCAGTATCAGATCAAAGGACTTGCAGTGATGCGTTCATACCGGTGTTTGTGTAGGAGAAGAAGATGGACGCCACCGGGATCATCTCCAGAAGAGTCGCAACGACGCCAAAGCTGTAAGAAAATGGCAATCAGCAGGTGATTTCTGATATGGTTTGCATGATATCAGTGAGATAAAACATACGATGCATAAGCTCCAGTGTGGTTATTGAGCCACTGCGTCCTCTGTGACTCGGACCAGCTCTTGAGTTGAAAATACTTTACACTGTTAGTACAAAGACCTCGTTGGTAGCATCCGGGGTAGTATCATCATACTCGACTGTGTACGACCTTGCCTCTGTGTTTACCTGTTTAAAGCATTAGCAGGTCAATCTCTGTGACTTTGGAATATTGATACACCTACCATGAAGAAAAATAAAAGCGATGGTGCCCACGACGGGGATAAAGTTGAGAGGTAGGTACATGAAATATCGGACCATTGCAGTGAGGCTCATCTTATCAAACCGCTTCTTGAATACCTTGCCTAGTTTCTTCATGGGATCACTACCAGGTTTCACCTCTCGACCTTGTTGGACAACGGCCGTTGCGTTTCTCGAAACCAGTGTTCCGTCAAAGGTATCCATGAGAGCTTCCTGGAGTATCCAAGTGCGGGAAATCATGTGAATGAGGATGGAACTTTCGTTGAGCGTGAGTAAAACTGTAGAATATACAGCCAATGGGCCATTGAAGAGCAAGAGAACTGCAAGCTGTGGTAGGTACGTAAAGGTAAACATGGCAGCAATGACAGAGATTGTGAGCGTGCCATAAGGGATGATTCGGTCAATCAGCGGCTGCCATAAGCTCCGGTGAGCGAGGAAGTAGAAGATGCCCTGTCAAATCCATAGTTAGGGTCGACTCAGTCGCTACTAAAGCTGGTGGTGATGTGATGTGCACCTTGATGGGATAGAGATATGCCTGGCTCTGGACGGCGTCAGAGGCCATGACCCTCGCTTTCCCGTAGTCTTCCTTGCTAATGGCCGTCAGTTTCTCAGTGCCCATGGTGATTGAGTGATTTGCGAGTGCTCAACACGCTTACAGAGCATTCTCGGCCCTCCTGCTGATGGAATCGACGACGCGATTGCGCGGCTTCTCTTCTCGGTGCGGTGATTCAGCCATTGAGCCGCCACCGGTGCTCGCCTCGTGCTGTGGAGAAAGACAGAAACTTGAATGAAGCTGAAGACTGGAGACGCAAATGGAATGTTGGATAAGCTTATAGTCTATGGCGTTGCAGTTGGTTCGAGATGCTCTTTGATAGCTTCAAAAGTCGTGACGCGGAGAGCTTGAGCTTTTTGGCTGAAGGCGATGACAGGCGAAATGGTGTCGTCATTGGCATGTGGTGTGGGGCGAGCTTCTAAGCTCTGAAGTTACTTGCAACTTGTATCACCGCCAGCTTTCACCACCAAAAACGGACAGACATGTTGGAGCATTAACATTTGATCTCGATCCACCATTTGCACCTTGAATTCCCAATAATTAACCACTTGAATGAATTTATTGACTTTACCAATCAGGCAACTGAATGGGAATGGAATCCAGAGGATGCCTCCGAGGTGCCGCCTAGCAGGATCTAGCCGCATCGTGCTAAACCGACCCTCCACCTGATATCTCCAGGGTAAGAATAAGGAACAGCCGCCCCAGCTCGATCATCATACATTTCACATTCCACAGGGAGACGGCAGTTACTCCAGATCTAAAGACCCAAGATCCAACCAAGATTGCAGTCGCCATGGCGCTCAAGTACATACCAAATGACCTCCCGCTACAGTCGCTAAATCATGACCCTCTGCAGCTAATGAAGTCGTCCCTGGAGCACATTCTCAAGACGACTCCTCCCCTGCCCGCTTACCCTGATCCGGCGCAACTTGGTGGCTTCATACGAGGCCCAACCAGCATTGCCTTTCTCTTCTTCCGACTCGCCACACTCTACCCTGATGTCCAAGTTGCAGATCACACCCTCTTGCACTGGGCGGAGCAATACCTCAGCGCTGACCGTGGAGAGCTTGCACTCACCACCAGAGTCGGGATAAGCTGCGAGAAGCTGGCCTACGAAGCACTCAAAGCCTGTATCAGCAAAGACATCAATCATGTCAAGGATTTCTTGTCCAACATGCCCATCATCGTCGGACCTTATGCAGATTCAGAAAAGGATCCATTCGAGTCGGAAATATGGCAGGGAAGAGCTGGCACGCTCTACTTCTCAAGGCTGATACGCCACCACGTCCCAGACAGCGCCGCTCTTCTCGAGGATCCAATCGCTCAGGTCTCCCAAAAGATTCTAGCAGACAGCTTGGACCAAGATGAAGGGGGGTGGACTTTCCACAAGCACAAGTACATCGGTGCTGGTCACGGCGATATAGGAATCATTACGCAGCTAGTTCTCACCACTCCTGCTCTTGCGCCAAAGCTTGCCCCCAAGCTTCGAGCTTTGCTAAATCTGCAAAAAGATGGAAACTGGCCTATCGCCAAGGAGATTGACGAAACCCGCCACCCAAGCCTCATGCAGTGGTGTCATGGAGCCCCTGGCTTTATCTTCTCTCTTCGTGCTATCCGGCCACACTTTCCCGAGCTTCATGATGAAATCGATGCCGCAATAAGCAAGGGACAAGAAGCCATTTGGGAGCTGGGATTGCTCAGAAAGGAGCCGAGTCTCTGTCACGGCATTCTTGGAAACGCTCTGTAAGATGGTCCACTCGTTTTCTCTCGCGTAATCGTATTAACATTCCGCAGTAACCTACCTCGTGGGCCACGTAGAGAACACTTTCTCTCTCTTGCGACAGTCGAGGCCATGGACAAGGCCAAGAGTGCTGATCCCGAATTGTTCTTGCCTGCTGATTATGGATACGATATGTCGCTGTTCTTCAAGTATCACTCTGGTGCAGCTTGGACCTGGGCTGTTTGTGAGTGGGAGAATCCGCCAATGCCTGTGTACACAGATGTTTGATGATTGGAAAGAAGTCAAGTTTGTTGTTGGATGTGTTAATCGATACTGTACATGGGCCTGCTTGAGTATTCGGGTTCGCATCAAGGGGCTGAGGCCGCCGGGTGATAGTCTAATGGAAGCGATGGCGTATAAAGCGCCGATATGAATCATATAACACAGTTTGAATTCATTATTTATATCTTTTCCACCAACATGTTTCAAGATTTGGTTAAGTCATCGGGTCATGAGGCTGAATTGTTTGCTGGCTGTGGATCTGTATATGGAGGTGGAATGAGAACAAATCTGCATCCTTGGACGAGAATGGGCATGCGGCCGGTTTTATTCTCAGCCACATAATTGCCCAACTCCCTCGACTTTTACATGAATCTGGCTACTTTATACATACATGTGATATTCCCCTCAAAGGTTATTGCAGTGTTACTTTCCCCCACATATGAGGCGCAGGTTATGTGGCTATGTTGGAGTTTATCTAGTCAAATAAGAGCTTCATGCAGATATTTTAAAGTGTTCTAGACCGCTTTTGTATGGAATGAGTGTATAAAGATATTACTGGTATTGATGGCTCAATAGCATGTGATACGTTTACTGACGAATCCTCGACGTACCTGGCTAACAACCCCAAAATAATAGAGTTGCCAATATTCGTTCTGCCTCTGGATTTCAGCCACATTAGAAGGCGAGACTCATGAGAATACACGTAACTTAACTTACACGACTTATAGGGCCGGAAACTTGTACGGCGAATAGGAAAAAAGACACAAATCATCTCATCAATCCCCCAATCCATCAAGATCGCCATAGTAAAAGTAATTGCCGAGGCTAGTTCGTGATTTACAACGAGTGCCATACATTAGGGCCTTGGAAGCAATCCATATAATAAAGATACGCGGAATTTTCCGCAACTAGAGTCATGTAATGACTTCATATTACATAGGTAGATAACGGTTGCCCCGAACTGAGTGCGAAGGCGCATTGCTAGTTCTTGGGAGCGTTTGCAACATGACACGGGCACCGGCAATCGGCAATGAAACCAAGCTGAAGTCATAGAAAAATAATTAAATCGATAAATAGATAGATAAATGAATAAAATCATCGATATAGTGGACCACAGATTCCAAGCCATGGCTTCTGGATTCCGATTCCCATGCACACGCCCAGCAAGCATGTGGAACACGATGATGTATACATCGAATGTTTTAGTTCAGGGTCTCGAACACAAGCCATGGCGCCAACCGAGGCTCATGCATACCCGATTCCAATCTCCGGGCGAAAAAAGAATACACCAAAGAATTCATCGATACACGGAGCCTGCATGAGGTTACATGTACGTCAAACCGCATCTACATAAAAAAATTCCAAAGCCCTGGGCGTTTAGAAGGTGTGAACCCCCATGTGGATACCGAACAAAGACGGCGAACCTCCGGCCGGCAATGAGGGCCCCGGTCTCGGAGATGCACATCGGTTAAGAGTAGTTTTTTGAGATGGGGGATGTGCGTTAGATACGGAGATATTTCGTCTTCTTTTCTTTCCATTCCTGCAAGCTTCTTTTTGCATTGAACGTAGACGGAACGGCGCCGGCAATGTCGTCATGGCTCGAGATTGGATAAAAAACACAGTCAGAAATTACAAGACCTAACTTTAGTCGCAAGCCCCTAGACTAAGAATGACATCGGCACTTGAGAAACGGGCCAGGAGTGAAGTTGCATCAGACCCACCCCGGATTTGTCAAAAGGACGGGCGGCAAGGCTGTCGGCTGAAGGACGCCGGTCGTCAAACTCGGCAAGATTCAGCGAGGGACTCTGGAAGACGGCACAGCGTGTGTACTCGAACCGGGCAAAGCAAAAAGCAAGCCAGGAGAAGGGGAGAGAGAGAGCATGCAGATAGATGGCTATCGGTGCCGGAGCGGCATACTTCACTCGTACGAGCACGGCACAGATACGAGGGGAATCGGAGTTAGGAGTTGAGACTATCTATTTCTTTCATGCAGGAGTTGGGAGTTTCACCCAGAAAAGAGCGCAAAAAACAAGGCCAACCGAACGATTGCTTCTCCTGAAGCGAGATCCCTTTCTCCCCCAAAGCCGCGGGATATGACTCTAAGCACCACAAGCTCAACTCCTAAGGAGGCACAAGACATCAATGGGAGGATATGAGCATAACGAGAATGGGCCACACAAAAAGTCACGCGAGGGTTCCAGCTTGCCAGCCATCGTTTCCGCGGAGACTCCGACTCCCCGAGGGCCAATTGACCAGTCAGCACGTCTCCTCGGCACGGTGGAGCACGAAACCGAACAAGCACAAGGCCAGAGAAGAACAAATCGGGGCCCTGTCGGGATGGTGGAGTAAAATAAGCCATGAAATGTCGCGCCACCTCGAACGACCTTGCGCTCCCGCTTTTCCATGCGCTTGTGCCATGTACCTGTGAGTAAGCCACACCCTTCGCGTCCTGTGTGTAAGTGTCGAACACCGCCCAACGGAGCGCTTCTTGAAGCCGTGCCGGAGAACGGGCAGAAGGGGGAACGGACCAGGGGGGGTACCCAAGGACGAGAGAGCCACGATCGACGATCAATCATGATGAAGGGGGCCTGGACACAAAGGGGGGGTGGGAGGGGGTGTGCATTCAATGGGCAGGGCAAAAAGAAAAAAGAAAAAAAAAGAAAAAAAGTGACAGCTGGGAACGCTCAATTGGTTTATTTCGTCCCAAATGAAACCAAACCTTATGTCCCTAGTGAACGGATATAACACCGAATAACATCACCAAAGCCGTACGAGTATGGAGTTTTGTCTTCTTCGTGGCGGGCTGGAAAGAGGCTAGAACCCCCGAGAACAACCAGGTCGTGACCCAGCCTTGTCTGCATTTTACATGCACCGGCTCAACCCTTCCGTATAGAGATCCCTTGTCCTTCTTGCTTTGTAAAATCAGAAGACGAGAAAACTCGGGGTAAATCGACCCCCAGGCAAATCGCATCATGGGAATCGGATTTACAAGCACTCATCTCACATCCCATCTCAATCCCCGAAACAATTCGGACGAATCGTGATGCAGCCCACTGCTCCCAAACAGAACAAACCTGCAAACCCGGAAGATTCCCTAGCCTCGTCATCTAGAACTTCCCCAGAGGTCATGAGAATCATCGAAAAGCTCAATCAAGATGTAAGGCAAAAGCATGACCATGGGATTAATAACGCGAGGTCCGACTCGGGCTCGGTGACGTAGTCCGGACAAGGCCTGCGTTGCTCTCTTTAGGCCTAGCACCGGAGCTTCCTGACCCCTTGATTCTGTACTCCGTACTGTGAGCTCTCTTCTCTTTTTGCGGGCTCAGCTCCGTCTGCATTGCAATTCGTCCGCACCGCACAAACAACGCAAAGAAAGAAAGGTCTCCATAAATACAATACCAACACCAGTTTGGCAATTCTCCTCGGTAAGGGTCTTGTGGTCTCCAGCCGCAGGGTCGGCGACCGATCTCCCGTTTCCCCCGCGGCGAGGCTACGTGAAAAGAGCGAGAAAACAGGGACCCCCTTTTTAGCTTCATGCTGGATGAAGTGCAAACTAGATTGAGTTCTTTTTTTCTTTTCTATTAGCTATATTGTATATGTTAGTTTGAAGATGTATCATATTTTTTCGATTTTATCGTTAAATTCATTAACCATCTCCTTCTGCATCCATCCAGAGACACCCCCCCTCCCCTCTCCCCTTGAGGCTCACTGTATAATCCGTATACACCTTGTAAATATCGCACGCTAGCCTCGCGGTTATCGTTTCCATTGTTTTGTCGACACCCCGCGGAACTTGTAAGTCCTCGGCGCCGGCACACGACAAAAAAAATCGACGAAACAGCGACTCCGTTTCCACGCGTAAAACAGAAAAGCTACATTGACAAGCATAACCCACTCGTCTCAATGCGCTTGCTCAATGCTACCTGCAACTCGGCATTACAGCTCGGGGGTTTTTATTACTACAAAGTTGCAGCGCAGAATTTCGCGCATCGTAAAGCAAGCAATGCCCGCTTTTTTCTCTCTCGTCTCGCCTTGGAAATTAATCAATCAACATCTCACACGCCTTCGACGAAAAATGCCCTTTTCAGATTTTAGACGAATCCCAAGGTTTGTTTTTTGCCTGAGCAATGATATCATGCCGTTCTGGTCTGGAAGTCGGAGCGGCAAAAGCGGCTCAAGCGGACCGGAAGCAGTTTTGTAAGAGACTTCTTTCCATACAAGGAAATTTCAAGTGCCCCCTTCGGTACTCCATTTCTTTTTCTCAACTCAAAACCTACGAAGAAATGTCTAGCTTGGGCCGAGCTGGTCCCGACAAGCGTCCGCTGTGGGGAATGCTTCTAGAAGGACGGATGGAAACTCTGTTTTTCTGAATGAGGGTTGCGTTCTTTTCGCCTCCTGCAGGGCTGCCCCCCCATGGACATGGACCGTGGAAATCGGAGAACCCACCCGGCAAGGATCAGGATCATGGGACTCGTCGAAGGGGCAGGTTTTCTAGTGCCGACGCGATGCGATTTGAGGGTGATTCCACAGCTAGGCTGCAAGCAGTTTGTGTGCTAGGCCAGCGTGAAGAGAGCCCAAAGAGCGTGAATCTCGATTGGTAATCACCTTTGGGAGGTTCACATAAACAACGTTTTCTGTGGGGACTCTGGTTTAATAAACATCATCTCAGCCTCGGGACGCAGCACTCAGGACGTCTTTATTCAGCATTACAGCAGCCTTGAGGATTGATTAGCATTAGCCTTGGCTCGGCTTGCGGCATATTCCGCGGTCCCCATCATTAACTGAATCGTTTAGTCTGCAAGAGAAGAAGAAAAGAAAAATGGAAGAACTTTGGCCAGCACCATTTCGACGAATCACTTGATACGCAATTGGGTCGATGGAGAAGGGGGCACAAGACCCGGAAAAAAAAGAAAAAAAGGAATCACGGGAATAAGAAAAAGAAAGTTGGCAAGTTTCCAGAGTCTCCATTCTGTGCAACGCGAGTCATCACGCTGCAGGCTAGAAAACGCTCCTGAATCCATTTCGTCGGATTCCATTGTAGTGAGAGCGATGGGGACCCGCCTGGTTAATCGCGATAATAATTCTCATTCCCGGAATCGAAGTGCCTGGAGGGGGGCGTGTGCGATCAAGGTCAAGGCTCAAGGGACCCAGTAGCAAGTAACTGTACTTGGGAACATGAACCTTTATTTTTTGCTTACATGGTTATTATTATACCTCGTCCTACAAGTGCACAAAAAAGTAATACGTAAAGCTCCGTGGGATTTTATTCATCAGTTCGAAATTCCGCAGTCCGAGAAACTTGTGTAATTTTCGCAATGCCGAGGGGTGAGTGAGTGAGGGTGAGGTAAGCGGCCCATTCTCGCTGCCGAAACGTGCAATTACACAAAAGGACGCCCGGGAAATGTCAAGGCCACGAGACGGCGTATCGGGGCTTCGAAGGGGGCTTTTTTTCTGCTTCTCGGCCCCGGCTATCCAACCCGATAAGCTACTCGTACTTGGACTTTGTGCCCAGCCAATTTATCCAAAGAATCAGGGGTTCTCGCAACAACGGGAGCTGCATGACGGCATTCATAGGCTAACGAAGGGCCATAGGCTACCGGAGACATTGCCAGCAAATAGATGGTCGTCTGTACAGGGCCAGATGACTCTGGAGAAAGGCCCGTTTCCCGTTAAGATGGCCGAGCCCCAGGGAGAGAGTCTGGACGATTCCGCGCCTTTTGCTATTCCCGCCTCCTAGGAGATTTGCGATTATTACTACACCAAATGTATTACATTAACGACCATTGCACGTTATTGGAAAGTGCTCAAATAAAAAGGGAGGGTGTACGGGCTGCTCATTGGCCGCAAAAGTGCGCACATTTGCGGACTTCCACCCAGCGTTTGCGCACGTATTCCCGCTGCAATGTGATGAGAATTTGAATGAATGCAACGCCCGTCCAGGTGCTCCCTAATTGGTGAAAATGGGCCATAAGCTCAGCACGAATCAGAACCTTGGCCTGCGCCATCGCAAGTTCCAGCTCGAAAGAGTCTCATTAGCATCCCCGCATTCTTTGTTTTTTTGAGTTGCGGACAGGCGCCATGCCATGATAGTGTATGAGCTGAGATGAGACACACACCCACCATACCACGCTTCAATCAACGAAAGAGAGAGCGATCGACCTTTTGGCGCAGACATGTGCCGAACATGTTTTCTCCCGTGCCTGTAAGCAACGACACCGAAAACAGGGTTCTGGAATCCAGCAAATCTTAAAAATTGGTTGTGGCTGGAAAGCCTCCATACATACAGCTTTTGCCACAACGCAACGCTGCCGCTGTGGGTATGAGAGTTTGAGGTTTATGCTTCATTCTCCAACTTGCAGGCCAGCCCCCCCTCATTTTGCATGCCAAAACACCCAACTTTTTCATGTCGTATTGGCAGCCAAAGTGGGTGAAAGGTTGTTAGGGCTGGAGCTGGACACGTGCCCTGCGAAAAACTCTCTCGCGACGTGTGAAGTGTGTCAAAAAACTTCGCTCTGTTTTGTTCGAGAGCGAACCCGAGGTAAGGTATCTATCAATGACATCAGAGTCCATAAGTGTTTACTTTTGACGGTTGGCAGCTCGGTAGATAAGCACGGTGTAGTTCTATTACTGCGCTTGTGTTTAATCGATGAAATACGGAGTACTAATTCTGATTACCGGTATATCCTGGGCAAAACGAAAAAATAAAATAAAATGCAAATAAATAAAATTCGTAAAATGAATCGCCGTCCGTTCTGGGAACGTCAAGTTTGGTAAGCGGAGGCCGAAATGAGTCACCAGGACAACGGTAGCAACAGTGCAGTATGTAATTCTTGATACATACAATTCAAGGTCCAAAAAGCAAGGGCAGGGCATAGCGTCACCTCGTCTTTCAGCCGGCTTCTTTCCGTGAGCCCTACGAACGGACAAGGACCGCTCATACAGGAAAGGTGGGCGGTAAAAGCGGTCCGCACGCTTCAACGAAACGAAAGAGTTGATTTGAGGCTTTTGGTTCTTGGAGGGTGGGAAGGGGGGAGAATTGCCGGCTGCAAGATATCCGATCGGGCTCGGCTATAATGGGGTTCCGGGCCAAGTTCCACGGCACAGTAACTAAGGCGGTGCTGCCAGATGCTCCAGCGGAATTGGGAAGAAAAGGGCGCGGAAAGATTGCTTCCTTTGGCAGTTCTTTAGGTCTTTGCGCCTTGTTTCATTGTAGGACGGGCATGCCAGCAGTGTGTGATTGATCCTCTTCACTGCTGTGATTCCGGATGTGTCTGTGCTCTTATTTGACGTCGCAAGGAGACGGAATTGCTATCGAGTTGCATCAAGGCCGAAGGATCAGAGGAGACGCTCCTACGCTCCGTGCTCCGTCAATTGACACCCCCCAAAGTTAGGGACTCCCTGTCAACTAAAAAAGACATTTCTGCTAGCAAAATCTAGGCACCCAGGGCCCGGATATTGGACCTTCTCTTCGTCCGTGGACTGGCTGGCGTCGGGAATGGTAGCGAGTGCGAGCTGTTATCTGTGCCAACAGTGTGGCCAGCAAAGTGCCTTGCATGCACCACCAAGCTTCACCGGGTTTATCCCGTTTTATGCCACACACACAACGCACACACACACACATCATGCAGAGGCTTATGCAGAAAGGGATCGAGGAGACGTGATTCACCTGATGGCGCCACGGGAATCGGAATTAACAACCACAACGCAACTAGCCCGCGCTACCAGTAGCTAGCGACGAGAGCCTCAAGAAAATACGCCTGTTGTGCGCGATGTATCTGCCGACATGCAGAAGCGTTTTTCGACCTGTTGTTTGCGGATGGATTCTCCAGCCGCTAGACGACGAATGCCTAGAAGCTATGGATGCAGGGGCTCCGCAGACAAAGAGAGACGACCCTATTGAAGCTTTTTGCTCAAGTTTGAGTCAAGCAAAACCAAAATTCTTGGTAACCTTCGGCGTCAGCGACGAGTCCATTGTCGACATTTACGTCACGAGCGCAGCCCTCTTGCTCCAGCCAGCGACGAGTTGAATTCAATGGCTGGTTCGTGTTACGATTAGACTTATCTTGGATCATGACAAGTAAGAAGTGAGTTGAGCTGAGTTCAGGTCCGCGAGTGTGAGCCGTGGTACAGTACAGTCAAAGGTCAATCAGGTCTCCATACCATCAAACCTGTTAGCGCGGGTGGTCACTTTGCCAGCCCGATGCCGTAGCGGCTACCTCTGCGATACCCGGGCTGAAACGCTGCCCCCCAGCGCCGCCCCAAGTCTCGCCGCCGGTCCCTGCGACTTGCTCCCACCGCTCGGGCAACTCCAGCGCCACCGACGGCCGAAAGCAAAAAAAAAAGCAACCAGGGAAAAAGAGGGTCTCTGCGAGCCGTCAGTTTGGTTTTGCTGCTTCTGGGAGCCCCGCTGGGCGGCCGGGCGAAAATAAGAGAAGCTCGAAAAAGAGAAGAGAGAGAGGCGGGGGTGGCTACGTGTAGCTGGGCACAGAAAGTCTCTTGGGGGATTTTGACATCAGCTTATTCTCATTGTCGAGACGAAGGAAGCGGGCACTGCATGCTAAAGGATTTTGGATCAGAAATTTGGATTTCGACGCATCACATCTGCCCAGTGCCAGTGAGAAGGCGGATGGGGCACAAGGCGCTAATCAGTGCTGGCGTTCCCTGTGGCATGGCTTGCTGGCATCGAATTCGCTGTCATCGATGGCAGCTGTTTCGCCCATTTGCCCAGGTACTAGCGATACTACTTGGAACTGTATATTCGCTTTCGCGCGCGGCACAAATATTGACATTCTGATCCATCGGGAGCACGCCAGGCGCTGTAGCGCGCGCTCGCCAAACCAGGGGTGGTCCATATTACACGATCCTTTACTGTACATGTAGTATTGATACGACCTCTATTTAGAGTGTGTACTGTACAGACTCGATCTAACCCGCCGTCGTATCGCCAGCGTATCTCGCAATTTCTTGTCCACAAATCCAAATCCCCTTCTCCTCACCTGTTGATCTGCGGGCAACTCCCACTCGCTTGGCGTGTTCCGTGCAGGCCTTGGCAGCTTCCATTTCCCGGCCAAAGGTGGGAGAAAGGGCAAATATAGCAACATGACAGCAAAAAACTGCCGGCGATGGGGACCTTTTACTGTGTCGGGCAAAAAGACTGCCAGGTGGGATTGACGCAAAAAGGTGCCGCCTCTGATAGGGCTTAGACACGGCGCCTCCAATCAGAGCTTGCAGATTTCAATGCTACCCGCACCGCTGTAGAATAGAAACGAAAGAGCTTTTACTGGGGCATCGAAGCGATCGCCGTAAAGGCAATTGCTCCCTTTGGCGAACAATTAATCAGCACCAGACCGATTTTTTCTTGTGCTTCGCTTCGCAGATTGTCTTGTCATGGCATCTTTGCCCGAGCCGCGAGCCTTTTCAACGGGGCCCCCCATCAAGGTAACATGTTGAGGAATAAATAAATGCTATTGGGGAAATGGTTATTAATTGCCGTTTCGAGAGAACGGTGGGGGGAGGGGGAGGGGTGAAGCTTCGAATTGCTGTTGTTTTGTATATTCAGCAGACGACAGCCTTCCGATGATGCTTTGTAACTAAAACACGTTCTCTCTCTCAGAACGTACCCAAGAGCTATGACGAGATATGAAGTAGAAGAGGCAGGGCTTTTGGCTCAAGGCGTATCAACTGACTGGAAGGTGCCGACTATTTCGAGGATGCGGCTTCTTCCATCGACGGCTTCTACCTCTTAGTTTACTCCCGCTTACCATTCAATATAGACGCCAGTCGGGCCTCATCACCCAAGCCAACGCGGTAATCCTTCCGGGGCAGCCTGATGTGGAAATTGGCAACTGGGCGAGAGAACTCGCTTGTAAGGCTAAACGCCCAGTTCGGCAATGAGCCGAAGGTTTGACAATCTGTTGCGCCTTGTCGTGATGCCATGCCATGTGTTTTGTGATCACCACGTCGCACTGACAAATTACCAATTCACTCTGGTCCAAAGGGGAAATGAATGAACCACCCCCTCCAAAGCCAAGAAGACCCAGCGGCAATCATCAGGCATGCTTGTATCCATCCTTACGGGTACTACTCGCACACACTACTCTGCACTCTACACATGCTACAAGCGGTAATATCTGAGCCTCCTGCTCTTGTTAGGTAGGCTGCCTGATGACTCCCACAGAAAAGCACAGGCAGTCAGTCAGTCAGTCGTAGGTACAGTACATTCGCACACACACACGCACACAACACATCCTTCAATTTCGCGGAGGTGATGATTGCCCAGCGTCATGACGGAACTTCGCCCGTTCATGTCCGCCCGCGTCGGCGCGGACTTTGGAATGGGCAAATCGCCTAGCTCAGCGCCCAGAAAAGAGGATAACGGGATTGAAACCAAAAACCCTTGCCCAGCGCTTTTTCGTGTAGCGCCTTGCTGGCTGGCTCTGGCTGGCTGGGCTGGGCTTAAGTGCTATGGGATGCTTGCTAGCAAGCGCAGACGCTTGACTGGGCTGCGTTTACGAATTACGAAGCATGGATTTTTGCTTAGGCTTTTGCCCAAGATGACTGTTGCTCGATAATGTTGACGGCAGTTGTGTGTAATCATACCTTGGGATTTCGCTTCTGCCATCACCATCACCATAACCATCAACCATCACGCCGATCATCCATCCATCGTTATGCTTTGGACTTGAGCGTTCACTTTCGTCATCTGGCCGTGACCGGACCTGTCATCTTCCAGGACCAAAGGAACAAGTCAAAAACGTGCTGCAAGGCCATTGCCGACAAAGACCGCGGCAACCAAGACACAAGCACAGAAAAAAAACAATCGGGTCGCGCAGCCCGTCCTCGCTTTTGATGCCATGATTGTGTCATCTTCGTCGACGATACCTGCAGTCTCGCCCGGCCAAGCGTTGGCGCGCCTGTAACATGTACCTGCAACTGCACATATGCTTCGACTAAGCCCACGCCTTTTGCGGTAGCGCAAAGGACGCCCTGGGACCTTGCCTGTGGGAAAAAGAGTGCTATTCCCGTTAAAGCTCATAAATGCCTTGAATAGGTTTAGGTATTACTCGCCCCCTTGCGGCTTAGTGGCCGTCCGTCTACTCTCGCGCCCTCGGACATAATGGCGTTGCCGAGTCCTAACGACACCCCCCGAGGCCCTGTTTCGATCCGCAGCCGGAAATACATGTGCATGTACATGGTGACTTTGGAAGCCCATCCCACAGGAGTGCGCCATGATCAAAAGCTACCGTTTGGCTTTTTCACAACGAACGTTAGTTTGATCTTGGCTCATAAAGCCTCCGAGGGCCATGATGCTCATCAGCTTGCTTCTCAGTCAGCTCACAGGCCAGATTAACCCACTGTAAGCCCCACCGGTGCCCATTATTCAGCACCACCGTCCATCTCCATCGAGACAACCTGCTACACCACCCTATCTGGTATTTATATAATCTCTCGGGTCCCGTTGCGCTGGGTCGGGACCTCACCTCCTTCTCTTATTCACTCTTCCGATATTATTCATCTTCATCTTGACCAAGAAAAGGGACCTGGTCAAAGCAAAGCATAAGCTGTCTGGACCTTGGGGTTAATTCACATCATCACACAAACCATCCATCCACATTGAACGGTTATATATACCTTATCTATACATATTCGTATAGCCAACCCCATCAAGAGTAAACAGTCTCTGTGGGATAGCTTCATTTTCACATTCACACATTCACAATGGTTGCCCATAGCCTGCCCTCTCCTCCTGCGGAGGATAACAAATCATCCACTTCCACATCACCTTCCACACTATCAAGAAAAGCCAGTGGCTCAAGTACAAAGGCTATCAAGGCCAACCACCGAACGTCTAAGCGTGCCGGATCCAATGCGGCTTCTCTGCACCACCACGAGCAAGTTACACACGGCATGGATGGAAGACATAAGCGCGTCTGGAAGGCCTGTGAGAGATGTCGAATGAAGAAGACAAAGGTACGCCCTACAACGAGACTCTAGGAAGTAGCTTCTTTTGCTGACTTACCAATAGTGCGACGGTGAATTCCCTTGTAAGAGATGTAAGGATGACGGCCTTGTCTGCACGGCTGGCGTTCGCAAGAAGATGGAGTACAAGCAGTTGCCTCGAGGGTAAGCTCTTCCGAAATTCATTCCCAGGTTGCCTTTTGACTAACACGGGTGTCACGCACAGATACGCAGAGGTTCTCGAAAACACCCAGTTTGCCCTCATCTCCACCGTCCACAAGCTTTACCAGATGGTCAGGACCAACCAGCAGTGGGACCTTGGCGAGCCCGAGCTCAACGACCGTGGCCAGCCCGTGATCCACAACATTGCCCAGAAGCTGGGCTGCATCCGACCCAACAGCGACATCGACCTGCCCGTCCACTCCGTCTTCCCCGAGAACGAGCGTGACCTGAAGGAGCTGGCCCAGCAGCTGCACGACCACCACAACAGCACCGATGCGCAGAACAAGGACCGCGACGTCGAGATGGAGCGCGAGTCTCCCATGCCTTATAGACGCACCGACCGCGCCTCCTCCTCGGAGCTGGACCACTCCGATATCGAGATCGACTACCGACGAGCCGCCTTTGGCAGCCACAACCACCCGGTCACCATGTCGCCTCAAAGCTACGCGGGCAGCACCGAATTCGAGTTTAGCCAGTCCGGCCAGCCAGACCTCGACGCCACCGCTTCGCTCTTCGCCTCGCAGTCCCCCTCGATGAACGTGTTCCCCGACTGGGCCATGAAGACGTCCAACGACATGGCGGCGATGCAGTTCTTCCAGCAGAGCGCGATGCAGGACCTCGGCGGCATGGGACCTACCTTGATGGAGGGCGGCTACGAGACGATCAAGCCTCAGATTCTTTCAAATTCCAATCACGGCGTCATGATGGGCATCAACGACCCGACTTTGTATAACGGCTACGATATCGACCTGGTCCCGATATAAGATGGACCAACAGGAACCAAAGCAACAAAAGAAGAAAATACAAAAACAATTCGGACTTAATGCTCATGGATGGAGAGAGGCAAACTGTGTTTGACCGGACCGGTGTAATAGTCATACCGGGATGTAAGAGGAGGGGTCGTCTGGTTGCGACTTTGATTCATCATGAGCCATCCATGGCCATGCGACACATTTCGATTCTCGGCATTCTTTCTTTTTCTCACATTTTCACTCTTCATTCCTTCTCTTCTTCTTTTTACCTTCTCTCTACATTCATGGGTGGTTCAATCAATCATCACTTTGGGATTAATGGGCGTTACGGGACACACTACAAGCGCGGTGCACTGATAGACTTTTGCTTTTTGTTATTTTACCATCATTTGTTCATTTCTGTATATGTGGTACATATTCTGGAAAGGGGCGGTGGGGTGGACCTTGGGTCGGGGATCAATTGATAATGGGAGCGTGACGAAGTTACGGAAACGGAACCGAAGCAAGCAAACAGAGCTTTTGAAATAGAATGATGGCAACACCAATGCCACGCTTGAAGTAATTCACAAAAGTTGGCTACCTCTACTTGATTGAATTTGATTTGACATCTCGGTGAATGTGACCTAATTCCAATAAAAATACCATTCTCCAGTCGTATCCAACTAGCACATTTGATTCCATCCTAGGTTGGTCATCATCACCGTCTCAAACGCAAAGCGGCCATAGGGCTTACACGCGAGATGCAACAGCTTCATTAGCCCCCCCCCCCCAGCCATTGCTGAGATGTCGGGACCAACTAGCTAGCCCCCCCCTTCTTCTTCGATCCAATCCTACCTACCATTCGAACTCATCTCACACAAGGCCCCAAATCGCCGACACGTCATGGTATCCCATCCCTCCCAACCCCTGCCGATTGCATCGCCAGAGACGTGCGTATAACATGTAGCCAAGGAAAAAGCCAAGCCCCCCCTCAGCCACTATGCCGTCGTCGTCAAATCCAATCTACTGCAATACGCCCGTGATTTTTCTTGGAAACGCTTTTCTCGGTTTCGTTCTCGTACAACGCACGGATGACTTCCTACATGCATTAGGCTGGGGTCGTTTATGTTTATTTTTAATTACATTGGCTGAACACGATACGCGTTTACATATCTTATGGATATTATTTTCCCTATTTTATTTCATTTTGTTTTATTTTTTATTTTATTTTTGAAAGCGGACCTCATTGGGTGTTTCCTTTCGACCAGAATACCAGACGGGCGCTCCCTTGTCCAGTTTGCTCGCATCATCAGCCGCTTTAGGGAAATGGTATCGGAGTTTGTCAACACATATTGGCAGGGTTTGTCATCCATGGAGCAAGGACAAGGACTGGACACAAGAGCAACAAGAAAAAAGGAAAGGGTTTTATCCCACCCCCTCCCGCTCCTCTACAAGTGACTCTACTCCAGCTAGCATCGACACACGCCCTGCATCTAGAGTCATTCGAGACATTTCTGTACATGAATTACGTGTATAATCATGGCACCGGGGGGAATTAACAAAAAAGAAAGAGGAGCACGGAGTATGCACGGCACCGCAAAGTCTAGGCTACTATCCCCGTCCGTCCGTTATACCCATTTCAACTCCGGAGAGCCACGATGTGACCCATCGGAGATAAAAAAGCAATGAAAAATTAAAAAATTATTAACCAACGAAGCTCCAGAAATCTCCATGGAAGCAAGCAGTTAGGAGGACGGAGAGAAGAGGGGCCCGCGGCGGCGGACGGCTTTGTCAAGTGATTCATATGCGCTGACAAACTATTTACCAGCGTTCGGTCACGGAGTAAGGAAATATTTCGATATGGAGCCCCTCTTCCCCCCGAATCGGAAATATTTCCACGATGCAGACTGGCTTGCTGCGTGTTCCTGTGGGGTCTGGTGTTTCTTCTCTTTTCTTCTTGGTGAATTGGAGATTTATTGGGGTGTTTTTACTGGAGATGAAGGTTCCTGGTTGACAGCTTTGGCAGGTAACGTGGTTTGGTCAAAACAGGAAGATGCTAATATTGGGTTTTTGGGTCCGGCCCCTTGCCATGATTGATGACATGAACTTTTTTGGTTTCCCGGCAGTTGGGACAGCTCTAAGTTGCCGGGCGTAGATAACAGTAAGACAACAGCGTAGGCTGGGCTAGCTATCTCGAAACAAAATCTAATAAAATTCGAGAGAGAAAATAAAGCAATTAAAATCTTTGATCAAGAGATCCATATCGAATGATAGATAGCCTGCGGCGATCGTGCTGCGTCTGCCTGGCCTGATCTGGCCGAGCGGACGGTACCATCAAATGTGCTGTCAATATGTCCGACAGCCAGCCCGACTCGACCCGCCAGGCCCGCAATATCCGCGGTCTTTTGACAGGACAGACGGACTTGGAGAGCTGGATAACCGCACTCTGTTCGGAGTAAAGAAAACAAAATGGACGATCGGGGTGTCTTGGGTGCGGTGCGCACAATGGAAACAGAAAGGACCAAAAGAAGAAAAAGGGAAAAAGGAGCGGACAAAATCCACTCAAGGATTTCCCCCGTTCCCTGTTTTTGCCTTGTAATTTATCTTGTCTTGTTCTCTTTTGCTAATACGACGCCCCTGAGATCCTTTCAATATCCATTCTTCGTGTTGTGCCTTTTTGTGTACATACATACGCAAACCACGGGCTTTGCCAACTCCGAGGTGAAATCGCTGTATTCAGCAAGAAAAGGGCGCGAAAGCCCGCGTATGCAAACTCTCCCGCTCCAAGGGGCCGGGGGGGCTTTTACCATGGAACCAAACACCCCCGAGCTACAGTACCTGTACCTGCTGAGCTACAGGGCCTAGAGCTACTGGACCTAGTACAGTGAGTGGCCCGTAGACCGTCCGCAGTAACGCAGATTGCGCCAGCCCAAAAAACGGGCGGCATCAACGCCCGGGGCCCGGACCTTCGCAAGACTCCGAACGCCGGGGTGTGTGATTTTGGATGTTTTCGATCCAATGCCCTTTTTTCTTTTTTCTTTTTCTGTATTTTATTCCTTTTTTCTTTCGGTTGCGGGGTGGGTTACTTTGAAGGGGAATCAGCTCATGTAGACAATTGCTGCATGGCGGGTTTCGACGTGTACATGGGATGGGATGAGCTTTGGGATGGGATGAGCTTTGGGATGGGTGGGATTGGGATTGGGATCGGGATTGGGATTTTGGGGACGTGGCACGGAGTACCGAGTACAGTGATTGGAAATTTGACAAACTAAAGACTAAATAATCATGATTAATATAGTCAGGAGAGTGGGATATGTTGTATGTGTGAGGTTTGGGTAAAAATGCTTGAGATTTGGTAGAGACTTGGTCAATATACATGGCCCTTTGCATAAGAGGCATACAGCGATTCGCAGTGCATGGGTACAGGTACGGCACAGCTACAGAGCGCACGCTATCTAAACCACTGGAATCATCATTTATTACAAGATTTTTAATTATGACTCTTCAAAAAGAAAAACAGTCAGACAACGAAAAAAAAAAAAAAAAAAAAAAAAAAAAAAAAAAAAAAAAAAAAAAAAAAAAAAGGTTTGAATTTAGCCCACCCGGGCTCCAGCTGGAGTGGATAGAAAGTGCAAAAGCAAGCAGGGCAAGCGGAAAGATTCCCACTCTGCAAACACACACTCGGCACATGTCAGACGGGAAGAACACTGACCCAAACCCAAGGCTGCTTTGCTATTACTCGTACACACTTTCTTCATGCAATGCAGAGGAAGGGATGGTTTTCTGGGCTTCTCGTCTAGCCCCGCTAGTAGCAGGAATACACGTAACCCTTTTTTCCCTTCTGCGTACAGCTCGTACAGGCTTGCATATGCGTCTATCAGACGCCATGGATCGCGGAGCCCTGCAGGACGGAGCACGGAGTGCGCCGAATTTACTCGAAATATGGGCTCGTGGCCACAGCTTTCTCTCAGACTCCGTCTCCATCTCCGTCTCTCTCTCTCTCTTATGTCACGCTGAATGTACACTGTCATATGTACAATCACCTTCCATCTCAATCTCACAGGATCGGAGACAGAGGGGAACACCAAACACTTGTGTCTGTGCGGCCGTCACCCGACGCCGTGCCTGGCGATGCTTGCTTGGCATCCATACTAACATGAACCCCCGTGTGCTTCAATGTTCCAACGGCTCGGCATGCTACAAGCGGCCGGTGCAACCCCCTCAAGAACAGGGACGGAACTGCGCTGGACAAGCACGACCGGAATCAAAGTCCGCATCGCCGCATGAGGCCCCCAAAAGGCATTTGCATCGGCACATGTACATAACCATCGAGTGCTACTCCAATATTACACCGAAAAAGAGCTGCTGTCCGTCTCCAATTCCCGGGCCCCGTATAGCTCATACGAAAGTACGCCAGCTAGATTGAATTGCCTTGTTTCACAGGGCGTATCGCTTGCCTCGCCTCCATGTGTGCTTTTAGCGTGCTGGGTTGACTTCCTTGTCCCTTGTCATCTTCCATTTTCTTGTATTGGATTAGATCCATTGGATTTCTGATCTACAGGGCCACTTTCCGCTCCCAAAGAAAAAAAAAAAAAAAAAAAGTGGCCGAAAACTTCAAGGTTTGTGTTATCCACTTGCCGCCCTGCTGCTGTAATCAATTCAAATCAAATCAAATGTCCGCTTTTAGCCTACGGCCTGAAGTTTGAAAGTTGCTAGCTTGTGCATAAGCAACGGAAAGCTCTCCCAGATAAACGCTACTAGCAAACGGAGTTCCGCCTTGTTAGTCACCGGTTAGCAAGACCGACACTCAATCCATTTGAGCTAAAAAGCAATGAACCCTGAAAAGCTGCTGAGAAATGGAGGGCCGGGCAAATAAGAAGCCCCGTTTGTAATGGGTTGTAAATCGAATCGCAAATAAACAGCGGTCTGTGTGTCATCCAGCATTTTTTATTTTTTATTTTTTAATTCCATTATTATTTTCGGTTTTATGCCGTTCTTGGAAATGGCTTCCTTGTGGCGTCTGAGTCGGCGATTAAAATCATGCCATCCCTTACGATTTGGAGATTCCATAAGCTTTTGAAGCTTACTGGACGGGACCCCTGCTTTTCGGCCATGGTTGGCACGTGGATTGCGTCTTTGACTCAGCGGAGTTTGGGGCCGCTCCGTGTGTGTGTGAATGCTGGGGGAAGGGTTCGTTAACTCCGCGATTTTGTAGTAGCTGAAAGAAGAATAAAACTGTCATCCTTATATCAGGTAAAAATCACATTGTTGCCATAGAAGAGAGGCACTGCCATGGATACATGTACAGTACAGTACCAGACAGTACAGTAAATTGCATGTGCTCTCCATGACGTGCTGGAGGGGGCAACCCAAATTATGCCATGATCTGATTACATGCGGTACTCTACATGTACATCCACACACCTCCAACAGCTACAGAGTACATTCGTAGGTACCTGGCCTGGTTATCGGCACGTATCAAAAGTGGATACGCGTATCAGCACGGCGCTGACAGGCCAGACGCAGCAAAACGTGGGGAGCGGGTCGAATTGAATTGACAGGTACCTATTGAGGCTATTCCCTTGCGGTTAACACTCATGTCATCAAGGCCTCATTTCTCTATCTGTTCGCCTATTCGGATCATCTTATGCATTCAGGCGGGAATCAATAGTATTCTATCAAGGTCAGATATAGCATGCAAACACCAATTAAACAAAAAAAGCAAAAATAAATTAAATCAACACACCCTCCCAGGGGCTCCAAAGTTGCTCCGCTGATGACAAGAACAAGACAGAAACTCTCACCCCCCTCCCTGAACCAGCAAAAAAAAGGCAGCATTTTCGTTTTAGGCCCAAAATGCCACACGGCACCCAGCAGCCGGGCACAAATCCAAAACACCTGTGGCGTCTTACAAGACTCATCGCCGACCACCCAAGCGAGCGAATGAATTGCGGCAGTTGCAAACTTTCCTAGCTGGTGCCATGGCGGTGGCGCCCCTGACTGGTGATAGGCTGCCATCGGAATCCTTTTGCTGCGATGCTAAGCTACACACTACACTACGGCACATGTACCCAACGGACGAAACGATCCTTCAGAGGGGGGAGGGGGCTGATGGAATGAAAATCAATCCGCCGTAATAGCTCTTGTCTTGTCACTACTCCAGTCGTTATCGTTCACCATCTTCCTTCGAAATCAAGGCCCCTCCCTCCCTCGCACTTCCTCTTCCCTTCCTTTTAGCTTGGCCCTCCTCCACTGGCTTTGTTGTATGAATCGTACGAGGGAGAACATCTTCAGCCGAATCAATCCCACTCGGCCACCCGTTTTGCCGTCGTGGCGCAATTGAGTACCGACCGGGCGGTGTCAAGTCAATCTCTCAGCCTTGCCAATGAGGTTAGAAGGCAACTCTTTGAGTGATGGAGGTGCATAGAGTTAAAAGAGTTTATTCCGAATAGCTACCTAGAGGTGGGGGAGAACAGTCAAGATGCCGATGCCGAGACAGACCCTGGGTCGAGAACCCAAGTTTTGTTTACTCCTTTACATAACTTGAGTGAGACGTGTCTTGTTTATTTTTGGTTTCCTTTTGAGTAATTGGTAATACATGTTTCCAACATGCCGTCTCGCTACGATAGATGAGATTCTCACGCGGGTGGCAGCACAGCCAAGCGGCACGGTTTGCCCCCAGATCTTCGTCTAGCAATACTATAATTGGAGCTCAAGCGCTTATCATACCTTACCTACATGCAATTGACAGCACTCGACCCAGTTGATGGACTTACACTGAGTCAGGAAGCGCGGGCTGAAGACCATTCAAAGCATGTGCTAGCCAAACCTTGAATAAAGATACCAGATTAAATACATGTATCTGTGCCCAATCGCCCGTCCCCGCTCGCAGCCATCATGCAATCAGCTCTTGTTGTGGCTTCACCCTAACTGCTCGACTCAGCGCCAAAAAGCGTCAACTTTCAAGACAACACCACGCCCCAAGCTTCTCCTCACTCAGCCCTATCCATCGCTCAATCAGCAAAGCAAAACCTCTTCCAACTTTTGTAAACTTGGTCGGGACCGAAAAAACAGATACACTCAAGTTTGCAATCAGTTAGCATTGGGACTACTATACGACTAGACGAAAACTCGTTTGCCATTGCCATTTGCCATCATTCCCTTTCGAATTTATTCTTTATTTTTATTAAACTTCTCATTTATTTGTTTTATCAATTTATCTATTTTTTTTTTTTTTTTCATATCTTGCTTCGATTCACTCCCCTCCTCTTCTCTCGCCTTCGGTTCCCCTCGACGCCCGCTTTCTCGAATTTCTGCTGTGGCCTCATGAGGCGCTTCTTTGAGTGCAAATGCGGCGTATTCGAACACGTCTGGCCCTTTCTTCCACTTCCACTGAACGCCGAATTATCGGACACTAACATCACTGCTTTCTCAGCCAGGCACAGTACTGCAGTACCCTCCCATTGGTATTCGTACCGTCGGCGAATCTGATAAAGAGCTCCAGCAGGTGTGGCGTAGAGACCCCGAGCCGTGATAATGAGACACCTGTACATCCCGTTCTGCAAAGTAAGCATATAGTCAAAGGAGCGTCTAGCCAAGTTACTCCATTGCCGTGTATCCGGTAGATCTCGCATGAGACTTGACAGCAAAAGAACGTTACGCGAAAGAGAGGAGGAGGCGGCGTTTACAAATGTTGCTAGTCATGATCCTCCCACCAGCCCAGCGCCTTAGTTCCATCGCCCAAACGTCACTCGCACGAGCCCAAAACGTGCTTCAAGATGCGCACGTGTGACAAACTCGACACCGGCGCTGTGTTTGTAAGAGGTGGCATCGACTAGAGGGAGAGCCACAGCTGCGACGGAGCGCGATCCAGATCGTGTGATGGAACCTCGGGGGCGAGGCTGCGGCGACCTTCACAGGGCAGTTGGCAGCATACTTTGCGGGGTAGTAGCCAGGAGAAAACGGCGACAAGCCTTCTTCAGCTGAGGCCCCTTGTGGCTTCGATAACTTGGGCGTAGCCTTTGCTGTGGTTGTTGGTCCTTGGCAGAGGGGAACGCCTCGTTCTGTTGATTGGCGGGCCATACGGGGCAGCAAGCGTATCGGTGTAGCTTAACGAGATGATGGCACGATTTGGGTTAAAAAGGGAAAGATGAATGAGGGGTTTCACAAGCTCAATCGTAGCTGTAGGATGCTTGCGAGTCATGGAGCTCGAGGTAGGTTCAGCTCGTGCGCGTGGGCTTTTGTTGACAACTGCCGTAACTGTGAAGGCCCGATGAACATGAAGCCATTCAAGGAGCTCATGTGACGCCTATTTTTTTCCATGTCCAATGATTATTCGGGATGTTTTGTTAGAGAACTTTTGAAACTTGTGGAATGTACCGCGGAAAGATTATGCATGATACTTGTAACCCTTTGAGTGGCTTCACTAGGCTGTTCACCGCAATCAACACCCTTCCAAATCGTCGGGACCGAAGCTGGCAAGCTATAGTTACTAAATCGATTCAGTTAGCTTTAAGCATCCTCTTGGATTGGATTGAACTAACCCTACATTATGAGCTTGGCTGTTGGACTTACACGAATAAACGAGACGGCATGGCCGAACGTGGGCACTATCCCGGCGTCTCTACGGAGTCGCCGTTTACAATCTTTGAAGCTCAATTAGAACATCTTGTATTGGTTTGGTTCATCTTATCTAATTAGAATTGTAGCTCATGTCATTTTTACTTCTAAAAGATGACTTGTGGTTGAGTTACGCGAGAGTTACATCGGTGCACCCCCTGAGATAACTCGAGGCCAAATTGGAACTGCTGGATAACATGGCCACAAGGTTCAATAGTGTCCCAATATATTCAAAAACATGGCATGCAAACATGCTTATCTTCGTAGGATCTTATCTCGTATCTGCCTTTATCATTCCACAGCCAAATGATACTGCGTGGCTGGGCGCTCCTGTATCTCCATACCCCTGTAATCGTGAATAGCTCCATATTCCAGGATTGTGACTCTTCCATTAACCCCTAGTATTCTCATTGAGTTATGTTGTATACTTGGTGTCTTTATCTCGGATTATGCTATAGTTTTGCCGTATTGTTAATCACTTTTGACGCAGACGTACCGCCTGGTGAAAGTACATGTATATTGGTCAAGACGAAAGATGCCTACTAAGATACAACAACGAATGGATGACCATAGAATAGAAAAATGCGCTTTCAGTTAAAGTGTGTTCTTCTGTGTCAAGTTTTAGTTTGCTTACTCTCTTGGTGCTGGATCAAAGAGTTCCTTCGTCTTATGCGCAACCTCGTAGAGTATCAATACGGCATATCAAGACGCAGGAGTACGCTCAACATTGTTGGTTTCACACTCTATCTGTCCATTACTCTAGCCGCTAGAGTTGTTTTGTATTACATTTGTAATCTAGTTTCTTGAAAGAGCATGCTATTAAATGCTCCTAAGTTAGTGTGTTCATAGTTGGACATGATTGACCCTCTGATGTAAGGGGGATACACAATGGCATCTCGTAGATCTTACTCGATGGCCTCTAAAAATTGACGATATTGCGCTCAAATCATCTTCGTATCAAACTTATCCTTCAGAGAAAGAAATTTGCTGAAATAGAGTGTCAATTCAGCGAAGAGCTATAGCCACGCTGAGATTAAGTAGCCATTTTTATATGCAAGACTGATTCAGATCGATCACAGCTGTTCAAATCCTTCCGTTTTGATAGGACAAGGAATGTCAATGCATCAGCAGAAGACGCCACATAACATTATATACATCAAATACTCCAAAAATGCGTATTCCAACCCAACCATCATGCCATCCAGCGCCATTCCCATTCTCCCATCACATCTGTCCCAAGGTACCCCCGTAAAACGCCTTAAAACCCCCAATGAGTCTCCGTAAATCATATCCTCGTAACGTTGTTGGTCGCTTCTTCTGGGCATCATGTGTTGATATCGAGTACTTGCTTTAGCATACTCTCACTTGCCCTATACCATCGAGCTCTCTGCTCAAGGTCATCAGCAACTCCTCCAAGAGCAGCCTCCTTCCTCCTGCGAGCCTCACGCGCGGCCGTGGTGCTACTTTGCCGCTTCACCTCCAACGGCTGCAGTTCGGCTTGCAGCCTCTCCGCTTCCTTTCTCTTCCTGGGAACCTTGGCCTGCAGCGCTTCGAGCTCACGCGCAAGCTCTTGCTGCTCTGCCTTCCGCTTCGCCACGAGGCTAAGCGTCTTGGTGAGAGGCAGTCGAAGATTTGGATCCGACTCTGAAGATTCATGCTTGTCCTTGAGCTCCTTGATCCGACTCTCCAGCTCGACAATCTTTGCCGGCAACTCTTCCAAACGCACCGTCTCCAGCTGAATGTTTTCGTACCGCTTGCTCAGGTCCCGCCCCCTCTTTTCCAAGTCAGACACTAGATCTGCCACCTCCAATTTGAGGTTCTTGAGCTGTGCCTTCGCCTCGGCGTTTTCTCGCTCCAGATCCAGGTTCTCCTGAAGAGTGACGATGAGAGGTGGATCTCCTACAATGGCGCGGATGAACTTTTCCTTGGTCACCTGCTCAACATACGAAAATCGGAGTTTGGCGAAGAGTTCTTTGTAGTGGATAAGGTCTGCATCCAGGCTCGTAGGAGAAGGTCCGTCAAGCGACGTGTTGGACGCGTCAGAGATGCGGTTAAGGGTATCATTTGGCGTAGAATTTGAGATGGATTCACTGAGTTTGATGATGGACAGCTCATTGTTCGACTGCAGCCGCCGCAGAGTTTCAAGCACCTGGGCTGGAGTTTTGGCGCTCATTTTGAGTTGATCTGGGAGCTTTGATCAATTATTCAATAAAAGGAAAGCGTATATAAGGCCTATGACCCTGAAAAGCCTCTCCTGAAAATGGATTGTGCTTTGAACAAGAGCCGATTCAAGCGTGTTTACATTGAGCCCGATGCAGTTAGCCTCGCTGCTCCGGGAAAATTATGTATGTCTTATCTTATCGGCAGGGATTTGGCTCGAGCTGAGTCATCCATTTTTCAGGATCCCAGATCTTTACGCAGCCCGTCACCACGGCCGCTAAAACACGTTCCTCCGGTCAACAACCGCATTTGCTTTCTTTGCGAAATCACGAATATCTTGCTTTATAATTATAATTACTTTGCTTTTGCTATGCCAAACGACGACATCCTTACAGACGACTATGTCGCCGGTCTTCTGGCCAAGGAGGCCGGCGACTGCTCGATCAAATACTCAGCAATGGGAATGGAAGCTTTCAACACAAATTCTAAGTAATGTCGCCCGCTGTTCTTCGCGCAAAGGGGATGTTATTCTGACGGAGATAAAGGCCGTCCAACGTACCGAAGCCGAATACGAGGTTTCTGAGAAACATCATCAGGGATACGGACTCGCACAACAAGGCGCTACTGGCCAAGGAGGCCGCCGAGTCGAAGGCGAGGCTCAGGGATTTGGAGCGCACCGAAGAAGCCAAGCGACGGAGAACGAACCCAACGGCCGGAGATGTACGGAGACGGCAGCTGGGAAATATCCAGTCAATTCTGGGCGGATCAAAGCACAAACGAGATGACAACTTGAGGCCGGCCGACGACGAAAAATCGAGGAGCAAGAGTGACAGCGACCGCCATTCGCGCCGGGGGTCGCGTCGAGATAGGGATGGAGGCACTGATCGCCACAAGTCGAGGAAAGACTACGGTCGATTGTCGCGAAGCCCTGAGGGCGACGAGCGAAGGAGTCACCGCGATGATCAGTCACGGAGCTCACGAAGGAAACATCGCGATGGCTCCTCTGAGGATGAACACCGACACACCCGCGACCGCGATCGCCAGAGAGATCGGTCTAGGTCACCTCGCCGTCGACGTCGTTCTCGTTCACCTAAAACTAAGAGAAGCAAGCATCGGAGTCGCTCTCCTTTGGCTGCGGAGAAGCACGCCTCGAGAGATTCGTATCTCAAAAACGACGACGATGACTCAGATCCCTTAGACGAATTTATCGGGCCTGCTCCGCCTCCAAAGTACCGCGGTCGGGGAACAGTTGCCGGCACAGCTAGCTTGGATCGGCGATTTTCTGATTCATACGATCCAAGCACAGATGTGCTCCCGGATAAAGAAGAGGACAACTGGGACGACGCAGTGGAGGCGTTTAGGGATCGCCAGAAGCTGCGTCAAGTGCAGGATGAGCGGATGAAAGCCGCCGGGTTCGCAGACCACCAGATTCAGCGGATCAACAACAATCAACGAGAGAAAACAGAAGAGGACGTGGTATGGTCCAAGGCTGGCGAGGAGAGGGCGTGGGATCGTGGGAAGAGAGAGGATAGTGATGGCGATATTGTCTTGCACGGCATCCTATCGGAGGAGTCGTGAGGAGCATACATACAGATCCGATTTGGAGCAGTATGGCATTGGATACAGATAAAACAGCTGATTACCTTTCGATGGATATACATGAAGGTGGAGGCTCTTGGATACCTGTGTATCGCCGGCGGCGAGTCATGAGTTATGAGCTATGATGATGCAACACGAACAATATTTTCTGACAGCGAAATTACTACTACTATTTGGTTCTTCTCGAACAAGACTCCATAGACTATACGATTACTACGAGATAGGCCCCGAGGAATAGGCCCAAAGTGGGAATCGCAGGTAAATCATCTGCATATGCAAGGGGCCCCCAACCAGGCGATATGAAGTGCCGCTGGACTCCTTCGTATTCGCTTTAACGCGCAGTCTGTGAGCACGTGTGCACCTCATCCGAGCCACTTTTTGCCCTCACCTCGAGACAAACATCAAATGTCTTGATGTGTTGCACGCGCGTGTCTCGCTCGCAAACCTGGATTTTGTAGTTTTTGATCACAAGGGCTTTTGCTTTTGCATCCAGCAGCTGGGCAAAAAAGTCAGGCCACTCCACTTGATGGACATCACGAGCAGTTGCGAGCAGTTGCGTCATGCAGGCTATTTTTGCTTCTGCGTAGTGGATCGAAGTGGTGGCCCCCCCCGGTAGTGGCCTCAGAACCTAATTCTTCAGCGGGACCCTGGCAAGCTTGGGCGGCCTGAAGCTTCAATTCCATTCATTGAGCTGGTTTGTAGGACTTTGGGTTTTTCGTCAACTTCTTGTCTGCTTCCATGCCAAAGTCGAATAAATGGGTAAATGTTGATATAGATAATGAAATGATATCATCATCAGAAGCAAACAGCACTGCATCCGTCAATAATATGGAACAACAATAGATAACAACCTACGTCAAATGGCCCAAACTTCACAAGCTCCACCATCGTCCCACCCGCCAACGCACTAATCGAGCTTCCATCACAAACCGCGATGCTCCGTTTTGTCAGGCCAGTGCGTTGGAATTGCCGGAGCCGAGAAAAGCCATGGTCTGATGCGAATCTGGCGATATTCGAGAATCTAAGTTTGTATGCTGAGTGGCAAAACATGAATGTTGTCTGTCTGTCTGCTTTTGGTCATCAAAATGTCCATGTCTGGTGCAATCAACTGGTGGATTGAATCAAATGGATGTCACATCGCTGAAAGCACCTGGATTTGAATTTACAGGCGAGTGCCTTGGCACAATTAGCGACCTCAGCCCCCCCGCCAAGCTCCGCCCATCCACTGCCGGCTGCTCCCTAAGCCCCAGAACAGCGTATTAGTATAGGCGGTCCACCTTCCATACCCGACCTCTGATGGCGTCGAGTGCATCTTTTGCCTTTGCCCGCCCCGCCTCAGGCCTGTTTACATACCTGACTTTACTCCTCAGCACCTCAGCTTCTGCCTTCATCTCTAGACATCGCCTCTTTTCCTCCTTGCGCTCCTCTTTCTTGCATCCGTTCTATCGTCTCGTCAGAAGGTTGATTCTTTTGTTATTTCCGCCGTCTTGTTGTTTCTTTTCCTTCCTGTGCATCCGATACCCGAGTTTCTTTTGTTATCCGCTCGTCCCATGACGTGTCTCCGCTGGCCGACGTCAGCTCCCTGAGGCGGCATTACTTTTGACCAGACGCCACAAGAGAAACCCAAAACAAAAGCAAAGCAAAACAAAAACAAGCAAAACCACTCCATCTGCGGCCGGCTGACAGCCGCGCTCTTCACGATGCGCACTCCCCGGATTGTGATTCTTGTTCTCTGTATATCCGCGTCCTTCTTCCTCCTTTTCCGCGCAGCGACAGCCTCCAGACGAGCCGCAGACTCCCGATACCCCACTGAGTTGCGACCAAACAGATCGGTATGGGGGCTCATCTTCTACAACACGCCCTTCTCTCTGTTTCCTCCCAACGCCGCCATCAGCTTGACCGACGACAACAGCACGTCTTTTGCGGCGCGGCCTGCAGCGTTTGGCCCTAGGTTGCGACCCAACGGTCTAAGTGGGCAGCTATGGGTTGGGAGCGGTTTCATTGAGGATAGCCTGGACGGCAATGGCGAGCTGGGCTGCAGCGACCTCCCAGGCTGGGATGGTGCCGGAGCGAAGCATGTGCTGAAGCAATCCTTTCACGCATCTACTTCACACAAGAAAGATGCCCCCAAGTCTACTCGCCGGCCGAGGCGCAGCCAAGAGCTTCTTGGTCCGGATAGCTCCGAAACAGACACCAAAGCAAGTCTCAGCGAAGACATCCCCACCGATGACGGCACCGACAATCACCTCCACGAAAGGCTTCCGCTTACTCGGCGGGACACTTCTGTGTCTTCCCACGCCGATATCCAGTCGATCCAAGAAGGGGCCGAGATCAAGGGAAAGATTGTTCTGTTGATGCGTGGAGGATGTGGCTTCTTGGAGAAAGTAATGTGGGCACAGCGAAGAGGAGCCATTGGCGTCATCGTCGGCGACAACGTCAAGGGAGGCCCTCTAATCCAAATGTTTGCTCGCGGCGACGAGGTCGACAACGTGACGATTCCATCCGTCTTCACTGCCCGGACCACAGCACAGCTGCTTTCTTCGTTGACGCAGCCTGGCAGTTTTATCGAAGATACCCTTGACGATAACGGCAATCCCGTCCTCAAAGTCCAGCAGGGCTCCAAGGCTAGGAAGAGCAAAGACGCCGATTCCAAGAAGAAAACGCCCTCGAAAAAGTCCAAAACTTCAAACAAGGAAAAAAGAATTACGAAGAGAAGGGAGGTCGAGGAGAAGCCAACTGGTTGGTTCAAGCGCCTTTTCGGCTGGGGCACGTCTTCTCGTGGCGTCGACAGTGAAAGCAGGCCACCCAGCAGCGGCCAGCTGGATTGGGTAATGGTTGAGGACTGGGAAGATGAGCAAGACAGTACCATAAAACCCAGCGTGGCTAAATCAAAGAAGCAACCGAAACGGCCGAAACCTGAGGGCGACGACTTTGTCATCGGAGTTCAAGACTGGCGGGACCCAGATGTTATGGGCAAGAGCAAGGCGACTTCTGCAAGCAAGGATGTGCCAGCCAACTCCAATGCCAAAGGCGACGCCTCTGACAAGACACCCAGCGCCGATAAGCCAAAGGGAGGAAGCATTACCCCGGGCAGCGGCGAGTATAAGCTGCGTAAAGTGTCCGAGGTCGAAAACGAAGCCACCTCGGCCTTTGAGCTGAGGGGGGTTTCACCATCCACAAAGAGCCGCGGCCTGATTTCTAGAATCTTTGGTGATGACGAGGACGACGACTTAGATGCTGAGCTTGCCGACCCCGAAGACGGCGACTATGACGACGACTTGCCTGAAGAAGATGAAGATCCTGTACCGCATGAAGGCCTCTGGGTTACCATTACACCAACCAGCAGCGCCAGTCCATTCTTCGATACGCTCCTTGTTCTTGTCATTAGCCCTCTGGTGACTCTCTCAATCGTGTATGCACTTCTAGTTTTACGAGCCAGAATTCGTAGGAGAAGATGGCGAGCCCCCAAGTCTGTAGTCGAACGTCTGCCCGTCAGGACATATCACACAGTTGCTCGATCCCCCAGCTTATCACCCAGGGTCTCATCCCCAACACCAACCACGCCGTTATTACAGCACACCCACAACTCCAGCCCACCGAGATCACGGCCTCGTTCCAGGACGACCACCGGTGTCATGGAAAGCGCAAACTTTCTTGCCCCTACTCCCAGCGACTTGGCGTTGCCGCAGACACTACCACAGCGGAGCTCTCGTACTGGTCGCTCAGGGCACGAACGAGGAGCCATCTCGGCAGAGTGGAAAAAGTACATGGGAAGGCAGGTAGAATGTGTTGTCTGTTTGGAGGAGTATGTCGATGGCGTGAGTAGGGTGATGAGGCTGCCCTGTGGTCATGAATTCCACGCCGACTGCATGTGAGTTTTTCTTCCCCGTTGTGTTTTCTGAAAGCATCAGACTGACAAGATGGATAGCACTCCTTGGTTGACAACCCGTCGACGAACATGCCCCATCTGCAAGGGAGATGTAGTGCGCTCCATGGCTCGTGGCTCGTGGGCTGGCCCTAGATACGAGCCATACCACGACGACGGCGATGACGATGACGAGCAGGTAGCTGAAGGTTCCGGATCTAGATCATCCAGCGGCGATGAGGATCTTGAGCAAGGCGTTGCTGAGGCGGAGCCCACGGCGGCGCGTCGCTCGAACTGGCAAGATAATTTCTTCTTCATCCTACCCGGTGGTAGACGCAGGACACAATCCCCACCCCCGCCGTCAGATGATCGCCAGACGTGATCCGATTCATGAGGTTTATCTTAATCGCCGGCTTTCCTGGAGCCGACCGGACCCGTCAGCTGAATGACGCTCCAAAAGTCGGCAAGCATATCAACGGTTTATGCGGGCATATCTCTGCTTTAACATCTATCTCAGCGGTATACCTTGTTGTCAGGGACAGCAACAATCATACGCTTTGGCGTAGTGGGCAATGGGAGGAATAGGAGTTTTTTTCTTTTTCTTTTGTGTGTTTTTCTTGGGACTAATCAAGCATTATGGAAGTATCGCCTTGAATGGCTCTTTTGATTTTGTACGGAAGATGTACTGGAGCTGTGTGCGTCCTTGCCTTGTGTGGCGAGGTGTTTTTGAGCTGGTTATGGGGAAGGATAGAGGAGTGAGGAGGCTGTTTGATCGATGAGCGCCTGTTGGGTGTCGGATGGAAGCTTACTTATACCCTTGAGTTGATGGCGGTTCATGTGGAATCTTGTATTTAGTTATTGTAGTGCGGTAATGGATGCCGGGTCATGGATGGTGGCAGGCTTTGATCTCCTGTCATTTGAGTTGCAGCTATATTGTACAAGCTCACACATTGATTTGACATTGGCTATAGTTCAGCCTTTGATACAATGCAAGGCTGTATGATTGTTGATGCGATGAATTTTAGTCACAGTAGTAACCCTCATCGTGAAGTCGATAATACGAGTCATGATGCAAGTCATCGATGATCCATTTATTCTTTTTCTTCATTGTAACCAAGCCCATGTTTTAAACTTTTCTATATATATACATGTACAAAACTGCAAAATGCAATCAGATGTAGCCCTTGAGGATGGCAGCCTCAGCATTTAATATAGAGGAACCAGCCGCTCCAATAACCGCTATGAAAATGATTAGCGACATCTACCCTATAACAAAACTTCTACGAAAGAAAAGGGGGAAGACTCACTGTTATGGCTCAACGCAACAAACTTCAAGTCGAAGATGCCACTCTCGTCAGCCCGCACTCTGCCCACGCTGACGGTGTATCCCCTGCCCAGATCGCGGTCCAAACGCGGCTGCGGCCGGTCGTCCTCGTCAAACACCTTGATGGGCGGGTTCGGCGCAGACGGGCACCCAATCTTCTGTGCCTCAGACACATACGCCCTGAGGGCGGCCTTGCACTCTTCAGGCGAGGGAGGGGGCTGGCGCTCGAACTTGAGGCTGACGCAGGCCGTGTGGCCGTCCATGACAGCGACGCGATTACACGAGGCCGATACACGCAGGGCCTCCTGCTCGACAAAGGCTTTGCGGTCGCCGTCGATGGCGCCGAGGATCTTCCTGGCCTCGGTCTCGAGCTTGTCCTCCTCGCCCTGGATGAAGGGCACGACGTTGTCCATGATGTCCATGCTGGAGACGCCCGGGTAGCCGGCGCCGGAGACGGCCTGCATGGTGACGATGCTGACGGTGGAGATGGGACCAAAGGCGGCCTGCAGCGCGGCGAAGGGGATGACGAGCCCGATGACGGCGCAGTTGGAGTTGCAGACGAGGAAGCCCTTCTTCAGGCCGTGGACGGAGCGCTGGTGGGGGATGAGGTCGAGGTGAGGCAGGTTGACGGTGGGCACGACGAGGGGCACGAGGGGATCGCGGCGGTAGTTTTTGGCGTTGGAGAAGACGGGGATTTCGGCCTTGAGGAAAGCCATTTCTGTTTTTCAGAGCCAGAATCAGTCAATCATTCTCTCTCTCTCTTTCATGTGACAAGACATAATGTCGATGTGTGTGAAAAAACGTAACGTACCAACATCGCCAGCGACATCGGAATCGAGGCCGCTAAACACCACGTCGCAGTCGGCAAACTCCTCCGGGCGGCACTCCCTCACGACCATCTCGGCGACGTCGCCAATGGGCGAGGCCTGCTTCCACCGCACGGCATCCTTGTACTTCTTGCCCGCGGAGCGGGACGAGGCGCCGATTGCGTGCAGCTCGAGGGTCGGGTGGCCTTGCAGCAGGAGGATGAAGCGCTGGCCGACGGAGCCGGTGCAGCCGAGGACGCCTGAGAATGAATTATGTTAGAGAGATGGCTTGAAAGAGAGGAGAGTGATGTGATGATGGGGAGCCGTACCGCACTTCTTGCGAGGGGATTGCGTTGCCATGGTTGTGGTTTTGCTGTGGTTTGGTTGTATGAGGGCGAAGATGGGAGCCGATACGGAGCTCAGATGGGGTGACACTCGATGTCGCAATAATAACAAGAGATTGAAAAAGAGAGAGAAGGGTATATAATATAATAGACTCGATGATGAAATAAACAAACAGCTCAGATCTAGACTGATAAAAGATCCAGATCTCCAAAAATCGTCAGCCAAAAGGAAAAGAAATTGAGGTTTAACTTTCTGACTCCCAAAAGTTTTGGCTACCAGATTAAGCTCAATTGCTGCCCCGCCATCGGAGCGTCGCCATACGTCAGACTAGCTTTTTTTTGCGCGGTGCCGGACCGCTTTTTATTAGATAGCAACTTGGATTATTAGCAGACAGCATCATGTAAGTCAATATGATTTATTTACGAATAATTGCTCAAGGGGTGTTTTTCCCTAGATGAGATTGAACAAAAGAGACAGTTAAAGAAGAAGAAGAAAATAGCTAATATGATTGCTCTCTTTGAGAATCTATCCCGTGAGACTGCCTGCACCCAAGACAGGCAGTTCTTCACAATGGGCCCTTATGCCCTACCTTAGTATCAAAGGTAAACAATATGCAGATGAGACTCAACCTAAAAGTCCCATATCAACATGCTGCGCCAGAACGCCAAGTGAAATCCACCGTGACGCCTCATCCAATACTAAACCAAACAAGTAAACACCAAATTATGCCGAGTTGAGTGAACCAATATTCCGCTCTACAATGCACGCGCATTCGAGACAAATCCCCAGACAAATCCCAGTCGGTAATGCTTTATGCCTGGCCGTCACTTCGCCTGTTGTTGGCGTATAATCGGAACTGCACAAAAATGGTGCCGTCCTCGACGACGGTGCCAAGAGACCCAATCAGCCAAGGGATGGTGTTGATGATGTATTTCCTGTCCTGGGAGTAGGCCACAATGCTGATTGCGTACGTCAGGTTTCCAGTCAGGGAAAGCATAAAGAACAAAATCGAGAGGCCTGTTCATGTTGATTAGCATGTGATCGCGTCAATTAGGGTCGGCTGGATTTACCTTCGCAAGACTTTTCTCGGTAGTTTTTAATGATTTGGGGAATTCGAGCACTGCGAAAAGGTCAGTCTTTCACTTCTGTCACCGATACCCAAGGTGTGTTCAAGCATACCAGAGGTAGCAAACTGCGCTAAAGTAGCCCAACACCATTCCAATCTTCTCCAGCAAGTCTGACGACTCCACGGCGTTGAAGACGAGAGGGTCTGCCTCGTTGTATGCTCCAGCCTTGTATGAGAGGTACCACCCCATGAATCCAACAACATATACGGCAATCAGGCTGAATGCATTGGACGACCACGAAGACCGCTCAATTAGTTCGTCGCCGGCCGGCGCAATCTTGCCGACGTCCTCGCTCGACACCGATCGGCGATGCGACATGCGCCGCTCTCCAAGAAGGGGTGCCTCCTCGGTCGCCTCCGCCTCCTCCGCAGCTCGGCGAGCGTTGATCGTGTTGTAGTATAGGCACTGGGAGATGAGGAGGAAATCGGCGACGCAAAAGTACATGGCCAATGCGACCGCTGTCGGGGCCAGATGCGTAAAGAGTCCACCTAATGTAACAGTCAGCTCCGCTCTCAGACGGCTTCTCCACGGGAGTATTTGCAAAGTCGTGAGAATCTTGTAGGTGTACACACCGATCAAGTTGGTGGCGTCGCCAATCATCCAGACAACCAGAAACGGCATGCTCAGCCCATCGGCGCTCTTCGCTCGGTAGTTGACAATCATCTGAGGTAGCTGTCGGGTGTTGCGCAGTTAGATAAAGTCATTCTTGAGGGCAAGGAACCAGAAATTCAGCACATACAATAACACATATCCATGCTGCCATGCTAATGCTTCCAAAGATCCCCGATACAGCTTTGTGGAGAGGCAGCTCTTTCACTGCCTCGTTGACCACGGCCATCGCAAGAGACGCCATGATAAGGAAGTCGGGCGGATTCCGGCGGCGTACAGTAGATGCTGGACAAGATGCGTCGCTTGCTCTGCAGCTTCGAGAGAAAGGGAGAGGCGGTCGAGCCAGCAGCAAGAGAGCGTCAGAGGTTGGAAAAGGGAGAGCGAGATTGTGCGGAGGGAGAGTCAAAGATCGGCTGGTCGGAGTTGCTCACGAGATCGCCGGTGCAGGAAGGCTTATCGGACGCTCCTTATCGCGGGTCAGCGATAGAAGCGCGGATGCTGATTGGGCGCGGCTAGGCGAAAGCCAATCTTGCTTGCTGCTTGCACACGAGATCAAGGGTCCGTTTGGGGGAGGAATTTAGGGAGTTGGTGGGGTGCATGCATAGCGCTTGCCAGTGTAACTCCCGCGCTATCTCTGCGGCTGGTCGTCATTCGGTTGCGGTCAGTCAGCTTATAGATAGCATGCTCTGCTCGTACTACCTCAGTATCTATCTGCAGTAGTCGACTGTATTTTATCTGATGACTTCATCTCTGCTCTCGTCAACTTATTATCAAACTTTTTGACTTGACCAGAGAAAACAGCACTGTACTCGAACTCGATAACCCATCGCCTACAGCCAAAAAGCCTCGCACAAAAACTCAATCGCTCTGGCACGCAGCGGCGGTGCCGAGGCCGCAGCTTAGTGACAACACTCGCCCTGCCCGCTTGTGATTCGCCACAGGGGCTCCCATTTCCACTCGAGGCGGGCACATGGCTCAACCGCTCCCAGCTGATGCACCCAAAGAGCACCAGGCATGATGTCAACTAATGCGCGTGATCCATCCAGTGAGCGCTTTGTGCTCGTGCTGATGTGAGTAATGCAGCAGCAAATGCCATTATGCGGCGAGGCGCCAGCTGCTACAGGCACCGCACGCAGTGGCTGAGCTCCCTGTGATTGGCGCCGGGCGGTTTAGCAGTGGCTGGAGGCATCTACTCCGTACGGAGCTGGAGTACTACCTCCTCCCGTGTAGCTCGGGGGTACCTTGGTAGCCTGAGCTCCATATCTCAGATAGGATAGTAGGTCACTGCCTGCATCTGCTTCCAACAACAACCATCCCTTCATCATCATTCCATCTCGCTGGTTCATCTAGAATAGCCATATAGAACTTTTGTTTACTGTGTGCGCCGTACTTTTGCAACCTGCAGCCATTATGAAGCTCTCAAATGCCGTGGCCTTCAGCCTCGTCTCCCTGCCAGGGGCCATGGCCTGGGGAGGTGTGTATTGTCTCCTGTCTCTCCCCCGTGACGCTCTCTAGTCAACACCATCACCAGTCATTCTAACAATCATCCTCTCCGAATCAAGGTCTGGGCCACATCACGACTGCCTACATTGCAAGCCAGTTTGTCAGCAACTCCACAGAGGCCTACCTCAAGCACCTCCTGCGAAGCAATGAGCCCGACTACATGGCCAAGGTAGCCAGCTGGGCCGACTCGATCCGATACACAAAATGGGGCAGATTCACGAGCACGTTCCATTTCATCGATGCCCACGATAGCCCGCCCGAGTCGTGCAACGTCGACTTTGAGCGCGACTGCAAGGGGACCGGCTGTGTCATCACCGCTCTAGCCAACTACACCGAGCAGTCCCTCGACCCGTCGCTGCCGCCATGGCAACGCGCTCAGGCTGCCAAGTTTGTCATTCACTTTGTCGGCGACTTGCACCAGCCATTACATAACGAAGATGTTGCGAGGGGCGGAAATGGCATCCACGTCAAGTGGAATGGACGAGATTTCAACCTGCATCACGTTTGGGATAGCTCCATTGCTGAGAAGTGGCTTGGTCGCGGAAAGCCGTACCCATTGGCGGAAAAGTGGTCCAGGGACCTCACTGATAAAATCAACGCCGGCATATATTCAAAGGAGAAGGATGCTTGGCTGGCAGACTTGGACTTTAGCGATCCGATAGAGACAGCAATGGCTTGGTCGCGGGAATGCAACAAGCTTGTGTGCGAATATGGTAAGTTTGTCACCTGTCTTGTAAATCTGTTAGCTTTACAGCTCAACTCACCATTTGATAGTCTTCCCTGAGGGCCCCAAGGCCATTGTTGGCCAGGAGCTGAGCGGCGAGTACTATGAAAAGGCAGCTCCCATGCTCGAGAAGCAAGTCGCTCGCGCAGGATACCGAATGGCGGCATGGCTAGATCTGATTGTCGACGAGTTCCAAAAGAGGGACGCCAGCTTTACTGGCAAGCGACCTGCAGAGGATTATGAAGAGCCTGTTGATGAGCTGGCAGAAGAGATGGAGGACTATATTGGAGAGTTGTAATTGAATACCTATGCCTAGAAGTGTGGAGACAGACACCGGGTTGCTTCTCCCATATTTTGGTCTTATGCATGATAGCAAGCAGATATGATTTTGCATATAGAGAATGAACCAAGACTTGTGCCAAGGACATCGAAATCGTGAATTGCCTCAATTAAATTAACGGATATAGAAACACGACGGGAAATATCATCGCCAAGACAATTGTTTCTCTGCCAATGACTGTTTTACCCTTTTGCTCTTCTCGTTGTTTCGCTCCAGGGTATCCGAAACGGCCAACACTGAAGCCATCCCCCCCCCGCCCAGAAGGGGTGAAACGGCAGGATTCGGCAAGCCGAAGCTCAACAGGAAGTACATTGCGAGATTCCGAATGACCCTTTACGGCATATATGACGTCTGTGCCAAGAAGATGAGACCGGGAATAAAAAGTTCCCTCAAAATCTGTCAGCTGGGAAAAGCGAACAAGACGGAGCGTCTGTTTCGGGGGTGCAAAGACGGGGTTTCAGATGTGCTCTGTTGACGAGCGCCAAGGAGGTTTCACGAACCGGCAAACGGCAACGCTGTGGGCTTTCGTTTTTTGCCCTTTGGGGCTTATTTCCTTCTCCCCCTGTACTTGTATGTACTTGCATCTGTGCATTGGCCCCTGAAGCGTCAAAGGGTTGAATTCGCTTTTCGCTTCTTTGTTTTGTCTGTATGTATACGAAGAGATGAAAAGAGACTTGTCACTATTGGCAGGGCAGTACGAAACTGGCTGTCCTCTTGAGTCTGTGCTGTTCCGGTTTGCCGGATTGGGGATCTTTTGTCTGTATTTTGACGGGCTTTGATGAAACGCGCTCCGTACACTTATCCTTTACAGATGTAATTGAGTCTGTTTCCGTCCGGGGTGCAACGCGAGATGGACGGATATACTCCGAACAGACCCCTATTGACGCCGTCTCATCCTCTAATGATTACAAAGAGCACACTTACAATATACTTCCATGTTTGTCAAAGCTGAAGCCGGCGCTTTTCAATGACTTGATAGATTCCAATAAAAGCCCATTCAATGCAGCCCTGAGAATGGGCCGCCTTTATGCCGATTGTATGTAGCTGATTGATTGTTGAGGCAGATGTAATTTATTGGCTACAAGACGACGAGGCTTCTTACATCTAGGCGCCCAAGATTCGAGTGGGGGGTTGTATATCTGCCTCTTTGTGTTGTGTACACAGGAACAAAGAAAGCATGGTGGCACGGCTACTGTATCTGCAGCCATTTAGACAGCAGCTTAAAAAAAAGCCAAGACAACTTTGTTCTCCCGAGCCTGGACTAATGATGCTGCCAAGTCGCACACCCATGGATCATGTTTCGTGCGGCCTGTAAGCGCACGCCTTGTTGGCGTATTGTGTACACTGGAGGATTTCTCTACTTGAGATCACATTGTGGCAGAAAGGAAGCGGAGATCGATCCGGGCTGCAGTACTTGGCCAACTAATACTTTTGCTACCGAATGTATTGAATTTCTGGTCTGTCTGTCTGTTCATAGAGATTTCGCCTGAATATCTTGATATTAGTGGATATCTTGATATTAGTGCTGCGGGTTCAGTTCATCCTAAAAGCAATGACCATGAAAGTTGCTCCGTGCTCCGAAACGGTACATGGCAATGTAGCAACACCACGTGCCGACCGCCCTCGGATCAATTCCCCCAAACGCTTCCATCTCAACTTTCTCCTCTTCAACGTCTCTTTCTCACCATCCGTGCACGCCCATTACCAAAGCAAAAGCGCTCAAACAGCCAGTGCCTGAGCCCCGACCTGTCGTCTCGGGTCTCCGTATCGCCTGCAACCGAAACGCGAAGCGCCACATGGAGGCTGCAGATCCGGGCTCGCCATTGGCCAGATTGGCCTGGCACCAACCCCGAGACGCCTGAAGCCGCATCAGTGCATCCGTACTTTAATCTGCGACAGCGCCAGGGTCTGGTTGACCACGGCTAGGCCTAGGGCATTGCGCTGCTGAGTTGCGGCGCCTGAGTGAGAGTCCCTGGGGAAATAACTTTAATTCCGGGGACACAAAGTGCATCACAAAGAGGACATTGCAACAATGCTACTCGTATTGTAGGTACTACGAGTACCGCTCTGTCTAAATTGTACTGGACCTTTTTATTTCTTTGTTCCTGTATCTTAGGTACTCTTTGCTAATTCATTTCCAGTTGCAGGTATTAGTAGTAGTATATCATTTGCAACTGAAGCTTGCTGGAGCAGAAACAATGGGCTGAAAATGAAAGAGGTCCGTTGCTGCGGCTAGTCGGCAGCCAGTGCATCCCCCTGGCCAGCGTGCCCCAGAGCATCTCCGGTACCTGCGTGGAGAGGCGTTCAGTCCTCCTCGACGTCTGTTTCGAGCCCCCGACTCTTCAGACAGCGCTAATACCGTCGCGTTTGGTGACACTGCACCCTCAATATGGGATTGTAATCCTGGGATTGCCCTTTTCGATCGCCGTCCCAAGAGGCTCACCCCGGCTCCGGGGCTGCCTCTAAGACAGACCCCCAGTCTCTCGCCTGGGTTTTGCTCCTCGGATCGGTGCTGAACCGTTTGAGGCTCATGGAACCGCACTTGTTCGTGGGTGTGGATGAGTGTCCCTGTTCTGTTTCTGGAACTGGAGCACCACTGTTCCTGATCCCTAGTCGTGCCGTCTTCCCGATGTCTTGTTTCGTCCCTGTGTCTGCGGTTTGCATTGACGCCAAAGGCCTTGGCGTCTCAAAGCTATAATGGCCTCGCTCTCCCCTCTTGTTGTTTCTCTTTCTTTCTTCTCTTCATCCTCCAACCATTCCTTTCCTAACTCCTCTAAGCGACCTGGTCGTTCGCGGTCTCTTTCGTTTATTTCCTTCTTTCGTGTGTCTGTGACACTTCTTTTTCTCTCTTTTCATCTCTGGTCTGGTACCATTCCCTCTCACAACTTCAACTCGACAATTTTATTTTTTTCTTTATACCTTTTATTTTCTTCTTTTAACGCCTTTCAATATGCAAATCAAGAACGTTCTCACTGGCCTTGTTGGCCTGGCTGTCCTGGCTGACGCCGCTTCAATCGAGCGCCGATCTCCTTTCGGTCGTACTCTGGCTCGTCGCCAGAACAACTTCGGTCAAAACAATGGTCAAAACAATGGTCAGAACAATGGTCAGAACAATGGTCAGAACAATGGTCAGAACAATGGTCAGAACAATGGTCAGAACAATGGTCAGAACAATGGTCAAAACAACGGCCAAAACGGTGGCAACAACGCCAACAACGGAGGCAATGCTGCTGGTGCGACCCTGGATTCCAACCTGATCCAGACTGGCTCCCAGCAAGACGGCAACAACCCTGGTGCCGATGGCCAGTCCGCTTCTGCTACGTGAGTATAGCCCCATCTCATCTGGCACATGAAAGATTACTAATGAGTGGACAGTGACAACTTCAACTTCATCAACTTCTGTCAGGGCAAGACTATCACCAACGGTGAGCAGGTTAAGACCGGATCTTGCAATGGTATCCCCATGGGCAACATCCCCTCTACAGAGAACATGGTCTCCTCTGTCTTTGTTAACCCCCAGGACGGTCAAAACATTGCAGAGAACACCACCTTCAACATCCAGGTGCAAATGATCAACTTTGCCCCTGGTACCTTTACCAACGCCACCTCTACCTACTACGCCGCTCCTCAGGACGTTGATGGCAACGGCAACATCATTGGCCACACTCACGTCACTGTCCAGAGCACTGGTAACACCCTGAACCCTACCCAGCCTTTGGACCCCAAGCTGTTCGCCTTCTTCAAGGGTATCAACGATGCTGGTAACGGCCAGGGTCTTCTGTCTGCTGAGGTTACCGACGGTCTTCCCGCCGGAAACTACCGTGTCTGCTCCATGTCTTCTGCTGCCAACCACCAGCCTGTGCTGATGCCTGTGGCTCAGCGTGGTGCTCAGGATGACTGCGTTCGTTTCACCGTCGGTGGAAACGGCAACAATGGTAACAACGGTGGCAACGCCAACAACGGCCAGGGTAACGCCAACAACGGTCAGGGCAATGCCAACAACGGTCAGGGTAACGCCAACAACGGTCAGGGCAATGCCAACAACGGACAAGGCAACGCCAACAACGGCCAGAACGGACAGGCTGGTAACAACGGCCAGGATGCTGGTAACACCAACAATGCTGGCCAGGCTAACAACGGTCAGAATGGTCAGGCTGGTCAAGGTAACGCCAACAACGGCCAGGGCAACGCCAACAACGGACAGAATGGCCAGACCGACCCCAACGGCACAAACAACGCTTCTACCCCTGACCAGACCACCACTGCTGCCGCTGCCGCTACCACTGCTGCTGCTCAGAATGGACAGACCGGACAGAACGGCCAGACTGGACAGAACGGTCAGACTGGACAGAACGGTCAGGGCCAGGGCCGTGGCCGTGGTGGACGTGGACGCGGCCGTGGTGGACGAAAGGGTGCCGCCACTTCTGCTGCTGCCGGTGCTGCCGCTACTCCCACTGCCGCCGCTGCTCCTACTGATGGCTCCGGTAACGTCGCTGTCTCTGCTGCCGCTGGCAAGGGTGGTGCCGCCGGCTCTGTTGCTCTTGGAGGAATCGCTGCTCCCCCCGTCACTCAGTCTGGCAACCAGGACAGACCCTTTGACGTCCAGGGCAACACCTTCACCACAAAGGCTGCTGCCATCCAGCGAGCCTGTGACATTCAGAACAACCAGTGCGCTGATGCCGTCAACAGCCAGCAGCTGAGCGGCGTCACCGTCGGTGACTGCCAGACTCAGGTTGCCACCTGCACTTCAAACCTTGCTGCCTCATCATAAGGTGTTACGAGATATGTATGAAGAAAAAAACTATTAGGGCTGTAATTCGATGTTCGACGGAGCCCGTCTACAGTCCCAATCATGGGAGAATCAGAGAGGAAGGAGATTTTTCTTTTTTATTTTTATTTGTCTGTGACACGATTTGTAGCTTATTGGATTGTTAGGAATAGTGAGTATACTCGTGCGGAGTATACAGTGGATCATATACTATATTAAAATCACATCTTGTTCCCATTGCCTCGTGAATGTGACTTTTTTTTTTTTTTTGTGTGTTGAGCGTTGAACAATAACTCACACTCAACAAAACAGCCTCTTGGAGAGAGAACGTCAAGACACTTCGCTCTGTTCTTGCGACCTACCTTAGCGGAGTTGAGCATATACAACTCTGCCAATACTCATCCCGTGAGACATGAATGACACAGCGGACCAGACAAGAAACACATAATGATACACTCATAATAGTCCAGAGGCAAGAGTTTGCGTTGCATGGGTTAATTTTACACGCGAAACGGAGCTCTAACGAAGCGGTTTCAGGATTCTGGCGCCAAGGAGGGGTGCTGCGCCAGTGTCGGACGATGCGCATTTTGGAATTTGGCGGGCAAGGGTTTATTATGTATGCTAGAACAGGGGGTGCGGGTAGTTAACAGAGGAATGAGAGAATTGGATGCTCTTGGCTTTGGGTTGAGTTAAGCTTCAATTGCTCTTTTTTGGTGATAGTTTCTCTCTTATTTTTTGGGGGTAGATAATTTTTGGGTATGCGGTGGAGGGATGTTGGTGGTTGTGGGTTTTTGCATGAGAATAGGCTTATTAAAATTAAAGTAGGAGATGTTCAATTTTACCTTATAAATGATGAATCACATTTCAATTGTATAATGGGAAAAGTCGATATGAGTGCAATTACAACTGTTTAGCGACATTATGCAAACACACACAGGTATTGGGGAGTTAGATGAGAACATGCATTTTGGGTATCTGGATCTGCTTCCCACAAGGCTAACTCTATGCTTGTACTCTTTCCTCTCACATATATGTAATTCCGTACATGAACAATACGGCTTGATAAAAAAAAAAAATCCTCAACTCAGGGCCATCAGCGACTTCTCTCTGCCGCAATGCCTTCTTTTCCCAAATCAAAACGCCGTATTAAGAATTTGTCTGTTTGGCACCTCTCATCCTAGTCTCGCGCAGCGAGTCCAAGGTTTCTTCATGTACACTCCTCAAAATTAAATCACCAGCATATCGTCGGTGCATGTCGAATGTGGCGGAATTACTCCACGGTTGTCTTCCATTTTCGCGGATGAGTGAATGTAGTTTTATCCTCGCTTTGGTCTACCGAAAAGATTAGTCTCGTCACAATACTCCAAAAACGTCTCACGCTCAGGAACATTTGCATGTACTTTCAAGAGACGTAAGATTCATATGGGCTAAGAGAAACATACCCGCATCCCTGAGGCGTGACAACGCCAAAGAAGCAATCACCCGCTTGCCTCTGCACGACCTGGTCCTCAAAGATAGGCGTAATGACAATGTCCGCCGCAACGAAGGAAATCGCTGTAGAGAGAAGAGCAAAAATGAAAGTGGTCTTCATCTTGATTGAGTAAAAAGAGTTCGTTTACTTCTTGTATCCGTCAAGGAGAATGAGTGAAAGGGATGAGATTGAGAAGCTCAAAGTGTCCAGCACAGCAGTAGTAGTTTGCAAATAAGAAGAGTAGATGCGACAGACGTAACCCAAAAAAACACACGACCCAAATAAAAAAAAATGCGTATATAGAACAACGAAAACAATGAAAGAGAGAAAAAGAGGAAGAAGGAAGGAAAAGCGTCGCGAAGGAGTTTGATTCTGGCACGTCCCCCCCCCCCCCCCCCCCCCTCCCCAGACGTTTCTTGTGTCAAGTGCGGTTTCAGGGACGGCCTCCGTACCCCCCATGGTGCGGCGGGCCAATCGCGTCGAAGCGCTGGTTTGAGATGGGAATCAGGCACTGCGGAAGGGAGATCTACGGGGTTTTTGTGAAGCTAAAACAAAATCTGGCAGATGAGATTGTAATTTGTTGTATTTGCTTTTGAATATGTAATTGTGGTGCTGAATTGCAGACGTGGTGCTGAATTGGGATCATCCCCAGAGGTGGTCTGTGTTGAGCATGAGAGTTGCGACGTCTTCAATGTTGTCAAGGTCCCTGCAAGAACCCAATGCTAAATCATTCACTCATTCAAGAGCAAAACTCCATCTGAAAATCACGTAAACATATGGCATCTGCCATTTTTGGTCGTCAAAATTATTGTATATACACCGTCGTACACGAATGTCACATTAGAAGCCTTGCAGCTCGCCTCGTCTCCGTCTGCCTTTTCCCCCACGAAACACCTCCATCCAAGACCTTCTTTTGATTCAATCTCAGTCAGGTATCCTATTATTTATTATCACGTATCGATCCATTCTCATCTCCACCCAGCTTTTCGTTGTCTTATTGCAGCGGCTGCGGAGGGGGAGGAGCAGTCTTTGCGCCCGGAGGAGGAATAAACATGGGCAGATATGTCACCGCCAGAGCCATAACTGCAATTACTTAGTTAGCCAACTTCATTCATCTCCAATGACTCAACACGTAAAGAAAGTGCAGGGGTTATAGCTTGAGAGAGAGAGGGAGACGTACCCGACATGCCAACGGAAAAGTATCCCGGCGTTCCACTGCTCTTCTGGCTATCCTCGCTCTCGCCCAACCAAGTCTGGATAGAAAACACCACCGCAATCCTAAAAAGTAACAACCGTCAGCCAACAATGTCCTTTTCATTCTTTCTTCTCTCTGCTTCGTTCGGCGTTCGGAATTCGTCCCCCCAAGGATCGCATACCATCCGACAAACTTGTTCCGCATAAACATGGCAGCCATGGGCAGCGTCGACGACATGGTAGACGAGAAATCCGTCACCTCGCCCTTTACGACGGGTTCCTGATACGGCACGACTAGAAGTTTTTCACAAAGTCAGCTTCGTTGTTCTCTCTCTCCCCCTCATAGCTCTTGAAAGCGCATGACGATCAAGGCGGGCGCCCCAACCAATTGCGGCACACAGAACAAAGAAATCGCAGCACTCACTCAGGTCCGCGCGTCGCATGTCCTTGGTACTAGGCGCCATTGCTATTTGAATGTCTCAAGAACAGAGAATCTCGGCGGTGATAGAAAAGGCAATGAGGATTGTGCGGTTGAATGTTGCGCCATGTTTGGCCACGAGAGCCGTTGCGGATAGTTGCAGCTCGCATGTTGACTAAGCTTCAATAACTCCCCAAACTAGGCTTAGCGCAATGTGGGTTAGCTAGCCTCCAAGCTTTATCGCGCTCCACAAACCTCAAGCCTAGCCTAGATGGAACGGGCCTTTGGTTCCGATAATTCACGAGATTCAAAAGATGGAGAAAGGTGTAAAAAAATATCACAAAATTATTTTTATTTGTCTTGTCAAATATTTCTGACTTGTCGAGTTGCGAGATGCTTCTCCCATCAGCCTCGGCGCAAACGTCGTTCCTGCGACCTTTTTTGCCCTTGCTGGTAATGATGACCCAATCATTCCCAAAATGCTACTACCTATCATACAACAAATATTTCCGCTCGCTCGCTGGCTCAACTTGGAAAAAAATAACGACAAAGAACCGATGCTGACCTGACAAAAACGCTCCGAAAATTCCCGCCACAAACCCAAGATAACTCCGTGACAGAAGGGTATTTCTTCTTCTTATTCCGTTGCTTTTTTTTTTCTCCCCTTCAGGCTGTTTTCGCCTGCATTTAAAGAAAAAACGCCATGGGGATATTTTCCCCTTCCATCTTGCTTAACATGCTCTCATGGTACTCGGACAATGATTTTCCAACCTAGAGCGCCGGCCTCGCGAATTGCGCAGGCTAGGCATCCTCGCTTCCTCCTGCTGATGATGGCATTCCACCCTCTTTCGGAGCACAGAGCCCGGATGAGGATTTCCATGTCGGACCCAAACTGTCGCTTTCTCGACTCAAAGTGCATCTTGGCTGCCGCGGAGAAACTGCCCTTTCGCTCAATAGGCGAAGATCCAGGCGAGTCCAAGCGGTCGAGCACAGGCGACTGCGGTGCCGACGAAAAGTTGGTAATGCAGTCAACTACCAGCACCTGGTTCGCAGCAGCTTGCCCGTTGAGGGGCGTGAGGAGATCTGACAGCTCGGCGTCTCGTCGTCGCAAAAGGTCGGAGATGTGGATAACTGTATAATTATAATACTTGTGCAAGGGGTGGCCTGCGCGTTTCTTCATTAGCATACTGCAAGTGGCGGGGTGGTTATCTGGTCGGGCAGAGTGCTTGCTTACCTGCTCGATACATGGACCGAGATCCGTTACCCAGAGATTTTGATCCGTCAAAGTCAATCTGCTGCAGCGTTGGACTAGAAGGCGACTTCAAGACCCTGACCCGCGAGGAAGGTGAGCACGGGTGGGCGGTGACAAAATTGATATCGTACAGAAGCGAAAAGGTTGCTGTCTCCGTCTTCTCCCCGTCGATTGAAACGAAAAAGTTGAGCTTGGCAGGGTACGACAGCAGATCCGGAGCTCGGTGGTTTTCGTGGAAGGGAGTCACCACAATCTCCGCAAGAGGCGTTGGGTGAACGCACTCTGCCACTGGCGAGGCGAGCTCCAGCGATTGTAATTCGACAATCACGCCTGGTGGACAGGGCGAGTAGTTGTTCTCGTGAGGGATGATAAAGTCTGCGGGAGAAACCGACTCCTCTTGGCCATTTCCAAGAATCGACGACTCGCGCTCAACTCGTTTCTTGCCCCAGAGCCTGGCCTTTTTGCCAAGCTGAGAAATCTCGGCTGGTGGGCAGTTAGAAGACGGTCATTACGAGATCTACTGACAAGGAGGACAACTCACAGGCAACGTCATGAACATCAATATTGATCCATCCCTCATTCATTCCTTCGGGGATAATGTCTGTCGAAATCCAACCCATACACTCAGCAGATCCCTTCCCGGCAGCCAAAACTCTGCCGACAATGCAAGATGTGCTCCAGAAACTCTTCTCGTGGTAAACAAAGCCGCTGCTCAGATTGGCAAACGACCCAATTCTGGACAGAGCCTCGCTATCATTCTCCAGTAACGTCGCCATCAAAAAGTGGCTCACAGCATCTCCAGGCATCATGAGGCCAAAGATGTACGACTTGGAAAGCCAGCCGTTTTTGTGAAGTGCGGCTGCCATTCGGCGTCGCCTGGCTTGAGCTCGCTCCTTGTGGTGTCCGCGTTGGCATGTGACATCCCAGGCGCCAAAGTACCCATCCTGTTCAGGATCCTTCTTCATCGGTGTTGGTGTCGGTGGTACCAGAGACGCTGGTGCTGTCAGTCTCTGCACGTTTTCCGAAATTCGTCTCTCGTAGGCGTCGATGCCTGGCCACTGGAGCTTTCTCGCAAAGTGAGTCAAGCCTTCGACCTGGCGCTGGCCATATCTTCCTCGAATGGTGTAAAAATGAGGCGGCGATGGAGGTCGGTTCCCGTGCTTGTGTTGGTCGTGGAGAGAAATCTTGCTGGCTAGAGACGCCAGCCAGCCTGGGGCAATACCGCTGCTTCCACGGCGGACCTCTGGTCGTGCTGTAGATCCATGTTCCTCGCGAACAATTTCAATGTTCTTCATCCAGCTGCGGGCCAGAAGCAGCGACCACTTGACAGAGGCGTTGGCGGCCCTCTCAAACTGGACCACGTCAATGGCTCTAAAGTGTGCGGCGCCGTACTCTTCACCATCTGTGATTGCGTCCAGTCGGATGAGCAACTCGGACGAGACCAAAATCTGCATTAGTAGCCAATACTTTTCTTCGGCTCTCTCAGCAGCGCTTTCGGCATCGACAATTTGCGTATCATCATCCAGTTCGTCGCCATGTGGCTTGCCCCAGAGAATCTGGCCGAGGCGAACACGCCATTCGACATGGGTCAGGTCAATCCAGACATTGGGGGCTCCCATACACTTGAGGATGGCGCTGATCTGGTTGGGGAGGCTGTGGGGGTCTTTCTTGTCGACATTGACTGCTTTGTTGGGCCTCATGAGGACGTGGAAGAGGTCCTTGTAGGTTTCCTCAGACGACTTCTTGCGGAGGTCGTTGTTACGGTAGATGTCGGCATTGCGCTTGAGCCGGTCCAGCAGCTCAGTCTGGGGGAGACGGTGCAGCCATCCATCACGAGACAACATGCGCTCGCGAGCCTCGACGACGGCACGGGCCTTGGTGCCGAGGCTCTCAAAGCCAAACTGCTCCTCCTCAAGCGAATCGCTGACGGCCAGCTCGAGGGCGGCCTGATAGCCCATGGTGCCCTTCTCCAGGCCCTGCATGCTCAGCATGTTGGGTCGTTCGGCGCATCGCACATGGAAATGGGCTCTGTGGGTTTCCTCGGCTTCTTTCTTGGCCTCTGGATCATGGTTGGCGTCTCTGGTCAGGTGTGGCCAGACGGTGACGCCACTCCAGGCCTTGGACTCGATCTGGACATGATCCGTCAAGTCGCGGATCTCCAATTCCTCGTCAAAGGGAAAGGCTACGCTGGGATGAGGCGCGCCAGGGAAGTGGCTCTCGCTGCGGGCAAAATACTGGGGAGCTCCGGAGAAGAGCTTCTCAATGTCATCGTCACTAAGGAAGTGGGACGACGCCATTGCTGTTCGGCTTCTTTGGGTTCTTGGGTGTTGCTACCTTCGGCGGGAAGACGCATTAGCCGTGCATGGAACAAGCAAGAGGCGGTAGCGAGACTTTATTGGATTTTTCGGTGAAAGCTCGCTGGACCCTCGGCGAAAGGAAGGGGGAGAGGTAATTAACAGAAGAGAAAAATAAAATGTCGGCAGCAGAGCAAAAATGGCACTGAATGATGGTTCGATCTCGCCGGATCTCCGGGTCCAGTTAAGACCCAATTTAGCTGCGGAGGTTGCTCAAGAGCGGCGGGGCAGGACAAGGGGGTACCTGTACTCGTACCTCAGCCAGGAGAGGAGAGACAGAGAGACAGCGCTATTCTCGGAAATGGTCAGGTGGCCCCCCCGTTAGCATTTTGGGGGTTTCTGGTGTCTGGCTAGACAAGGGCAACAATGAGACATTTGAAGCTTACTTGCACTGCAATGTCCCGTCAATGCTTCCAGGGGGGGGGGATTTGTTGCTTTTTTGGACTTGTTTTGCTTTACTTTGCTTGTCAATCCAACGTTGCGTGGGGATGGTTGTGCATGTACAGTACATTGAGAGTACCTCGCCCCGTACATGCACTGGGGATTGCGTCGAGTACAGTGCAGGTAAGTGATGATGCTTTCACAATTGAATGAAGCTGTTTGCATCAGCTGCCTGCTGCAGGTTACCTATGCTGCCAGGTTGGTTTTGTCAAGTTGAAAAACAACATTGAAACTGCACCTCTACGGCTGGTGCATCCAATGTGTTGTATCTCTTTACATCGTCAAACAAGGTCGCGTGTCTTTCGCCTCCCCCACGACTTGCCTGCTCCCTTCAATACCTGCCGTCTGTCATGTTGAAGTCACCGGTCTGTCGGCAGGTCCCTTAGTAGATTCCCCCGCATTTTACAAATAGCCAAGTGTCACAGTACCACCTTAGTAGGACTCTTAATTTGTCCCATTAAAAACGTCCATCCCATCTAGTTCACTTCGTATTGTCACCTACCTATAACACCCATTGGCCTCTGGTGAATGGGCGCTGGGAGGCAACAAACTCCAAGCGAATGCCACCCACCCAGAGCTGCCTTACCTCGGGCAGGACTAACGCCTGCCTGGACCTAAGAACTGGACGGAGTATTTCGTGCTTTGTGCTAGTGCTCTGCAGTGGAATGGGGGGAGAGGCTTCTCGGCGCCGCCCAGGGTCCCGTCCATGGCCCCTGAACAGCGCCTCAACGGAAAGGGCCCTGAGACAGCAGCAACGCAGATACGGACGGGATTCAGCCAGCACGGTCATCTTAGCCCTCCGAGATTGAGTGAGCTCCCTAACGCCGTAATTAATGGGGCGTTTGCACCTGGTCAATCTGGGCGCATCTGGGGTCGGCAATCAGCGCCTCTCGCCCCGTCGATCTGGGCTGGGCGCTGGCTGGCTGTTTGTCACTCTCACTCTGTGCTGCCGTTGAGCCAAGCCCAACTAACACCGCGGCTCATTGGATTGGCTGCTGCTGCCCTTGCAGTTCAGTCGCCCCCTGAGGCCGGGGACTCGTACGATATGTACATATGGATCATCAATCATCCGTTCTGGAAGTCTGAACAAAGGGATAAATGGCGCCAAATGTCAGGAGGCAGCTGCAGCGGGATGGGCGCATTTTCTGGACTGGCATGATTACATGAGCTGCAGCGAGACAAAAGTTGGCTTGTGATTGACTGATTGATTACAGGCGGCGCTTGGTGTAGAAATTGGCTGACTGGGGTCTGTACTTGAATCTGCATGTGTACATGCGCGGCAGCCCCTTTTTCCCGTAAGAGAAGGTACCGGTACATCCGCGCAGGTACCAGTATGTACGCGGTACCGAAGATGAGCTCATGGCTCTTGGCAGTCAAGTTAAGGAGCAGGAGCTGCCAAAAGCAAAAACACCGACGAGAATAGAATTGGGAGAGGGTTATCGAGATGCTTAGATAACTCTATTTGGGCTCCTGCCAATCCCCCGAGTCGCGAGGGCCGCGCGGCACGCGAAATTACTCTGAATCGCAGCCGAGGTGCCAAGGCTGGTGTGTTTCTCATCGAAGCTCTGCCATTGATGGAACACGATGGCACTTTGCAGAACGCTCCAATGTCGCACATGCTCGTTCTCGCTGGGCGAGATGAGCAAGCCGTAGTCAGGCAGACAGGAAAGACGCCAAGCAAAAAAGGCAAACCCGCGCAAATGAGAATGCCGCAGCCGCACATCCGTGTTCGTTCCAATCCAGGCGGTTGGCCGCAGGATATCCTGTCACGCCAGGCAGCAGCTCGGTGTCGGACCTGTATTTCATCACGCACGTGTCGGGTCTGGCATTAACAGTCCTGGGGTATCATTTCGTCATCCTGTGCGCCGTGTAGCTATGCTTCATAAAATGAAAATGGACCATGACAAATTTCCCTCTCTCTCTCCCAGTAGTAGCGGAGTTGGCGCCGCTGGCCAAACCCCCCCCCCGGTGCCTTTCAATGCTTTCGTACACTTGTAACCCATTACCGCCTGACCTTCTAGAAACATCGCCGTTCAGTATTATAATCCATCATAGTAGCCCCTTAATAAACCCGCTGCTTTGCGTATCGGAAAGTCCGCTCAAGTTGTGTGTAATCAGGCCGGCTGAGTATCGTGGATGACCGTCAGTAGGTACTTCTGGTCCGGCACTATGACAATCTCTTGCTTCTTTGTTCGCAGTCGCAGTAATTTCAATTCGTCCTGCCAGCTCAGTCAGCCTCTGCGAAATGCCGTATTTACGCAGGCGATTGCAAAAAAGGGGTTGTTGTTGTTGTTGTTATCGCCGTAATAGCCGCGTTCTAACCTCTGTGTCAATGTCCCCTACTAGCTGCCCGGAGCTGTTGACAAAGTTCCAGATCATTTCCGCAAACTCTTCGACGCCCTGCGCCTCGCCCTCCTCCGCTGCGGGAGCGTCGTTGGAGAATGAGGCCGCCGTTGACGCGTTTCGCGATTTCGCCGTCTGGAGCGCGTCGATCTGGCCGCTCGTCTTGAGAATTGCGCCGGTTGCTCGGTCCAAGACGAGGCTGGCCTTGATGCCGGGTTTCCTAGCCAGGCGGCCGAGCTTCTCTTCAAGGGCGTCGTGCCCGTTTGTCTAGAGACGTTATCAGCCAGAAGCGCAAGGAGGCAATATGCGACATAGCTGTGGCTTCTCGTACCGTAGGGTTCTCCGACATCATGTAGTTGTTTGTGTATATGTGTATATCCTCGCTCAAAAATACGGTATGCGAATATTTTGCGAGAGCTCCGGAGTTCGGTAGATGCGACCAAGGCGTCCGTAGCGTTCTCAGGGTGCTGCCATCTTCGGCTCATTGACGTAGTTCCACATCGCATCGCGGCACGTCGGAATTCTGCCATGCGCCACCGCCAAAATTTACAGACCCACCATGCAGCCTCTTGAACCTGCAGCCCATTGTAAAAAACCAATCATCAACGAGAAGCATTAGATCTAGTACCATTGAGCCGTATCAAGGACAATTCAAGTATTCTCTGCAGCTTTTGTGTCATTATTTCATCCGTCTATCATACAATTGTGCCACTAAAGCACCGCCAAGATGGGTTCCAGCGCCAAAAAGAAGGCAGAGAAGAAGAAGGATTTTCAGGTACTGTTCTCTCATATGCTCTGGTTATCTGAGTGTCATTTGCTCACAAGTTACCAGAAACCCAAGTATAAGGTGGGAAAGGCCAAGCCAAAGGCCTCAAATTTCACAGACACAAGCTTCAGATCAAAAGGTATGACTACCTTAATGTTACTTCACAAAGCAAAGGCCGTCACTAACAGCCACCAGCGATTGTTATGAACCAGCAGTCACTATCAACTGTTGCCCCCGATGTCGTTCAGCAATTCAAGCACAACCTCTCTCTAGCTTCTTCCTCGCGGAATGATAAACAGCGCCGTGACGCCTTGGCATACCTCACCAGCCAGCTCTCTTCACATCCTCCAGTCAATCCCGTCGGGACCAACATCCTCCTCTCTAAACTCCTCCCTCTCATCTCAGATAGCTCAACGCCAGTCCGGAGTCAACTATTAAAGCTGCTTCGAGTACTTCCCGAAGATGAAGCAAAACACAGCACCGAGCAGGCCATCATGTTTATCCGGGCAGGCATGACACATCTGTCAGCTGATATTAGCGGCGACTCTCTTGGAGTGATGGAGTGGCTTCTCGACGTGGCTCAGGATGAGCTCGTCACCATCCCAGGTGGATGGGTCAAGACTCTGAGTACTTTTTGCGTTACCATGGGCTGGTCCCTAGCATCGGCCGCTCCAGGCTGGACCTCAGCTGCTAGGACAGGACTTCGAGCCAAGGATGCCCAGACGCTCGCGCGCCAGATATCAATATTGTCCAGATTCCTCCAAGCTGGGCTCAAATCAGAGACTGCCGCCGCTCCCGGTCCTGATGAATACTGGGACAACCTCTACAGGCTGCCCCGTTCCTCAAACACCTTTGAGTATCTGAACTTGCTTGGGTCAAGACGAGACGAGGAGGGAGAGATGTATCCGAATCGAGAGGCAAGGCAGCAAGTATTTTATCGGCGGTTCTTCGATCCCGTAACAAAGGGAATCGAAAAAGTGAAGAAGGAAGGCGGAGCGGCAGGGAGAGCGGCCGTTGGACTTGACCAGGCGTTGAAGAGTGGGATGGGAGATTACGCTGCCGCTGCTGGAATGGATGCTCAAGATTTGTTGAACCTGTGGTAAATCGTATTAGCTGATACCCTTTTAATATTATCTCTTGGAAATGAAGATGATGAAAATGCCATTCTCTCTCAGCCTACTGTAGCGTACGTATTGCAAACTCGCGACGGAACTCCTTGGATAGGGTAAGTGGCTGCTGAAGTCTATGGCGTCTCGTTAGATTGTCAATGAATGATGCCCATAGCAGGTAACAAGTTCTGTTTTCGCTTCAAATTGGGCCGTCAAATTGGTGTGCGAATACGCCCGACGTCAGAGAAAGCAAGCAACAAATGCATTGCCGCCGGAACTCTTTGTTCAGCTTCTGTGCCTAAAGCAAGTAAACATCAATATACTACAATGACTTTGAGTCCGCAATTTGGCTGCGTAGATCGTACTGTGTATAGATGGATGGGATCGTCAAACTCGAAACGAGAAGAATGCGTGCACATCTTGCTGTCTCTCTCGTCGATAACCACAACTGCCTTACATTCCCAAATAGAACTGCTCAAAAGATCACATAGGAAATATCTACAAGTAAACAATAAAAGGCGACTTCAAGTTTGGCATCAATGGATATCTCCTCCATCCATGCAGCTCGGCATCTTGCAGACGAGGACGCCATATAGCATATTGCACCAAGAGATGCAATAACTGGCCATAACACTCCAGTTTATTTCAACCAAAGGGAAAAGAAACAGGGCGGCGCGCACAAAATAGTATTAATATATATAGTAACGAGCCTCGTCCCAGTTGGCAGTGTCTATCTTGTTGATAGCAACGATGAGCTGCTTAACACCCAGAGTGTAGGCGAGCAAAGCGTGCTCACGGGTCTGGCCATCCTTGGAGATACTAGCCTAGAACTCACCAGTACCGCGATGAAATCGCGGTGGCCGGGAGCGTCTGTGAATTATCTGTTAGCACTAACTTATAATTTTAGCATAAAGTTAATAAAGCAAATATACTAATAACAGTAATATAGTACTTAGGAGTCTTAAACATCCACAGAGTAATATTTTGTCAGAGCCCATCTAAAGAGGGCGCGGTCGCGCAACGGCCGCGCACCGGCCACGTTACGGGGGCGCGAGCTAAGGGTTGCGAAGCCCTTAGCTTAGCAACAACACTATAAAAGACCTAAAATCTAGGGAAGGAGTTAAGGAAGGCAGAGATAAATACAGTCACTTCGCTACCCTAAGCTTGCGTATTCGCTGTGTAGCTACCTGTGATCATCCCTTATCCCTCTTCACTCTCTTCCACGAACCCGGCTTCTGACAG